AATGGACAGTGGGGAACGGGCGAGAAAAATGGAAACAGAAGCGATCAGGGCAGGAGTTATCGTGACTCCTAAAGCCATATCTTTATAAACTTTTGGCTAATTTATAAGCTAGTTAGTATTAAATTATTAAAGGGACTTTACAAATATATACTATCTGAATCTTTAGAAGAAAACTTTCAGGCTGACAAATTGCCCGTCAGCTGTTGGGTCGATTTAAACAAGAAATTTTGCACTGTCATAGTTGATCTTCAACGCTCATTATTTCACTTGACCTCTCCACCAATTTAAAGGTCAAATAAAAGACCAAAGATAGTTGGAAATGTCAAAAATTAAGGAAATACTCAAAAACTGAAAAATGTACTTCTGGATCTGGTTTTATTAGCTCATTTGTAATAAGCGCCAAATCTGGATATTTTATCCTGCTAAGATGCTTTAAGTTCTCTTTGAAAAGTTCATTTTGCCTCCTACGAACTCCGTCACCTTCTAGTTGTGGCACAGAAGAAGATCGCCTCCGAGCAGGAGTTTGAATTGGTGAATTACCTCTTCCACAAACAAGGCTACAATCCGTTAATTCGCCCGGTTGCAAATATCTCAGAGGCGCTACGAGTCAATCTCGGCCTCTGTATGATTAAGCTCATACACATTGTAAGTTTCCTCGGCCAGGTTACCCCCCCCCCCCCCCCTACCTTCCTTCTCGTGCCACCAAAACCGGCATCGCTGCTAAGAGCGCATTTAAACAAGCGTTGTACCACTTTGAACGGGCTTAAAGCATCTCCTCCTGCTGTAGGCTGATAAGTAGATGTCTCGAGGAGGCAAAATGGGAATTTAGCATTTGATTTGTAGCGCTGGAAGGAGGAGGAATTCGCGAAGGATGAGCTGAAGCGCCTTCCGCACGAGGGCGGAGGCAATTAGACAAATGACTCGCACAGTTGTCATTCTCCCCAAGCCTTCGCGAATTTGTGCGGATTAAATTTGCGATGCTAGTACTGCCTTGGAACAAAATTCTTTTTATTTAAAAATGTAAAAGGGAGATTTACTTTTTCCCTTTCACCCACTTGACAAAAAGTCCGCCGCAGTCAACTCGACAGTAGAGCAAAGGCAAGGGAATACTCGTAAAATAAAATTGTGTTGTAGCACTTTCAAGAGAGTTAATTATTCGGACAAAGACTTTATCATGTTGGCTTCACAACGGGAGCGTCTCCGAAACCACGGCAACGAAAGGATTTTGTGCTCTGTATCGACGCTGTGATAAAAATTCATTTTTTTTGTCAACATCTTGCTTTTTTGTAACAATAAATGGTGGGATGTCACTTTTGTTGTTTTATTTAGGATGAACGCCGACAAGTCATGAAAAGCAACGTCTGGTTACCGATGGTAAGTAAATGTCTCCATTTATAAAAATAAAATGCAAAAAAATGATTTGAAGCCATTTAACAACAAATTTTTAATGAATATAATAAATAGGCAAATAGCCAACATTGACATTCTTCGTAGTGCCAATATGCGCTTACGGCTGGGTTGACAGCTTTTGACAGGTGACCACAAAATCTCTTGACATCTTTGACAGACCTTGCTGTGTTGATGTCATCTAATCTGTAATGACTTGCCAAAAGTACCAGGTTGTCTATGGACATCCTTCTCGGGGTGTAGCTGGGCGTCGGCGCCATTTGCGGGGCTCCCATTGCCGAAGGCTATGCTCCGATGTCCAGGAAACTGGTCACCTGGAATAAATCTCGCCTTCTTCCTGCAGTAATACTTGACTGGGGCTAAGCCACAACCACCTCTCTCAAAACTAGTGGGAAAAAAATGGCGTAGGACCACATATCGGAGAAGTCGTCCCCTCCAGGTGGGATAGATGTAACAGAGGCACAACCCAATGTACCACCTCTCCGCCAATGCCTTGAGGAGTAGGTGGCAAGAATGGTGGAGAGGAGGCAGTGTGAGACACCACGCAGCGTAAAGTTGGTTGACTTAGCATCTTTCTCTCTTCCTGAATAGCGAGAAAACATTTAACTGTCTTGGGTGGGGACGATGGTCCACGAATTCTTTGCTCCGGCTCGGGTCAGTAGGAAGTCACATTCATTGGCTCAATTTAACCTCTCATTTTTGATTTTCCTCTCCAACTCAAGGTGTGGCGGGATTATCAACTGACGTGGGATCCTGCAAAGTATGGCGGTCTGAAGGTGATTCGTGTGCCCCACAATAAAGTCTGGAAACCGGACATAGTACTTTTTAATAAGTAAGTAGTATTTCCTTTACGCAAAAGGTCAAAATTGCTATATCTTTTTAAGTTTTCACGGCTAAAATATTGTCAGGCGATAAGAAGTTTAGGCTGGTAACGCGTGGAGGGTAGAAGTCTCGTAAAGATGTTGCCCTGGTTTTTTTCTGAGAGGATGGTCAGTCCATCTGGACGGAGACTTGTAGTGATCGAATTTGTTGGCTCTACCAATCTGAACTTAGTCGTCTTTAGAGATGGGGAAGCTGCTCCTCAAATTCGCTGAATAACTTCTTAGAAGATGGAGTCAATTCTTTGTCAAGAATTGCCTCTTTGAAGGTTAACCATTCCTTAAGGCAGAGATATTCCTACTCCGTGCAAGCCGATACGGCAATCCAACAGCACCGATTCCTCGAATAGCATGCCCTAGAATAATGTATTATGCCACATCTACTTCAAAATGGGAAGGCGGGAGGGCGGAGGGCTGATAAACTTTTACCTCACCTGACTCTGCTCTCCCACCGCAAATCGCGCCTTCTCCGCCTGTTATTCAATCAGTTTGACGTAGAGCTTGTGTGCCTTTGGAAACCCGTTTAACCAAGCCCTTGAGGCGAGCGAGCTCGTATCCCACGCTCCGTGAAGAGGAGGATATGATGGGTGAGACAAGGAGAGCAAAGGCTCTAAAATGAATAAGATATACGGTCTTCTTTGGGATAAACTTATGCGTTATTTTCTTTAAAGACGCAGTAGTTGTGGAGGGTCCAAAACTGCCTTGCAGGAAGTACATGCAGCTCAGCCTTGTAAAATATTTGAACTTTAAACAGGCAATCTGCGTTGAAGAACTCGCTTTTCTCCCAGAACTACATTCAAAGCTGAGAATCTGGAAGTGGCACTATCAAGTTCCGCTACTATAAGAGAAACCCTGAGAATGGCGTGCTTGATAGCCTTTTTAAATGTTTACTAGGCTTTGATTTCTTTTACACTTTATTAATCAAGCTTAACTGCATTGAACTTACCTAATCATTGAAATGGAAGTGGAATTAGCCGCCTATTCAGTTTGTCAAATGAGGCGGTAAAAATGGGGGCAGCAAGTGGCGACTCGTCTGTTAGAGCACCGATTTATCTCCTTTCAAGGGCAGGAAAGTGAGAAAAATTTGCTCCGCTAGTTTGGATAAACCCGCGTGTCGACTTACGCATCAGCTCCCGGCGTCACATATACGTGACGCCGAAAAATTTTTATCCAAAAATCAGAATGTGTAAAGAAAGTAATAAGCTTTCTTGATCATAATATTAACTTGTCGTAGAAAGGTTTTTATTATTGATTAAACCCTTTTTTCTGCCCTTATATACCCTAAATATCCTTGTTTTTCAGTTGTATAAATTGCGTACCACCATGTAGATAGAAACTCGACTGGACGATGTCGATAATCTTTCCACAATACCTAGACAATAACTCTGGCACTTTCGAGCATAATTTAAATGTAACTTCATTCAAATACACAATAAGCTTGTTTAAATGTAGTGGTATGGAACTGCATGCTGCCTCGGTAAATGCAGAAATCTTTTTACATGCTTAGAGAATTTCGGACTGTTCGAGGTTGCAAGAATTGAGGCCAGCAAATAACACAAGATGCCACAAGGTGGAAAAAAGCCTGAAAAGCACAAGTTTTTTCCACCACTCAAGGTCACGATTTGCCAAGTTCGTAGTGTCCGCCTTCGCATTTTTATAAAGTAAAATATAATATTCTCCAAATTCCGGATTGTTAACTCATTTCAAACAAATTTTAAAAATTGTCAAGAAAAGAGCACATATTTGTGACCGTCATTTCTTATTTCCCCTACAATGGCACTTACCTTTGAGGACGTGAATGGACATGCTTGGCAGTAAGCCAATCGGGGGCCGAGAGATCAACAGTCAAGCGCTCTCCCTGTTTCTCTCAATTTCTCACTCCTACAGTGGGGTAGACTGGGACCTGAGGACCTATGGTAAATCGAGCAATCTCGAGTTTCAAGATCTCAAGCCTTCTTTAGGCTGATCTAAACAAAAAGATATACATTTGACAGAGTGAAGTGCAACAGTCGCAGTGGTGTAGATAGCATAAATGGTATTTGATGCCAGCAAAGCAAACACCAAATGCAACCTCATTTTTGTTACAGAGGAGAAAAATTGACATGACTTCTAATTTTAGCAACTCATAAAACAAAAGGAGGAAAGGAAAAATCCACTCTTTCCTAATACGGAGGTAGATACAGACATTCCATTGCGATCAGATCACGCAAGCACAAAATCCTGTCATCAGAAAATATTTGTCCAAGATGATACCGTTTTCTTCCTTAGAATCAGTAATCCGATGATATTCTCTTGTCCCCTATAATTTCAGTGTTTATAGGGAGCACTCGCTACAGGCCACCTTGAAGATGGCCTTCAAAATCTCTTTCCTTCATTTGTATTCACTTGGTAATCGTGCAGCTGGTTAGGGTTATTTACCAACTCAATGTGTTTGCATAGGACAATCCCATAAGTGGCAGGTCCAGACAGGTGGGAATCACGAGGGAGGTTTAAGCCGAGTTGATTGGGCCTGAAGGGTCCTATAATTCTTGGATTCCTAGTAGGAATACTGTGTATTTTTTTTAGTGCAGACGGCAACTACGAGGTAGTCTGGCAACCCAATCTGCTTGTGCACTATGACGGCTCAATATTGTGGATGCCTCCAGCGGTCTACGAAAGCTCCTGTGCAATAGATGTGGAGTATTTCCCCTTCGACGAACAGGAGTGCGAGATGAAATTCGGCAGCTGGGCATTTGATGCTTCAAGAGTAATCTCATTAGTGTTTAAATTACAAAAATGCTTCATTTTAACGGAATAGTTATGCGGCTCCTTCTACCAATTTAAGCTTCGCACAATTACTGTCTTAAAAGTGCAACAAAATTACAGAAAAACCCCATCTCGTCTTTTCTTTTTTACCTAAGAACATTTTGTAAATAAAATTATAAGATTTATTTTATTTAATTGCATCAAGGTCAGGTTTGCTTGAATGCGCATTTGCGAGCGTCCGAATCCCGAATTCTTTCACTGGCTACTAGTCAAATATTTCGACGAGATAAACTTTTTAGATGTGAAATTACACCTAAATGATATCATAAAGCCGAGTATCAATAAATCTGAAAGGCTTTTTGCAAAGAATGACAAATAAACGCACTATTTTGTTCATTAAAATTTTTCGCTTGCGAGTACGGAGAAGTCTCTAATTTAAATTTTAAGATATTCTAGGAATACCATAGTATTTGCTTTTGGTACGTGAAACTAAGCGTTTGTCGCCAAATATTCCCTCATTGTTTTGCACTTTTCCACCGTTTTATACGCCCAGCTGAAGGAGATTAGGTCAGCAGAAGATATTTTGAATTACTAGAACGGGCGACCAGACAATGGACAAAAATTTTATATTAAACCGAAGTCGATTCCTTCCTCTAGTGATTGATAGGATTTTCATCATCTCGAGAGAAGGTTTTTTCTGCAAACAATGCAACAAATGTAGTGATGGTGCTAAAGTACTCAAAAGTGGATGCATTAAATAATAAAGCGGCAGAGCTCCTTTTCAGTGATTAAAGTAGCCCAAAATTGATGTGTGTAGAAGATGTATTTTGCTCCCATCCATAATTGAGATAAAAGAGAAGGCCATCACTTCCTTCTTTTTATAACTGCTTATCTTTTCTGATTTATTTGTTGCCAATCTTGCCAAAGGAGATGACCTTAATATTTAAACTGTAAGAAAGGGAACTGGCCGTGAACAATACTAAATGAGGCATATCCACCAACATTTCTAAACCCCTACTTAATTTCACTAGGACTTTAGTTATTTTACTTGCTGTCACCTGTTCTTCCTGTCCCTAGCCTTAAACAAATCTTTGTAAGCTAGCTGTGATAGGTAGAAAAACGAAAGAGTCATAGCTAGATCCCATATGCCACTCATAGGTTTGTTTTCCACCTGCATGCTCGACTTCTCTTACTTTAATCAGTGTGGAAATCTCTTCTTGACATACATTACTTCTTGGACAGTTTTAAAGCGACTGATACGATCAAAAGTATAAGTAAATCTCCATGTCCACCTGTTTATTGCGTCATGTGTAGACAGTACGACTTAAAAAAGACTTTCTGAAATTTATGGACTTCTCTTGTTAAGCAAAAATGCTTAAATCCCTGCCGCCTACTCTTTTCGTGATGTTATGATGTAGCAGTAATTTTGAAGTGGTAGACTGTCCACTGAAATTTGCCGTTCTAAAAGACCCATGTCTGCATAACTTGGTGTTCATTTCATGGAGAGCCTAGATAATTTGCATTAGAGTAGCTTAGAGACCCCAGTGAGCCACTTTAATGCGATCCTAAACCTTACACCCTAAAAACTAAAACCACACCTAAAATCTGGTATGAATCGGTTAAAACTTTTGTAAGGATACACTTTTCCTTTAAAAATTTTGGCTTTTCGGCTCCCTTTTTCCAATTTAGGAAAATAAATATGCAAGTAGACAGATTCACTATCTAATTTTCGCCAATAGTGGGTGGATGATGTGACTGTAGATGCAGGAACCACGTATCTTGCGCATTCACCCATGCTGACACATCAAAATGCTGAGTGCGTCATCCCAACTGGCAAGTCAAAAGGTTAGAGGTAAAGGTTTGTCAGAGGGACTAATTTTTGGCCAACTTTTCCCCTCAGATTTCCCTTGGTTTCTATTCCTCACTGGATTTTGTCGATCTCTCCGACTACTGGCGAAGTGGCACCTGGGATCTGGTGGATGTTCCCGCTCGGATAGTGAATACCTACAGTGGAGGTGTGAATAACACCTACATCGTCTACACCATTAAATTGCGTCGCAAGACCCTCTTCTATACAGTAAACTTGATTGTGCCCTGTGTGATGCTATCACTGCTGAGCATCTTCGTCTTCTACTTACCCTCGGATGCGGGCGAGAAAGTAACACTAGCCATTAGTATTGTCGTCGCCTTAGTAGTTTTCCTCATCCTCGTCAGTAAGATTCTTCCACCCACTTCAACAACTGTGCCTCTGATCTCACGATATCTCATGTTCACCTTCGTCTCTGACGTCTTTGCCGTATTTGTCGCAGTTCTGGTGGTGAATTGGAACTACCGATCACCCAGAACACACACCATGCCACGTTGGATTAAGGTACTCTTTCTTCAAGCCCTTCCACACCTCCTTTTTCTTAATCGCCTTCAGTATCCAGAACCTGAGAATGAGGAGTTGGAGAAGAAGAAGGGTGGACCACCAGCGTTATACTTTGCAGTTAATCAGTTTCCCTTGAAGAATGAGGATGCCTTTATTCAGGACTTCCCGGAAGGCGCCTCACTTGATATTGCCTCCTACTTAACAACCGACTCTATGGAGGAAAGTGTGTCAAGCTCCTCCATCACGGCAGAGAGTTGCGGAAATTTCTACGAAAATCTACAAACTCAGTGTTTATCCGCCTCTGAAAGCCAAATGTCTGACTTGTCCCTGGAAAGTGAAACACCGTCGAGCGGGAAGGAAGTGATCCTATTAAAAGGACAGGTTGAAATTCTGAAACTGCGGCAATCTCCTCATCGTATTGGGGCGAGTAGATGGAAACAGTCGGGCAGATCGGTTATGCCCATGGCCAGAACGAGGAAACAAGAGGGCATTGGCCTCCTTGAAGGTCTCAAAGCAATGGAATACATCTCAGAACGATTGGAAGAGAAGCGTCAAGATCAAATTGTAGGCTCTGTTTCATTGTTTCCTTCTGTCATGATATGTTAGTTGAAGTGAATGCGTGTGGCTCCACTAAAACCGCAATTTCCATATCTGAAAATGCTTTTAGATGGATTTGTTGCGGTACATGTAGAGACCACGTAGTAGCAATTTGTCACAGCTAACCATCCATGATGTCTAACCCAAGAGGTGAGAGAACATGTCCTTTATGTCTTCATAAACTGGACAAGTTGTTCGTGATTGCGTGTGTGGAGTAATCACATCCTCAGAAGCGACCGTGTCTAATGACCCTTTCGAAGTGAAAACAACTAGCAGCACCAAACCCTATTTTGTGGGACGTATCCCTGAGAAAATATGCCCATTAAGTGAAAGATGGCTATTTTGCCAGCTCACTTCGGTGTGTCGACCACTAGCGAAGTTGGGAGCTGAAAGTGGGTGAAAGCACAGTTGGCTACCGCTGAAACCTTTGACGGGCCACTATCTGTGATGTGGAACCTGCTAAGTGATGATTGTAAATTGTTACGTTATGCTCAAAATAGAAGCGAAATCAATTTTGGCATTTTTGTACAGCAGCTACTTAAATGAGCTCATTTAAGTAGCATGTCCGAAGCATTGCAAAATTTTAGGAAAGGTTTGCTTTTCTAGTGTAAAAAAAGTCAGATAAGGGTGATTTTATTGAATATCCCCACAAGTGAAGTGTTGAAATGTGTTTGGGGTCAGAACGAGCGTTAAATCAAATTGGTTATTGGTGTAACACAGTTGTAGGTCTACTATGTCATTAAATTGCCTAATTTAATGTCTTAGTAACCTAAATTGCTTAGCTTATCTAAAACTCTAGATTATTTACTACTTTTAGCCAAACGGCATAAAATCCTTGCGGAATTGGGACAAATTAACCTCAGTTTGTGAGGCGGACATATTCATATCACGCTTTCCACGCTACTCTCAATCACTAAAACAAGACAATTAATTCTCGTTTTAATGTGACTTTAATTTGAGGGTAAGTAGAATCTAGAATATTAACTTAATCATAGTTTGAAAGCGAATGAAGCGCGCCACGTGTCAGCCGATTTTGTGCCTAGTCGCTGAATTCGATATAAGTAGCAACCTGTTCATCAGTGGCAAATTGTTACAATGATGTTTTCTTCCTTCAATTTTTTAGGTAGTTCAAGAATGGAAGTACGCAGCTTCAGTGATAGATCGTCTTGTGTTGGTCATTTTCACCATCACCTCCATTGTGGTGGCCCTGAGTCTGCTAACCAATGCGCCGTCTCTCCTTTCACCCATTGACCAGGACACCGTCATTAATAAGTATTCCGTGTTAAAGAGGACCTAGCTCAAGACTTGCACCAATATAAATCCCACTTTTATGAACTTAAAGGCCAAATGAGCTTCTTTATCCCCCAATTTTACAGAAATTTTCAGCTTTTTAGACAAGAGGAGTCACAACATTCTCACTGATCCCGTAGTCTGACAGCATGTCAGTCAAAAGGTCCATTCGCACAAACGTGTATCGTTTGTTTAGCCTAAAAAAATAGTTACCCAGTGCCTTCTTTCTCACGAGGCAGCAAAGAGGAAGCCGTTCCACGCATTACCTCAGAGCGCATTTCATAGCAGTCACTCTGAACATTTTTAGGTCTAGTCTAATTAGGTAAAAAAATTGCGCCATTCGAAAAGGGGTAAGAGAGGCTTTATAGAAGCAACTGTTCCACGCTCAGTTAAATCTTTTATCTACTAACTGATTTATTCCTTTCTCCGTCCAGTTAGGAATTCACTTATCTACTGGGGCATCATTCAGAGCCTGCTGAATCACCAGGGCTTGTAGTGGTGCGCAAAAACGCGGAAAAATTTTTGGTCATAAGTAGGCTATCATAAAGGGCTTGCTGGCATGCCAGTAAAATTGGTCAGCAAAATTGGCCAGTCAATCGGCCAAGAATGGAATGGAGTTATTTAACTCTGACTTATGTTTCACCTTGGCTCAATATAGAAGGTGCGTACATTCTCCATCACTGTAGAAAATTTAGGGTTCAGAATAATTTCCACCTGAGGGAGGACGCTTTTTTCTCCAAGGACATGCAAAAAATAAATACAAATTATTGGTATTGGTGCTTTGCACTGTAAAACGCACTTTAATCAATACGTGAATGACAGCACTTTGACAACGTGAAACTTGGTGATCAGCTACTTGATGGCATCGCAGTGACAAGCTGCACATCAGTAACATCACTTAAGGCGCCTCTAAAGAGCAAGTAAGTTCAATGCTACTTTATTCCTGACTAAGTAGTATGTTCTCCAATTATTAGCTGTTAAAAAGACCTAGTCAATAAAAGTAAGGGATCTTCTTAGACAAAGTTAAGCCATCTTTCCGTATTTGACAGCCGCATGGGAACAGCTGTGAATCCTTACCAAAATTTTTTTATTCTGTTTGAAAAGAAAACTACTTCCATTTTTACCTTCAAAAATCTTACTTTGTTGTCATGCTGTGTCTGTCATGTCAACAGACAAGGACAGCTTTACTAGAGCAGTAAGCACTTCTTTCTTCAAATGTCTGCAAAAATAAATCCAGAAATCTTTTGGCAGACATTTTGTGTAATTATATCCTGACAGTTGTCACAACCGCGTGACAAATTGCCTTGAGGTATTCCATTGGCCTGCCATTTGGCACATTGGTGCTCCGGCTTTTGCGGTCATCTCTTTTCGACTGGTTGGTTGGATGGTTCCTCCGCTTCCCTAAAGCAAGAGCGATTGAATTAACACGGACTTGACAACACGACTTGTCACGTGACACAGCCAGGCACAATGAAATTACTTGGAAGCTGCTTATGCAAGCTTCTTACTCCCCACGCTAGTTTTTCGTTTTTCGAATTTGTAACCCTTGTGTACATGTGGATGTCAGATGTGGTGATAAATGGCATGAGATGCCATGACCCAAGGTTAATCGACTTCCCTTCTGCTCTTGCCGTCCGAACAGTCTAAATAGGTTGCAAAACTTTCAGTCTTGTTTAGTTCACAAGGTCTGCGGCCATGTTGTAAATATGCTGGTAATCACCGCAAGGTAAAGGTCACACAGAAGCTCATTTGTGCATAGGAATAGGACCATTCCATGACTTTAGCAGTTAGGTGCTCCTGGGTCTTACCACCAGCCTACTCTTCTTGGTCGTCGAAGTCCTTTTCTTCGAATTACCCTCATCCAGAGGTCGAGTGGATTTGCCGAGGTGAATTAAATAAGGTTTTAGACCCCAGTCATTGGGTGGCCTTTGACAGTTCCTAGGCAATACTTGTATCTGTAGGCCATTATATAGCAAGAGGAACAAAAATCGGGGCATAGTGTTCTGGAGATGGAGGCCTTCTCCAAATGCTAATCTCTGGATGGGAGGCTTTTTCATTCTTGAGGCTGATTTAACCCCGAGGAGGTGAACAAACCCTCCCATCATTTCCAACCGTTTACTGACAAGGAAGGCTTCAAAAATCAATGTGAGAATAAAAAGATAATAATTCGAATGTGCCTTCACGACTTAAGGGAATGACCTTAAACAACAAAGCGACATGTTAATGACCGCGTATTACCTCCCAAAGTCAAGGTTGAGGAACTTTAGGAAAATTAACAAAAATCTTTTTTCTCGGGAAAGAAATTGTGTTTTAAGGTTTATTACACGTTTTAACATGACCTAGATAGTGCGGATACCGTGTGATAATGTTTCTCACCTGACCTGACACTGGAGGTCAAGGTCATCTGCCATGTGAGACATTATGTGCCTACCCCTTAATCACACACACACACCTGCAAACATGCACGCACGCACAAAGGCACGCACCGAACGCACCAAAGGCATCGATTTGACAGTCGGTGTGGCGGTGATGCCGCGCCTGGCTGCGACCTTGTTGCGTCCCTCACTCGTCCTTTCGCCCTCCCTACCTACCCACCTCCCTCTCTAACTCTCACTCTCTCTCCCTCTCATAATGCTGCACCAATGAAGACTGCGTTAATTGCTGTGTGTGTGTGTGTGTGTGTGCAGGCACAACCACCCCTACACACCGCGACGCACCACACCACATCACACCGCACCGCACCGTACACCCTCCCGTTTGTGGTCTCGGCTCTTTCGATCCGCTCTCTTCTTGTCTATCCCTGTGTACCCAGGTGTGTGAGTGTGTATGGGTGTATTTATGTGTGAGGATTTTCGTCAACTCAAGCCACCCAGTTAACAGTAAGTGTTGACAGTTGTCAAGTTAATTTTATTGCATTTCTATCGGTTCATCAACTTGAGTAGGATAGCCATTGGCCACTCCCCGAGGCGTCTTTCCTTGCTCCACTCAATTATTAATACAATACTCATTTTATGCGCGTACTTTTTTTTATGACTTTATTTTACAATAGAATTCGAAATTTTAAAAGATTTTACCAAAAACTTTTCTAAAAGGACATTTTGTTCCTTTACTTCTTGGCCGAATTCAGGTCACCTAGGCTACTTGACTTACAGACAAGTGGGGGTTTTTTTAATTTTTTGGCATTTTCTGTTTAAATTTCCTCCGCTCTTGTTGCGCCCACCACTCATCGAACCGCAAGTTTTGGAGTTGAGTCGGAACAGGAGCGGTGTGGGGCTGAGAGAGGGTGGGGACTTTAGTAACATCACATCTTGGGCTTACTACATTCGGGCGAGATTGCCAAAGTGGAGGGGAGGCTGCGTTGCCATTCTTGCCAAAAGATCAGCTTCTAGTTCATGCGTCTCTATAAATCGGTGCCTAACGATTATGCATGCGTGTAAACTAAAGGAAATTTGTTCTTTCTTAGAAAAAGTTAAAGACTAAAGTGTAAACTGAATTGGAATTAGGGGGCGGTTTAGTTGTTCTTCCACATTTGTTTGAAAGCTCGCTGACAAGTAAAGATCAGCATGCTTGACAATACGCTGTCTATCCACTCCGTATAACATGTAATTTTGCCCAAAAGTAGATACTTTACCGATTCCCAAAAATTATAATTATTTAGAGGGAAATGCAAAATGCTTTTGAAGTTTTTTGTCTCTTCCCAGCCCTCCCCCTTGGGTCGTATTTATAATCTATTTAATCGCCCTATAAATGCGCCCTTTATTCAGAACTATTAAAGATCTCGATTTAACAGAGGCATCAGCTTCAATCATTTTGCGTTTCAATACTAATTAGAGGCGTTATTTATTATGGCTCCCTATTTTCATTTGGATTTTTGATTATATCGTAATCAAAATTTGGAGAAAATTTGTCTAGGGGAGGCAAGAAGGTAAACAGCACGCTGTTGAGGGAGTCGAGGGGTTAAGAATTCGTCGCCCAACTCAGTATCCCTCAATTTAATCAAAACACTTATTTGTCCTTTCCCATTACTTAAAACATCGACTGCCTAAAATGTAAATTTAAAATAAGTTTCTGCTAAGCAGCTAACCAAGGGATTATATAAACCTAAAGACGGTTAAATTTACGCAATTAAGAATTAGATTTAACAAAATCTTTTTCTCGAAAGTTCCTTATTTTGACGATTTTTCAAATTGCGCGGAATTGACTTCAAGGTCACTGTATCGACCTTCGCTCGAGCTCGACTCCTGAAAGATGCAAAATAAGCTACAGAACATTACTAGTTATATAATTCTTTTCGGTTTCCCTTTTTCACGCCTAATTTCCTCTTAACGCCTTTAATAGTTACGCTCATCTTTCCTTTTCTCGTGGCGATTTCTAGAAATCCATCATCATGAATTGTTTATTGGTTTACCTTGGCTTTCGCAATTCCCTGGAGCCTTAGCCCTCCTATGTGGTGTCAAAGCCACTGAATCTCACCCACTGGTGTCTCGAGTGAGACAGTCCACAGTGTTACAAGGTTCTCCACCTAAAGGTAGTTGAGTGCTTGCCCTAAGAAATTGTTTAAACTAGTCAATGTTGAAGGCAAAGGTAGCTCATTTTTTTATCAACTCCATCATAGTTTCTTCTCATACTAGCCACACATTACCTTGTATCCTAGAACGCCTTCATTACCGAAGTGCTGCATTATTTCATCTTTTATGAGAATAGAAGTGGTGAGGGTGGATGGTTAAGTTATTTACTAATTGGGAAAGGTAAAAAGTAACCCATCTAAAGTTCAATGGGGTGGTCATTCGAGAAGACCTAAAAAGGGTTGAATAGGCTTGTGCCTTCCAGTAATTTTTACGAAATGACCACTTGATTCCCCCAACGCCTTTTTTTGAAGCTTGTGCCACACCTTCAAGACAGGCTCAAGCCCCACCACATAGCCACTACTTAGAGTAAGCTACTGGTTGTGTTAAATTTTTAAATTCTCTTTTTTTGCAATTTCCACCTCGTCTAATCAAAAAACTTGCTATTTAATCAACTGGGAATTGGTTGCAGGATTGGAGGACGGGGTCACGTTGACCCCAGGTTATCAGACCCGCCGCACGTGTCTGCACCAAAATAACATACTTGTTTAAAAAATCAAATAAATTTATGGTTTTTTAAAGAAAAAGAATAGTTATGTGCCTCCTGTTAAACCATATTGGTAGACTACTTCAAAGTTGATGAGCGTCACCCACTATAGGAGGACCCCGATGGTGAAATGCCGGTAGAGTCTTAGCTACGAGGGCCTAACCTTAAAATGACTCATTCAAACTACTTGTTGGACATTAAATCTGCAGACACTTTTGATTTGCCACTTTAGAAATACTGCAAATCTAAGGGATCATGCCGACTCGCCTTTCTATTGGCTCCCAGCAGCCTTAAATCTGTGTTTTTATTGGCCGGTTGGCCAATTCCCGCAACTCAACGTCACGACGTGTCGACTTTAAACAAAGTCGTTTATAATTGTCTATTTGTTTAAAAAGCAATTGATTTTAAAGCTAAAATGGGAAACGGAGAAATTGAGTAGATGGCATCTTTTTCCACTTCCCGATGCAAGGTGAAAAAATTTTTCTTTACAAAAGACCAAAAAAGGATTATTTGCTTAGGTTTTTTTGCAAATTAAAGTAAGTTTATCCATTACCCTTCTCTAAAATGGCATTCCTTAAACAAAACTCCCTTTTTAATCCAAAATTTGTGGGGTAGTTGATTCATCTACGGTATTCACTGCCGAGTTAAAAAGCTTCTGATTTTTCTGTCTTGTGGTAAATCAGCACACCCTCTCACAATTTTTGACGTCATGTGGGATTTTCACCTTCTGTTCATTGGCGAATTAAGTATATCTTGCCTTCTTGTAGTTTCCTTCCCCTTTCCCTCCCCGTAGGATATAACTTCCCTTTATATTCTCAATTCCTTCAATGCAGGGCCGCCCTATTCCTCTGAATTTGGGTGATGGGTTAGGAAAGAATAAGTGGACTTCGTAGTTTTAATTTACCCGTATCTGTAGCGGGGACGCCTTCCATTGCCATAACTTCAAAGGACTTCAAAGAAGATGATTTTTATCGGTTTATCTGCAAGCTTAAAATATCAAGGCGTTGTTTATTGGATCGCCTGCCTTTCTTGCTCGCTTGCCTGCCATTCTAAAGGGATTCACCCCCAAAAGTCTTGCGGATGGCGTGTATTTACATCATATGGGCATGGGGTTGTATAAAATGTCAAAAATGGGTAATAATCTCATCGTTTCATGGACAAAGATTGTTGATAAAATACTTGCGCCATCTAACTCTATCTCAAATGAAGAACGTAGTCGTTACCTTGGAAAATACTCACCTAGAAGGGAGAGAGGGTGAGGAAAAGGTAGCATTTTTTCCCCCGTTTAAGTTGTAACGATGGTCTCGAGGTCTTGTGTTGTACGGGCGAACTCCCACAAAAAGGCATTGCTCCCAAAAATGCTTTACATGCATCTTAGTTGTTAGACAGCCAGATGGATATTGAATGTCAGTGACGCTGAGCCCACTAAGGTAAGCATTCCCACCGCCCGTAGTGCACCACTTCACACACACACACACACACACACGAATCACAGTCGGCTTTCTCGTTTGCATAAAAGATTCAGTTTCATCCCACAAATTCGTCACTATACGAAACAATTCCAAATTATGTCTTTAAAAAGTAGATGAAATACCGAGAACGTAGTAATAGCCTTTCCAGCAACTTGTCATTTTTAGTTGATAAAAGTGAGAGGCTTACAAATTGTCTTTTTGCGTTGATACAGTTGTAGGATGAGGCTTGTAGATCTCCTCTTCCCTGGCCCTCATACTCCCAGAACACCCAGGCTGATTTAGTTTCTACATACTTATTACGTAAAGTAAATGAGAGACTTTTTTCCGAGTTGTCAGGATATTGGCTGCACCGAAGTTTCTCCGCTCGATTGGTCTGCCCGCTTCCTCTCGGAAAGGGACATTTAAGCAACATAGGTGTTGCGTGGTTGCAAGCCCTTCGTTTTACTAATCAGTAAACTGGTGAGAAATTGAAATAAATATTTGCATGTCAAATACATCAGCATTAGGGAAGAATTTCTCACCCGAACTGGTTGTTGGAAATGAATAATTTATAAGTAGTGCATTTTGCCTTGCCACTTCATGTACAGACAACAACATCAAAATTTTCCGACAGGTAGAACGGCAGCATTTCTCCAAACCGCTTCGTGTTTTGATGCCTTGAGAGAAGGTACCAATTTGAAAAAATTAACAAAAACCTAGTTAAACCACGGCTTTTTGAAAAAACGAATCGTTCAAATAGTTCCATTTGTTTGTAATTATTTTTCGAAAAATTCAAAAACTGCGAATTGCAAAATATTAAGAGAAAACAAAGACATGTTTAAAGCAACGCATTGGTTTATGTTGCCGTGGTGATTTAACTCCAAATGATTTAAAAACAGCTAAAATTGATTTAATCTAGTGCTTGTTTTTCACCATCTTAACGTCTAGACTCGTTAATCATTTCAGTTGACGCAAAGAAATATTTCTTTGACATCTAATGAAAGTCATGTTAATAGTAGACATTCAAAAACAAAAAACGGGCAATTTTATAAGTTATTTATTAGTCAAACTTTGTCCGGAATAAACTCAATTCCTTAATTCGCCTTTTTTCCTGTTGTGGATGATTTAGAAATGGTTAGTCTCTTAAGAGCGGTTTTTTTGGCCAAAAGGCACAATTAGGTTAATAGTTGGACATAAATCTGCGCCGTTTGCCTCGTCTGTCTGTTTTCGCCCGCCAATTCAGAAATTGTTGGCAGCTATTTGTTTTATAGGTGTAGTCTGCTTAGACCACCGATCCACATTCTTCCAAACTGATACATTCAATCAAATGGACTCTCCAATTCACATGGTCACTGTAACCATCTTGGTGATACCTCTCAAACCGTTCGGGTGTTGATAGTGAGCCTCTCTCTGTTCCATTGTGGTTCATTGCGTCTTCAACGTTGACACTGCAGTGAGCTGACTAGTCGCCAGAGAAGGTGGCCACATGTCGTGGTGAAATAAACCAAGCACATTTTATGCCAAAAACATTATCAAAGGTGCCTTGACATTTGACAACTTTTCACCACCCATGGCGAACGATATCCAAGTAAAGAGGTTTGAAAGAGCTAAACATATTTCTTAAAAAACGATTTATGGTGATGATATGGGTGCAGCAAGACCTCTGATGAGGGGTTTGTACCCTTTTTTCAAAGAATTACATGAGCATTTTGAGGGAAAATTCTCTCTTCCTTTACTTACTAATGTTGAAGACGATTTCACCCATCTAAAATGTTCAGAAACAAATGATGGATAGATTGCTAGAACGATTTCATCTATCAAATAACTATCCATGTGATCCTACTCCCCGATGAAAAATGGACACCTTCTGCCCATTCCACCACCAACCCCGGACAGCAATAATATCAGAATGGGGAAGTCAGGAATGGGAGTAGGCTGGATAAACCCTTTTCCCAGTACCTAGCTACATAGCGTAAACAGCATAAAGAAGGTGTATAGGTGTCCAGATGGGTGGCTGGCTGGCGGGCGGGAGGGCGATAGGTAGGGGGGTCTTCGCATTATGTGTTTCAGTCAATGCCTCCTCCTCCCGCAGAAAGGTATTACTTTTTCTAACAGAAAGCCACGTGACCTGCCCTATCCCCTCTTGCAACTATGCAACCACAAGCTGTGCGAGCCACGGCTTAAACAAACTAACTGTCATAAATGAATGGAAAAGTACGTATCACATAGGCGTTTTATTGGTCTCATAAAAGGAAAACACAGTCGTCACATATATGTGACATCACTGTTGATAATTTTAGTGATGTTGATTTCGCTAATTCTTTATAGAAGATGCAACGAAATGCAAGAGGCGACTTTTGCGCTGCAACTGCCGAAGGTGGTGGAACCCATCCTACGGCCTTTTCTAAGGTCTACAGTACCCCGGTGAATCCAGTGAGGTTGAATCCCACCACGTTCTTAGCAGCCCCGCAGCAGGGCATTATCAATTCGTCGTCAGGATCTTTCGTCAAATTTACCTCATCACCCCTCACAAAGTCAAATGGTGCAGTCCGAAGGTCGTCTATTAAGCAGGTTATAGCACTTCCTTCCCCTCCCCTCTTTCAGCTAAGGGAGGGTCAACTTGCCAAGCAATCCATTATCTTCAATATTTACTAGCAATTTCCTTAAAATCTACTTTTCAGATGCGCTATGATGCCCTAAGACCCACCCAACTGGAGACAAGTTGGCATTCACGCAGTTTCTCGGAGCACAGTTACCTCAATCCAAGCTTTCGACCGCAAGTGAGTTTTAATGACTCGCCCACCATCATCCCCACCTCACTCTCCACTTTGAGCATTCAACAAAGCGATTATCAGTGGACTCCCAGTGGCTACGTCAAAGAGGTGCAGAGTGAGCCTCTCAAGAGAAGGTAAGGCGAAAGAAATAGATTCTTCATTTTCTTGATTGATTAAAACAAAGGCTATTACATCATGGGACGTGTCATTACCTTCCAAGAGGACAAGTTAGACTCAAATTTGGTATTTCTCCTCATTCGTAAAGTCCTGACATAGGAGAGCTGGCTTTATTCCTTTTCTTTTCTACTTTGTATTTCATGTGATGGACTAGTGTGAATTAGAATTGATAAACTTGGCTTGTGGAAATGTTATGCAGAGATAGGTGGAAAAATAAGGTTAGGCGGAACCTCTCCCCTCTCTCTCCTCATCTACCCCTAAAAAACAACAACTGGGAATGATTCCTAATCGTAGACGGAATTTATTATTTGTGAGAGGAGAGACAACACTATAGGACACCTGAAAGGCACAAAACCGTGGTTTTTGAGCTGTGGTGATCTCCGCATTGGATGGTGGACCATCTGCTAGCCTAGCAAGGCCACTTCTCATCACAAGTCAGTCGTTCTGTCAGGAGGTTATTTTTATACTAATAGTGAAAAGTGCAATGAATGCCTTGGAAATCTTTTAGCCTTCCTACCTGTCACTGCTTGTCAGTGCATGAGGGTTGAACCCACGGGTTTCTCAGTAAATGTGCACGAACAGAGGATTTGCGAAGGATGAAAGAGTAGGTGTGGATGTACATAAAAAAGAAGGAGAGATGTGTCTATTGTGATTAAGGTGATGCAGGAGCAAGTTTTTTGCCCCACCACCAGATTGACAATCCCTCCTTGAAGCGCCGCTTACAGGAGAGTATTTTGGCTGTGAATGCGGATGATTCAAGGACCATCCCTTTGTTCTTTCTTTCTTCTCCTAATTTAACTGACTAGTTTGTAAAAGTCACTTTTTTAGGCTGTCTGTTAGTTAAACAAGTGAGTGTATCGATGGGCATTTTAAACCGTGTTTCTTGTACCTGACTATGTAGTGGATTGTTGATTAAGAACTCCCCCATTTTTTGTGGATATTAATTAATGGCTACTGACTTTCACCTACTTGATGCGATTCTGCTCAAAGTCTCACTAGCAATACACCTTCTTCAGCACAAATATTCGGTCAGTTAGTTAGTCCAAGACTAAGTGTCATGAACGCCTGGTCATGACAGGGTGCCTTCTTTTCCTTCTAAAGGCAAAAATTCTCATGAATAAAAAATCTCGAAAGCTTGCGCCTCGTTAGAAACTGTACCAGCGCCTAGCTCACCCATGATGCTGTAGTTAGCGAAGTGGAATATTTTAGTATGACCCTGGAGATTAAACAGCACAAGATCTTCCGTAAGACCTTTAGCGAATCACGAAGCCGTCCGTTAATTATGCCTCGTGTGAAAGGTCACTAAGGGCCACTGAAGTTCTCCAATAACTTAACTATGAAGGAATAAGCATTTTTATGAAGTAAATTGCAATTCTTCTTAAGAAAAATGTAAAATATCGAGTGCTACTTATCACAATTAAGTAGGGAAGGGTCCTAATAAAGGCAGATAATTTTTACGTATTTTCTGGCTCTAACATTAGTTTAACAAGTCGGTTTTGCTAATTTTTTTTCTTTATTTATGAAAATGTATGTATTTATAACTGTCTACTAATACTCGGTTAAAGTGTTACTTGATAAGTTGCTTTTTTTTCGTTTAGAGCTTCGCAGTCACATGCCCTGCCTCACGTTTCAAGTGTTTATACAACCGCAGGAAATATGGTAGGCACAAAAATCACAAAATTTTTTCATCCTTATCTATGGGGGAGGCAGTTATCCCCAAAGTTTGCTATATATGTGTAGAAAAACATGTTGGGCAAGAAGAGTCGACTCCATTGTAGGGTGCTTTGTAGGGAATGAAAGTTGAAGGATTGTCGGCATCAAAATTTCATAGACAGGAAGGTGCTCTATAAGTAGTTTTCCTCGCAATTCCAACACAGCTCCGGGGCCTCTAAGTGGATGGCCAGCGCCTCTCACCTGCCCATGTAACACATGCAAGTTGTCGCTGACACCTTCACTACGAGTGCTTTTAAATCAAGTCTAAGGCAGCTCAACTTACCCTCTTGCAGAACATAAGGTAGTGGGGACCGCCTACATCAAAGGTGGTCTTAATTATCCCTTTTTGTGCTGTGATCCTGTCCACAGTTAAGTCTCACCTCGTGTACCTTCAACGTTGACCCATGAGGCAACGAAATTTCGGATCAGTTGTCAGACGAAACAGATTGGCACCAGTTTTGTGTTTTGCTTCGCCTCAGACGACACACCAAGGGAATATTATCTCAAAGGGCTTACTGAAGCAAGTAATTGGATTCGTGTTGCAAAAAAGTAAAAAACCTGGGACGTGAGACCATAAAATAGGTCAAGGTCATTTGGGGGGTTTCTCCATCCTCACAAATTATTTCGAAACATGTTTTAAAATTAGAATTAAATTGAATTTTTTCGAAAAGAAAAATAAATCAAACAGAGCTCATAATTTTGAAAAGTACCTTTTATTTCCATTTGTCAAATGCATCGACTCAATTCTAGAAATAGCGCGAATTCTTCCGCCACCTTACAACAAGCGATTGACAGCTGTCAATCCAAGAATCAGAAGGCACGTAGAAAAGACCCGCAATTTTCCCGCTCCATTGCAGTAGTCCGATTTGCAACAACTAATCCTCGCCTTGTGGCCAGTAGTACAGGCGGTGCGAGATTCGACATTACAGCCGCGGATAATTTGCCCATCACTCAAAACTTTTGTCTATAGAACAAATAAAAATTAACATCCCACATTAGGAGGCGAATGGATGAGATTGTGGAAGGATAGATTGGTAGATGGATACAGGATAGAGGGATGGATGGATGGGCAAAATATGGAACGCGATTTCAGGTGGGCGTTATGCGCACAATCAAACTCACAAAACACTCATTGCATATGGCCGAGGACTCGTGAATCTCCAATTCTTTCTCACAATCGTCGCAGGTGTAGCAAATGAGGCCATCCATAAAGTCAGGAGGGCTAAAGCCGTCCGAGACGTCTGCCATCAACTCGGCGATGTCATTCTCCCTCTCCAGCATCTCTCGAAAGGTAGCCTCCTTTAGGGTAAGAAAATGCTGGAACATCGGTTCAAAGTCACTGGACTCGGCGTGTAGAGACGCAGCTTCAAGGAGCAGTAAAAGCGAAAGCGCAACCTGCCGCATTTTTTTGTACTCCAACGCGGATTTTTAAGTTCGAAAATCAAAAAAAAAAATCCACCCAGCGGAATGTGTTTGGGCAAAGTACGCTTAAGCAAATAATGCAAAGGTATTGATTAAATTAAAAATTTAAAAATTTTAAAATGTTTGAGTTTTTCCTTCCATTTAAGCATTCGCAGATTTCAGCGATGGCTCAGCTTCAATCCAAAGGACCTCGGAGCCCTACGAAGCGCATGTCGTTTTCGCGGCGTAGTTCTGACGACGATTCGAGTGGAATAACCTTCCAGATGTTCGTCAACGGTGTTAAACAGTCTGGCCTGATGAGCAACTCGGATGCAATTAAGCGTCGTCTTTTGGAGGATTACGAGTTGAATCGACAGAAGGAGGTCGAATTTAATGAGGCGTCGCTTACGTCGACTGGTCCTCCATATCCTACCCTGCCATACTTTGAAGAACTTGTAAGAAGAACTATCAAAATTCGTACTTAGACGTAGCACTCAAAACTGCGCTGTTCGTACTACTTATTGCAGTTTAAGTAGATATCAATAATTTTTTATACTAAAAGTGTAAATTTTTTCATGTTTTGGGGCAAATTTAGACCTCTCTTCAATCGCAGAGAGGAATAGCTACAAACACATTGGACAGACATCGCAGCCTGCGCAAGCACAGCCAAATCGGAACAGTCTACATTCCTTCACAGCCCGTGGATTCCTCCATGACGCGATCAGAATATAATGACAGGGTATGCTTGCACCTTCCTAAAGCTGCCTTTTTTAAAAAAGGAAAAAGCTTTGTTTAGTCCTTGTTGACATATTCGTCATCAAGCTGGCAAATATTCATCAAACATTCTATCAGGGAAATAGTAGATTTTTTCACTGATGGCTTTTCTATTCAATTTGGACCTTTGCTGCTACCAATTATGGGCAGGAATTGGTTTGCCAGGGCTTGACATTGACAACCCCTACTAATTAAGCAAAAAACATGTTGCTACTTATAATTCTTTAAATGGAAGGTAGCTCTTTGTTTTTCGCATGGTAAATCTGCTGTCGCTATGTTTGGGGACTAATACCACTTAGTCTTTTAACTTCAATCCATCTTGTAACAATATTTTGCTAATTTAAAAGTAGTTTGTTATTATTTTAATCTTAAAGTTATTTACATCTAAACGTGAATTATTTCTAAATTCTCTACTCACCAGACTTTTTAGAGAGGACGTTTGTCCATTACATATAGTAGATATAGCTAAACCCAATTTTTTTAATTAGAAATGTAAAAAAAGTTTATCTTGACTTTGGCTGAGTAAGTATAAATAAAAATTTAACGAAATTTTTATTAACGTACACAATTTGTTGGTGATACTTGAAGATCCACGTAGACGTTTTTAGAGTAATGAGTTTACTATTTTGAATTAAACTATTTACTATTACAAAAATAATTTTTTCCCAGCACTATGCACAGTTTTGGCGGGAGTTTTTACAAATATTTCTGACAATCCGGTGAGGTTCTAAGTGTACAAATTACGCCTACTATTTAATTTTAGTAGCACTTGTTTAATCTGTGAAGGGTTTGCTCATTGGTTGGATCATGATCGTCCACTTATATTTACAACTTTTGGGAAGTAGCTACGGTAACTGTACCATTTTTCTGCATTTATCCAAATGTAGGCCTTATTTTAATCTGTAAAACAAGTGATACAAAATGATTTTCTTTGGCGTTTTTGCCATACATTGCCGACTTTGGTTAGGCACATTAAAAGTTGCAAAAAAAGGAGGACTGTACTTTTCCTCCTTGCACGATGTTTAAAAAAATAATTAAGTAACCAAACGAGGCGCTGTTGAGGGCTCAAGATTAAGGAGAGATTGCATTTTTGCCCTTGATCTGTCTGAAAAAATTGCCTTGACCAAACGAAGTCACAGAGGATCAAGACCAAAGCAAGTGAACTAGCAACTTTTTCCTTCTTCTGTGTACTAACACACACAGAACAGTGGTGACTCAATCAACAACAAAACCTCAGTGCCCGATGTCCGCCGCTGGTCGTGCAGCTTCTGGCCCTCTTCATTAGCCTAAACGTCAATTGCCCCATAGAACCCAAAGATAAAATGGTGTAGGGGGGAAGACATTAGGTCTCACTGTTTAGCATAAATATACCTTCGCCTTTTGGCTGTTAGGCCAAAGGAGTGAAAGTGCTTGCCACATTTTAAATCCACTAGGATGAGAATTGTTTCCACCAAGGATGATTAGACAGTCGACCAAAGAAGCTATATTGTCATAACGCCGATGACAGAATAGATGGGCTGGTCTATCGGTACGGCGTGCTGTCTCGGACTCGCTTCAATGCCATCAAATGTCAGATGCCAGTGAGGCCGACTAAGCCTCACCACTTCCAAAAAGTGGAGTTACTTCCATTTCAACGATGGAAGATTTGTTGCCTAGCCTTTGAAAGGTATGTGGTATGTACTAAAAGGATATACCTTCTAAAACACCTTCCGCTTCGCTGAAAACCAAACATCGACGGCTGACATCTACCTATCCTAGGTGGGCAATAAAAACTTCTTTTCAGGAGTGGTCAAGGCCAGTCAATCATTCAGTCAGATGAGAGCCTTCTTCTTCCAAGGCAATGTAATATCTCATTTTGCAAAAATCCAAACTGACGCTTGAGGAAACCACCGGAGAATACATGAGGTCCCAGCAGTCCGTCTTTTAAACTCTACCATCCTCCAGGGTTAGATGGAATAGAATTTGCAGCTCGACAGACACGTTTAGACATACGGACTGTCGTATCCTCCACATACTTAACTGTATCGGTCAAGAATTTACATAGGCCACAGAGAACAATATTAACCTGGAACTATTCTGCATCAAGCATGTTCACCACTCCAGTCGTCTTTCGAGGCGATATTCCCAATTCATGCAAATCACATCGTTTTGCAATGTCGGTGTAGTCATTTTTTCATAGTCAATTGCGATTTATTGAGCTCCTAATCTCCTCTGTCATCAAGTGAAGGTGTGGACCTCGAAATGGCAGATTTTGGAAAGGTCGCCACAAATCCACCAATCTTCAGCGGTCCCGAGGCCCCTTCCAAACTGTAACAAGTCATGCAAGTCAGTCTCCGCAAAGTCTGAAGTTCCCGCGATCTTAAGTGTGCATTCAAACAACTGTCCAACAAATTCAATTTCAAAAAATTGCAGCATCTCCCTTGGAAAAACGACAAAAAAGACGACAAGTCATTCTTCTTAAATGGAAAAAAGGATCTTTCTCCAAACTTTTCTCCCAAACAATTTTTGGGACGATTGAGAGCAACAACCACTCCCCATTGGTTGCTACCACGAATCAGATAAAAAGGAAGAGAAGAAGAAGATAAATTAGGGATTATTAACCATTCGCTCCAAATGGTACATCTCAAATTACATCGCAGGGTGATTCCTCTCCTCCTTCCTTCACCACCCAGCATGCACACCCACAAATCGGCTCCACATTAGGCATGCTGGAAACTGTGACATGTGCACCACACCATGACATTTTTCTCGGTGATAGACCTTGTGGACAATGTGTGGACTGCCAGCCGTGGTCCCTGTGGTTATGGGCCAAAACACGGGAGAATGATATTATTAAGGTCTTTTTGGCACTGTCGAACCCACCAGTCTGCCAACTGACAAGCTGACCGCAACTGCAAGTCCCGTGGGATTAAAAATAACCGTCTTAGTGCGGCTCTAACAGTCACCCTTTTACTTCTGGCAGATTTGAGAGCTTTTTCTAATCCCAAATTTAAGTCAGTGGACAGGTGCAAGTAGACTAAGAAAAGGCAGGTGAGAATTTCAACGAATAAATGTTTTTTTTTCCCTGTTTAAAATCGAAGAACGAATTAAAAATGCCTTGACGAAGCGTTTTTACTGGTTCTGGAATGAATCATCCTTTAGGGTCATAAGTGATCTTAAAAATATTTAAACAACCAGTAGAATTATATAGTTTTGTTTCCGCTTAAAGCTTGATGGCTAAAACCGTCAAAGCTTAAATAGATTTAACATAAATATATCCTGGTAAATTAAACGAAGTCTTGAAAATATTTCGTAAAGCTTGTTTAAAATAAGAAAATACCCTCCTGCTAAATTGTACCTTCCCTATCATTTACAATGATAGTCGTAGAAACCTAATCTATCATTTCTCAGGAAGAGGTTGACCCTTTGACCCCAAAAGCTAGATATCGGGCATAACCGTACCGACAGGTGACGATAGTTACACGTGTTTTTTTGCCCCTGAGGTAATGGAGCATAATCAGAGAGTACGGGTTAGATTTAATGACATTTCTGTTAGGGTGGCGGAGGAGGGGGGATAAGCCCTGAACCCAGTCTGTTACTTGCACCACAGATGACGCATCAGTTTGCGTTCACCGCACGCATGCACACACCCGCCGAGACACATCCACAAACCTGACCAATCAGGAGACAGCGTGGTGATCGATTCCCTCCCCTTTCCTACCCTTACCCCTGACCATACACACACGCTGTGGGATTTGTACACTTTCCATTATCCACAACCATTCCCTCGGTTGGTTTTACAGATTATGGATTATCGTGGCAACTCAACAGTGGCATCACGTGTTGTCACTGGAGGAAGAGGAGGAGGCGGATTCAACGATTATTCCTCTGGTGGTTCCATCTCCGCTGTAACTAGTCCAACGATCTCCCGAGGATTGATCAAACCCACAGAACATGCTAGTCCCAACTCGGTAATTGAAGAGCTCCAAAGTCGATTTCAGAACTCAACGCGGTCGAAGGAGAAACGACCGATCCTGAAGAATGCACCAGTAAATGCGGATTACGTGACACCGGTGTATCAGCGTAGAATAGCAACTGCTGGCATTGCCACAACGACTCTGGCTTCTAGACCACATCATCAGTCGGAATTGGTGTTACCAACAACAACAGCAGCTTCCTTTGAACAGCCTTTAAGGTCAATCAATATGGCATCTACGGTGCGGTTGGATCCAGACCCTAATGGAACACTAAGGGCTACAGAAGGCAGTGATTATCGCGGAGGTGAGTTCAGGTGCTTCTCTATCCAAACTAACAATGTCTATGCTCCTGAGGAAGGTATGAGACTGTCAGTATGTAAATCACGAGACACGGATGTCGTGTTCAATGTTGATCAAAACATATAGGGATTCTAAATCCGATCAAATGACACCGACTTTATCCGCAAGCAATTTAAAATGAAGGGGAAATTTGGGGTCTTACGGTCGCCACTTCCTGCCCCAGAGAATTGTCAAATTCCGAACCGGAATACATAGGCTATATGTATGGTGATTTCGAGCAACTAGAGAGCATAGAAAGCACTACAAAAGGGTTCATCTAAGTCTAAAATTTTAAAAAAGTTAGAAAAGAAGACGCTCAAAGAACAATGCGTTAGGAATGTAGTAAAGCGAAAATTGATTGCAAAGCCCAAACAAAAAACTTTTGAAAAAACCAAGAAAAGTAGAAATTATGAGAGTTCTTAGAAAAAAACATAATTTTCAAGCCAAAAAACGCCGTCAAATCACTTCGTATAATTTCTTGGTTGATTTTCGACAGTTTTTGCATTTCTCCTGAATTGTACGAACTTCTTATTCGTCCCGGTCCTACATGGGAAAGCAAATAAATCTAGTTGATGTATTAAAAGATCCCATTTTAATATTAGTCACCATTCCAATTAGTTGAGATATTTTGCAAAAATAATTCGGTTAAATCGATTTCGATATACTAAATATGAAGTAGTAATTGGTGATAAACTCCGAAAGCTACCAAAAAACCGGCAAAAATAATAACTCAAAATATTTAAATGATAAAAGAAATATCAGTACTTTGATTCGCGAGCCACTTTAAAAAGGTTTATAAGCTTAAGCTTAATCACTTTCCAAACCCTGACTTTGCCAAATTTTGTCACACTAGTGGCAAAGGCTAATTACCTTCAGCCAAGAAATCCCACGGATTTGGGTTAATTTTTAGCTTTACCAAACCGTAACCAAAATTACAAAGGATTAGTAAGCGAGAAATTTTGCCAAAATTCATAAGTTTTGAGCTTACCTGATGTGGACAAGTATCTTTATCATTCTATTTTACTCATTCTATATCAGAAACTATAAATTTTTGAAAAGATTCTTTTGACCAATTAACGTGAATACCGTTGATTTGTTATAGATTTCCTAATTAAGCTTTTTTCAATGATTGGCTTGTGGAAAATTCCTTCCTAAAATCTCTCCACCTTAAGCCAGGAAACGATCAATGCGAGCATGTGAAGGTTTCCCTGTTTTCGGATAAGAAAACTAAAATTACCACTTTTATTACCTAATGCGAATTCCCCACACACATTCGTAACCGGATCAAAATGCGCCCTAAAACGGAATCACTAATCCAGAAAATCCCCTAGACAGGTAAATAGCCTCCTTATGGCGCCACCAGAGAAAGAGTTACAAGTCCATCGTCTAACTGGAGAACAGTTTTAGCATTATACATTTTATAACCAGGGAGCTTTGACAGTTGTTACTTAGTCCGGATGGGAGACAGTTCTACCCTGTCTAAAATGTACGTTTCCCCCTCTGTGGTGCAAGTCAGTTATTCAATGCCCCCATTAATCAAGCCCGTCTCTTGGTCACCACCGCTGAACGAACGAAACAGCTGTCTCGAGACTGAGGAACGTTGTGCTAACAAGCGGTTCGTTTTCCTTTTTCTGCTTGCTTAAACAACTCTTACTTTCTCTCTCACCTCACTTAAGCCATTTCGCCTCGTGTACTATTAGACACTTTCGCAGATAAGTTGGCCGAGTGTGACCTTGGAAATTGTCCATATCTCCCTCACCAATCCCCCTCTCCAGGGAGTTTTTATTGGTTGTCTTTTGTCAGACGTCAAAGCCAATTCACTCACCTTTTTTGCTCGCAGCAATCAGTTATATCAGACAAAGTGCGTCGGACGAAATGTATCCCTTCTTTTCACATTTCGTTTTAATTCCGATTAAGTTAGACTCGGGAGAGTGTTGTCCCAACCAGAAGTCGCTCCGCCTAACTGATTGGCAGCTTTTGCTTACATACGAGGTACATTACCAAATTTAAAAAAAATAGGATTTTCTTCACGTTTTTCTTAATTAAGTAAAGAGTGAAACTGTGTACTACTTACGTGAATTTAAGTAGCAAATTCGGCCGACTTTTAAACTGTATATCTAGTAGATTTCGACGCTTTTCCTTCCCATTTTGCACCTGCTTACCTGTTTCACATACTTCTCACGGGTCACTTTTTGTAACGAAGGAGATCGTCTTCCGCATTCCTGAAGAACAGGTCCTAAATGCTTCTGAGGAATATAGTTTGCTGCTAATTTTGTTACCCAGACTTTAGCAATAAAGTCGTGCGGCGCAAATCTGCCCGGAATATGTCACACACGCATGCAAGAGGCATAATCCCCTAGGCGTGAAGCGGCACGTGTCTTAGAAATAGGAAATAGAAGATGGACGTAGCAGTACAAAGGGTCAGGTCATGTCATTCCGCAAGCAATTTAAGTTGCGCGACAGAAAAAGAACAACTTGACAGTCCCCCAATTTTGTTGTCTGTCATCTGTTTATGCTTGACATTTGTTAGCCGTTTGACATTTCTGCCATCTGCCCTGTTTGAGGCCAAAGAAACTCACTGGTATCTTGATTTTAAACTACAAAGCTTAGAGTGACGTATGTTATCAAGAATAGGACGACATGGTAATTGTGATACGTCCATTTATGAGTGCCGCATCATCAGAAGCAAGTAACCGACAGACGGCATTGCTTAGCGGTAGACTCTACCATCACCAAGTGCACACACTTGACGAGAAACGACTGCATCTTCAAACGAGGTGAAACAAAGCGAGCATGTCTCACTGATGGAATGAGGCAATTTTATACTTTGATGTGCATTTGACATGCCCTCATGAGTTTTGACACGCAAGAGTAAACAAAAATGCACCTCCACCGAAGCAAACACTAAAGAGGTGGTTATTTACGCCCTTTAAATTACCCCTCGTAACATTTGCTTTGTATGGGATTATATGCATATTTTTTGGCCTATCCTTTTTACTCTAGCCACTTTTTGTTTGTTTTAGGCCCAAGTTTCCGACGCCTGCAGACCCTGTACGGCACAAACATAAATCAAAAGCGTTTTCCATCCGACAACGCCCTTGACATGACCTACCTGGAGGGGAAACCCCAGGTGTGTCCAATCAGTACCTATTTAGGACAAAAGATTTTTTTGTCGCCACTATAAATAAAGTGGGAAGAATTTTGAAAGCTATAAAAGGAAATTTGGAGGAATTTTAGGGAGAGAAGTGGTGCCCTATAAAAGACGATTAGATTAAAGAATGATGTGATAAGTAATTTTTAAATCAAAATAATTCAAATCTATAAAACGCGCGCTTAGAACAATTTTTGCAAAATTGTTTATTGCATATGCATTCTTAAAGCAACTGTTTTTTTTAAAAATAGGACATCAAGATCTCCGGCTTAAGAGAAGATATTACTGTCAAAAAATAAAGGTTTTATAATCTAGAAAATATAGCGCAAATACTTGCGAAATATTTAGTGAATTATGCCGGACTTCATTCCACAAGGTATAAACCGACAAGTCACGACTAGGCCAAATTTTGTTCGACGATTCTATTCAAATTTGGTTGGCTAATTAAACAAAAATGAAGTTTGCATGCTATTTTTAAAAATTCGCTTAGTCAGCTGCATTAATTCATTCCTTCTTTTTTTGTTAAATTTTATAATGACATAGCTTTAATCGCCAAATACCTACTCATGTAGAATTTTCTTTGGCTAATTATTTAACATTACTACAAAACATGTTTAGGGCTAAATATAATTCTTCACCTTCTTCACATATTTTTGTGTTCTTATTAAGACATTAAAAGAGGTCTTTAAAATTTTCCAATTACATTAACTGATAGCTCTTTTATCATTTCAATTTCATGCACTTCCAATGGGTTTTTAAAGTTGTCTATAATTTTAAACTTGTCTTAAAGTGGCTCATTTTTCAGGCCTAAAAATGTCCGGTTTTACAAACTTATGCAATATTTGGCCTAAAGTTGCAATAATCAAAATTGTGAGCAGAAAAAATTGATTGAAATTTTAAAAATGGTGAATTATTCTAAACTTTTTGGACTAAGTCTTTGCTCTTCAAAGTTTATAAACAATATTTGCTTTTTAATTCTTCGATGTGCTCCATTATTCATCACTTTTTGCGACCTGTTTGGCATCGTTCACGCTTGGGAAATTGGACCTTCTCAACCCAGGTGCCCTTTTGCGCCTAAAATATCCACCTTAACATCTTAAGCGCTATGATAAAAAAATAGCATTATCCTTAGTTGGGGGCGACAACCTGCTTAATTTGGAGGTTTGGACTCCACCGATCGCATTGGACCACGACTTGCTGCAGCCTCTTACTCGACCACTGGTCAAGACTTCGTCTTCGCATGTAACAATGTTGTTGCGTCACTTATTTGTGACGCTGATGAAAACTTTGCCAAGTTTTGTTTTTTACAGATCCGTTTAATCACGACTCCAAAATAATCTCTAATTCGACATAGATATCAAAATTTCTAAGAGTACGCATAACCAATGAACAAATTATTGACTTTGGTTACTATTTTTCACGCTATTGTTGCGTCTGTTCCATCCCCTGAAGAGGCACAGAACAGCCAGCCAATGAATGCGTTGTCAGGTGCGTGCAGACATGTACGCCACGGTGTGTGATCATTTGCGGTGCTGCGTAGGGTGCCAATGGCCAGAAGTACTGACCGAGGGTCGGATTACCTTTCAATCCACTTTTGCTCGCCGAATAGGCTGGTCTACCATGCGTGTAGGTTCCTGTAGTTTGACGCTTCCTCTCCCTCAAATTTAATAAGAAATAAAATTTCCGAGTGTCGTTTTTTACCCAGCTTGCATAGTACAAACACCAAATTTTTTATAAACGCCCTTTTTAAGTAGTCGTTGATTATTTTTCTACGGAAGGCTGAAAAATGTCGCTCTTCTTTGCTGTGCAGACGACAAATGTAAATTGACGTACAAAATTTTTCATTAAAAAAGCATTCCGGAGTAGGTTTCCATGTTATTAACAAAAGTAATTTGAGTAATACCTTGACCATTCCTTACTTATTTATCTTTAGTGAATGAAGGACTTGGCGTATCTTTCAATCCCCATATATTCATATACTAACGTAGCTTCCACTTCTCCTACTTTTAATTACCACATTGAAATTGCAATGTACAATCCGTATAATCAACTGTAAGCCATTAGGAACACGTCATGGACCGTTAATAAGTATGAAGCAGAATCGGGCATTATTTTGCGATCATACGGATTCTTCCGCTGTGATTTCCCGTAGATTCAATTGCCCGTGTTAGCCACTCTCCATCAAGACCACATTTTTTTAAAAGAGCATCATAAAAGGCCTTTAAAATTCTTGCTTGGGGAAAAACAGACACTAAGTTCGTTCTGTCCCACTGCCACCAAAATTACTCTTGAGGACTAAGTGGGGCGTAAGTGACGAAAAGTATGAGATGAACATGGCATAATCGCGAACACTAATTAGCATGGGACCATACTCGTCATGTACATCCATCAATAAGGCTTTGTTAAATGCACTGCAGGCACATTCTGTGCGTTTCAATTTGACCGTCGTCTAGACGTTTTAATCTACTTAGTAACCTTCTTTCTGCCTCGGTTGATTTAATTAAACAAAACGTAGAAACCTGTAAGCGGTGTCAAAAATTTTTTATTGTTCAAAAATATTTAGTGTTTTTATTAAATCTGAATTAAAACCATTTTTAGCAAATGGTTTTTGTTATGCTATTTCGTTGGACTGTTTCAAACTACGAAAAATGTTCTAGCCTATTTAGTAAAATCTAAAACGATTAAGCATCAAAACCAATTACTTAAGCTGCTTACTGGGCATTAAAGTTTTAGAACCTGTCTGTCCAGAGAAACGTCTCAAATTTCTTTGGTTCCTGTTACCGCTCTAAAAAGTACACAAAGTGTGCATTGTTCCAGTAAGAAAAAGAAGTATCTTCTCATTCTTCATTCAGCATGTGTATTAGGAAACATGTGGCAAACGATAAATAGTTTTTAGAGTTTTTTACCTGTTTACACAAATATTTTACACAAAGGTGCTAAAAACCGAGAAAAAAGCATTCCCTGATTTTCTAACTGGCTCTACATGAATGCACTCGTTTATACCTCCTATAAGTTTTTTTTGCACATTTAACAATGTGGATCACGCCAACAAATGACTTTTTACCTACCTTTGTTACTCTGAATATAAAAAAATTTTCTAAACAAAGGTAGAGAGATGTGGTCATGTAACTCAAATGTTTGTAGGTCAGTGTGGCCTTTCTTTTTCGCAGCTTGGCATACGGGCATTGCTATGGTAAGGTATAATAAATATGGGTTTTCTGTTTTAATTGTATCATAAAATAGACAAGAGATCAAAAAGTTTCATTCGTTCACTCTTGCAGCGTCCATTTGGCTTTATTCTGAAATCCGTCTTCTGGTACCAAATTAGGCGACAATTTCGTAGACACCATTGAGGAAATTTATCACTTACGTACCCTTGCGTTCCACAACATGGAGGCGCCATTAGAAGTGTGCCAAGATTTATTAGGAAAGTAGCCCAACATCTCCTAAAACCATACTTTGGTCCCAATTGGTAGCAGAGGCGCATTTGTTTCAGCAACCTAGCCCTCTGAGGCCGCGATTCTTTGTGTCGGGTCGAAAGGCAGGCACGGTGAAAATACAAGTTCGCAGTCGAAGTGAGCAGGCCAGTCCTACCAATGGACCACCGAGCAGTCCTCGTCAAGCCTTCAGAGTCGCGTCTGCTGGAGGCGGAGGAGGATTAAGAGGTGGAAGTGGTGTCACTTTCGACGATCGTATCCGCTCTAAGCAGGTCATTCTTCCACAGGCCGCGCCAATTCCATCACAGGCGTCCAGCAGACGCCCCAATACCTCTTCCTCAGTGGATGGACCTCAGGTACATCCGGATTATTGAGTTTCCATGCTTCCTAGTTAGCTTGGTTGCCCCATACTACTAAACCAAGTCAGCTGATGGTGGCCTTATTTTTGAGTGGACGTGAGTCATCAAAATACTAAGCAATGTAAGGCTGATTTTAAGTGAGCAAAATAAGTCAAATATGTGAAAAATTTGCGAAAAATTTCTAGATTTTAGCATGCATTATTTCAGCCAACCTAAGACTGGCTAACTCGGACCGAACCGCAGTCTTCAAAAGAAGCCAAATAAACTTAAGACTGTTGGTAGTATATAGTAATCTGAAAAGTTTAGGATAATTGACTTCTCTAAGAGTGAAATACTCTGAGTTCTTTGCCACTGCTAACGAGACGGTAATATTTCCTCTCCAAGATCAAGATATGAAAACTATCTATTGCAACCGATTTAAGAGGCGAAAATTTGCCCTATCTTGCTTTTCTATTTAATGCACATTTCAGATATTTTTTTTTTGGGTGGGGTTCTTTCATTCTACAATGAGAGCAATTAAATTTGTAGATGAGTCCAATTAATCGACTCATTTCACCTTAGCCAACATATCTTAAAATTTTAAAGTCTGGAGTGGTAGAAATTCTTTCTTAGAGTCCTCTCACGACTTAAGAATTAATTGTTCGGCTTGAGCCATTGTTGATGGGAGGCGAAATAAGAATTTCCTTTAAAATAAAAATCGGACAGTTGCAGGAAGATTGGGTACTACTTAATTTGCTTAAGTAGAAAATCGCCGTGGAGTTTGTAACTGCATGAAAGAGACATGAGTGAATCAACTTCAGAAACGTATATCCTGGTAGGCATTAGCATGTTCGCCAGAAATTTGATGGTGGCTAGCAAGTGGGTTGTTTGAAGACAATTTGCGGTGTACTCACACGTTTAACGCTACAACAAAACGACCATTTCTCCTCGCAAGTCAGTCAGTTAGTCATCATCAAGCAACGATCGCCAAATTGATGGTCCTTGAAACCTGTTGACACATGTAAGTGCTTGACATTTGGCATTTGCTTGCTAGGCAGCCTCCACAACTTCCCGTTCTCAGGAAATGTGGGCAAACACCAACTGTTTTTTAATCACCGAAATTTTTTTCCTCCCCACACGTCAAAATGTAGTCATTCTACGCTATCTGCAGTGGTACATACACACCTCATTATTAATCACGAATGAAAAATATTCCGTACTCTGACCCCTCCATTTTCCAATTGTTCATCAGCCAGACATCATTGTGGCTGTATTACCAATTTGTCGACTCATCAAAGGAGGTAAAAATGTATGATTAATTTCCTTCCTCGAAAAACAAAACCCTCTCCAAAAAACCAAACCAGACTGAGGACGATGAAAATCTGGTGCTTCCATCAGTACGAGAGATAATCCGACAAGTGGAGGAGATGACATTGAAGAACAGTTCCGCACACAACAGCACCACCTCGCTGTCCAGACATCCTTACTACTCTTATCAGCAGTCAGCCAGTCCTGGATCATCACAACATATGTCAAGGTCAATTGCCCGACCAATGAATGCCGAGCAGTATGGTGGTGCTGCAAATCGATCCCAATCGGCCTCCTCGATTCTGACCAATGGAGGCGGCCTACCTAAGTTAATGAATCATGACGGTGGCTACCATGGATCTGGCTCTAACCCCGATGATTTCTACGCTAACTCCTTCAGCCAAGGGGTAGGCTAGTTGAGCCTAATATCTGCATTCCCCCTTAAGCCATCAGTAAATAAATGACCTCCAAATAGCCCCTTGATTAAGGAATTTTGTTGTATTTCAAAAGCACAAGCTTATCGAAAATTCGTTTTTATATAGCTTGGTTTTTAATGGAAAAAGTACGCCTTTTATGTACCTCCGTTCTTGTCTCTGATTGGTTACTTGCTTGATTGACTAACTGATTGGCTCATTGAGCATGATCGGCAAGCGCATTGACAGAGAGGTATCTCCTTTCCTTTCCCTCCCCTTCCCTTCCCAGTATGCAACAACACGACGAGGCGACCTTGATTCTGACGGCCGAAGAAACGCCACAAATTCTGTAAGGTCAAAACTCATCTGTGTGGAATGCTGACAAATGACCTTGCAAATGCATGCCTCCACGACAAGCATGTTTGGGTCTTTCAGACCATCTGTGGAATGCCTTCAAGCCTGCTGAATGCGAGACAGAAGAAGGGATCTGCTACTTAGTGACTTCATCTTTTCTGATGTTTGTACATAGGCCTTCCATATCCCACGGAAAGGGGAGCAGATAACCACCCTTCCTCAGGACTATCAGAAGGTGAGTGACGGATTAATCTCCGCTTTATTGTACTATCTATCCAACTAGAAAGAAATCATACAAGATCGGCTTTCCACTTGTTATTTGTTAAGGCTGTTTTTGGAAAGACGAAAAGGGGGGTGATGTTGTTTTCTTCAGTATTTATGCGCAGTTTTTCCTATGGTCAGTGCATCCTCACTGACAGGTGTTGAAGGTAAAATGGCGATCAAGTGGCTTGTGGATCCCGGCAGCCCATCACCCTGAACTATTGCGGTGGCTCACCTTGTAGAACTTGAAAAATCAAACATTCTGGGTTGATTTGACCACTTAAATTGTCTAGCCTGTTTCCTTTGCCTTTCTGACGTTTTAAGTCCCCTGACACGCTTCTGTTCCAGTTGCTGGAAGCTTTTCTAGAGCAAAGGAGGCAAATTCAACGATTACGCAAGGAAATCATGGACAAGGATAGACTGATAGCCTCCTTGGAGAAGGACATCCATATGTACGAACCGTGGCGTTGAGGCCTTTCACTCGCTCACTCACCCAACCAAGCAACTTGTCCAGAAGGTAGTGGAACACTTCACCAAATTATTCCCTCCCATTTGTCGAGGATTGGTGAAGTCCCTTTCGGAACTATTTCACCTATCTCCCTCTCTTTCTTCCCTCGCCTTAACCTGAAGCTCTATTCCACTGACTTCTCTTTTCACTCATCTTTTGGTGTGCCCTCTTCCTTCTCCTCCACCTCCTCATCCACCCCATTGACATTTCGATAGTGCCTCTTCGAGCGATGAGGATTGAGGAGAAGAAAACAATCTTCCCGATGGTCGATCTGATGACTTCAGAGACTTGCACCAATCAGTCACTCGCTCACTAACCAATCAACTGATGTGCCCCTCCCAGGTGTCCCCCTCCCGTTACCTTCTACCCGGTCCTTCTACACACACCCGTAAAAATTGATCCTGCGTTGTCCCATCGATTTGAGAGAAAGAGAAAGAGAGAAAGATAATGAACATATAATTTTATTGCGTTTTGAGGGTTTCAACAGATGCAATGCCTTTTAGGCGCCTCTGAAGGGTCAGGCCCGAGGTCATTCGTGGGGTCACATCTGGGTCATGCCCCATTCTACTATAGGTTACACTTGATTAGCCGATGGAGCATAACCGTGCCAGGGTGCTCGAATCATCCCCCAGCCCAGATGCCTCAAATGGATGGTTGGGCTAGGGGCTCGTCTAAAGCGCGCATACGGTTGCGTTCTCCTGACCGCATGGTCGATCGGAAGTTGTCTGTGTACGTCCAGAAGGCAAATTTGGTAGGGAAATGGGCAGCGTACATCTGTCAAAAGCATTTCTGAACGAGATGCAAGACTGTCAGGGTCCCCACCTACATTTTTGTAGCTAGAAACCACGAAGATGGACAGTTCTAAGGGCTACCCTCACTCCTGTTTTTGTAGCACTTATCTCGCGCTAAATTGTCTCCTCCAGTTCCTACCTGATCATGTGTTTGTTGGATGTAGAGTAGCATGCAGAAATAACCTTAAAGTCACACGAAGGATGAAGATATGACACCCTGAGGTGTTTGATTGACCGTCTTCCGATAATCTGATTGGCTAATCCCAGATTATTCTAACAAATGAGATTTTTCTTGTAAATCTTTGCGTTGTATTGAGGTGTATCGAGAAGGTGGATAGGGCTCACCCAACTGCAGCCTCTCACTGACACACACACGCACAAGACGGGGAGATTCCCAATTAGGAAGTGGTTAGTGAGTGGATTGATTATGAGTACCTACTGCCATGTAGGTTCTGCTCACAAGCGTCAGTTGTCAGACCATCTAATACTTTACTTGACCCACTTTTTCTACAATACGACCTGCCACCACACGAAGCCGTCCTAGTGCCTGTGTGGAAGAGGGAAAAAGAGTGGATAAAGAGACAGACAAAAGGTAGACAATGGCAGAGTAGCAAAGCCCAGAAGCTTCAAGGTCATTAAAGGCTGTTACGCTTGCTAAGGTGGCGGAGGCATCGGATGGATCCAGTGTGGACGAATGATCGTCGCGCAGATCCAAAAAATTGGGGCACCTAGAGTGAAAGGATTGGTAACGAATTGATCCACACGACCCATCCTCTGAAAAAAAGATTTCTGTTACGAAGTTTTGGAAACTAACAGGAACCTATGACAACGCAAGGTTAAGACCAATCACGACGAAATAAACACACGTAAATGCGACAACCTTAGTCAGCGGACGTGGACATGGATACTGGGCTCTTAGTATGCGTGGAGTCACTGTTCTGGGGTTCCTATCTCTAGACCGCGACGAGGTCCATTCCCAGATGTACATACAAATCCACAAGAGATGGGTAGGTGGGTTTGGAATAGACTAATAGACTTGGAATGCATCCAAGACCTCAACGCACACACAAGCAATAGCTTCTCTCCAAACACGATAGAATCTCTCTTCACCGGGACAAAATAGGCAAAAAAGGCCGACAGCCAACCGTTTCGAGTTATTTTCGTTTTTCGTCAAATACAAAACACACGAAATGCATCGACGCTACAATAGTCGCAAAGGCAATCTCGTGTTTATGCGATATAGAGACAAAGGGGAGATAAGTAAGGGGGAAGAAAGGCGGGAAGCGGCTAAGAATTTAAAGGAACAAGAGTGGGTGTTGCTGACAAAGATCAGCGCGTCTGCGTTGGAGGTGGTGGTGGAGGCATCAGAGCTAAAAGACACGAAAAACAAGGGGTTAAATCGGTTGTTGGATAGATAAGGCTTACTAAATTTGGCAAAATCCGAAGATGGATGTATGAAGGGGTAGGTGGAGGGGTGCCTAGACACGTCCATCCATTAAGGATGGCTAAATAGAAGTGGAATGGATGGATGGATGAATACGAGATGGGAGGATGGATATACAAAAATAGAGTCCATGGAAAATTACTCACGTTCTTGAGCTGCCGACTGACCCTGGATTATGTTCATATCGATGCACCTAAAAGGAAGCAAAAAAGTTACCAACAGCGCCTCCAATTCCACACCCAACTGGCTAAAGAGTGGCAGGTGATGGAAAAGTCCTACAGGAAAGCATCAACCAATCGACTTGGAAGGCAACAGTAGTTTTCGCCCCCACCGAAACTCAACCCCTCAAAGTGACTTGTCAACTTCAGTGTAGAGCGCACAATGCCTACTATGAAGCCGCTTAACTTTGTCCATCCTATTGCAACGAACTTACTCGGGTCTTTCGCTTCGCTTCTGGAAATGTCGCCTACGAAGATAAATAGCCAATCCAGTAATCAGTCCTACGAGGAAAAGAGCTGCCACTAAAAGAAGAAAAAGGATTTTGCTTCTACCTTTTTTCGGTTTCTTCAAGCCCCACCACACCACCTGGCACTGAAGTGGTAAACGAATCTACCGCCCTTCCACCCACCCTCCATCACATCGAACTCCGTCTTGGAGTGCTCAAAGTTAGTCAACAATAACTGTCCCTCGGGGCAGAAAAAAGCAAAATTAAAAAACCATCGAGTTATTTAAAAGTTAGCAAAGACTTTGCTTCTCAATTTCACCACTTTTTGGTCGATTCAATGGATATGAAACGGGCAATGCGCGTGACACCTTTGTGTTGGAAAACGAAGACCTCTGTGAAGAGAGCCGACGCAAATCCAACCCAGTCTACCTCAGCCTAACTTAAAAAAAAACTCAGAAATCCAGCTTAAACATCGAGGTGGACAACTCCACTTCCCCTCTCGAGGGGGGGGGGGGGGGGGGCTAACATTCGCTTTGACAAGCGTTGGGAAAGAAGGGGAAAAACGGTCATTAGAGAACAAATCTCTTACTTCTCTCACGTTCACCCATCTCTCCCTTTTTGGCCATACATTTTGGAACACAGTAAAATGTCATCCTAGTTAGATGGGACAGTGATCAGGGGAAGGTGCTCTCAACACGTCGGCCACTCGGAGATTCGCGGGCAACTGGCCATTCGCAATCCATTTGTGTTTAACTAGCATTCCTTTTAACCTCTTTTTTACCTTTCCACATTAGAGCATTTCCTTTAAAGGAATGATCTGATGTAGTACAAATGTGTTTGCACGTGATTCGTGCGCTCAGATTAGAAAAGTATGGCGTCACATATATGCGACGCTGGTACATAACGGGTTAAATTCCACATTTACTGGATAAAAAGAAAAGGAAAAAAATTGCAGATTTAGGTATTCTCCAACAAATTCCACATTTTCACACACCATGGCCATAGCTACCCTTGTTTCTATCTCCCATTCACCTCCCTCACCTCTCTTCTACGTCATATTTGTACAGGCTGGTGTCAGGAAAGAGTAACAATCATTATGTGTGGAAAGCTGATCCGAACAATGCGGAAGATGAGAAAAAGCATGAGACAGTATCACCCTTCGCGATTAACTTCTACGACATGGGGCGAAGAGTTGACTCTTTTTCCAGTCCACTGATTAATCCGTTCCAGATGATTCTCAAGAAATTTTCTTGCATACCTTCGAGTTGTATTGACTAAATGAACAGTCGGTGAGGTTACTCACCCGGATATACACTCTTGGCAGTGAAGGGGTTTGTGCCTTAGAATTGTGGGAGGGTTTGAGGATCGGCAATACTACCGTCGCTAGCTGAACGACACAAACCAATCAGGAAGCAGGAAAACAAAAAAGAGACAACACTAGCTGCTTTATGTAGGGTACGTGAAAGAGGGATGTAGGAAACAAACTGACAGCCTTTCGACCTTCTTGTCCACCATTTACCAACATGCCCGACAACTTACCTCATTAGTTGAGGCAGGCTCAGGCTGAACCCTTGTCGGCAGACATCGTGACACCTTCATCTTTGCGCGAAATCATCACCAAAAGATCTAGTAATTTCTTAAATTAGCTCTCTGAGGGTTCATTTAGTATCACGTCTTCTTCTGAACACGTTTAAACACTCGCCATAAAGCAGGGAACCTCGACCCATCAACATCAGACTCAACTGAATGAAGCACCCTAAAATTGGCTAAGCCAACAGCTGTCCAAATGAAGTTGCAGCATTGGACGGTATTTTATAAGCATTTTTCTTCCCCCTTTTCAGTACACCAAGAGTCATTGAAAGAATGGGCAGGTGAAAAAGGGGGGAGCGAGAGGGGGACAATATTAGCGAGTGGACAGATTCTGACCAAAATAAATGCCAAGTCAGCATCATGCACAAATTTGGAAAGTGATGCCAAATGGAAAAAGAACAAAAAGGTGTTTGCAACACCTACCGACGACGAGAATAATAAAGAGCGGTAACGGCAAGTTTCCGATTCGACCGGTGCCTACAATGCACACAGAGGTCAGATATGCACCAAGAAGACAGGCTAATCGTAAAATATCTATTGCTAGGATGAAAATGACTCACATAGATAGTTTGACTCGTCAGACGCATCAAAGCAGTTGTCAACACCATCACAAGTTATGCTATCTGGAATGCAATGATCGCGTGAGTTGAAACACCGGAAGTGCTCGGCTGGACAGCTGAATGTGTTCCCCAGATCTGTAAATGTACCAAACGAAAGACCTGTTAATGGTGCAAAACAAAATTGGGCCTGATTTAAAAGATAAACAGCAAAAAGCAAGCGATAGTGTCAATTGGTGTCAAAGGCCTTAGAATGCTACTGAATTGAAATAAGTAGGGATGGCAATCGACTCCGGTAGACACCAGCACCGGCGCTGCAGTGCAGGTGAGCTGATAATTTTACCCTAATGCCGAAGTGGGCTAATTCTCCTGCGGAAAACTCCAAACTCTTCTGTATTTCCGTTTTAAATTAGCCAATTAATGAAGCGCACAAAGAAACATAGCAGTTGTCCTTTTGTTTTGCGAAGTGTACGGGTTACGTTGAAAGTGCGAATTTCTCCACAGGACTGGTAAAAAATTGTCAACATTGTATGTTTCTAAGGCGGCGGTGCGACACTGTTTATAAACTTTACTAAACGGATGTAAGGAATGAACGAATGAATGCTTGGGTAAGGCGGACGTGGCCTTATTTTTAGACGTTTTGCGCTGTGACTTGATCTGCACTGTCAAATGGACTAATTCTGCTGTCTCCAGGGTTTGCGTTTTGGCGTCAATAGCCTCCCAGGCCATCCGTGCATTCTTAATCAATTTCCCGCCATATTAGCGTGGCTTATCACGATTTCAGGGAAAAACTCAAGGCTGTGCATCCTCTACACGGAACAGCTGTGTTGTACAAAGGACTGGTGTCACGTTAATATCAAGGGCTTAAACGGAGAGGAAATCTTGCGCCACTAGACCCTCAAAAAACAACGCGTGCCCTATAGTCCCAACAACGGAGAGGTGAGTAATCGTAGAAGAATGCAGGACCAAGCAGAGACCGATGAATCATCAACAGAGATGGCAACGGAACGAAGGAGGAAAGCATATGCACACATCGTTGGGGGAGGGGTCTCAAAATTTGGCTAGTAATTCAAGGTAGACAGGTTCGTAATTACTGCTGCGAATTCGGGTATGAAAAGAGAGGTAGACCTTTAAGCTATTTCACAAACAATAGTGTGATTAAAAATACCTCTTTTTTACAGGCTAACAAGGAAGTAAAACAAAGAATACTGCTTGATTTCCTGAAAAAAAGAACGTTGAAATACGGTGGCGTAGGGAAAAGTAGGTGACAGCTCAGAAGCACCTTTGGTGTGAATGATACCATCAATATAAGTAGTTTAGTCAGTAGCATTGCGCCCTAAAGAAATGACTAATTTGAAGTCTGCTAGATGATGGTCTAGAAGAAAGAAGTGATTTGCGTGAAGGAAAAAGTGCACAAACCGCAGCAATAACACAGAAGACTGACAGCAAATCAGTCGAATTGACATTTACATAAACGGTGGCAAGCCTGTATAACGCCCAAAACAATAGAAGGAGATGGAATTCGCTGATCAGACGCGGCTAAATGACTTACAGTACTGTCTAGGTGGGCTTGATTGCATGAGGCCAACTACTACCGATAGTTTGGTTGTTGGTACAGACGTCGACACTCACAATGCCAACCGATTCCGTAAGGCACATGCATAGCGCTCAAAAGGACATTGCTATATAAGTAACTATGTAAGTAACATAGCAAGCGACGCATTTGCGAAAGAAGACTAAATTGGTCAGTATCATCTAGGAAAAATGTTTATTTTACTTTTATCAGAGCTAGGTGGTGACGATGGTTAAAAGACGACTGGATCAGTAGCATAATAAGTGGTAAAAGGCGCCGAGGTATTGGTTTCGTACAATCGACAGCAGTTGATCAGAGAGTTCGAAGCAATAATAAAAATAAAATTTTATCAACAGACCGTGGCGGCCTTACCAATATAAGTAGCGTAGTCAGTAGCATAATCACCACTGAAAGCGAACAAACACAAACCTACAGAATGGAGTGACGGTAATCTCAAAGCTGTTCGTATTGTCAAAATCGGCCGGATCAAACTGCACCATCAACTTCCGACCCGGCATTGAGGTCTGGACTACCGTGTTGACGGACCCGGCATCTGTGTTACACGTAGCCTTGAACTAGGAAGGGACAAGACCAAAAAGCAAGAATCTCTCTATCAACCATTAGACACAAGCAGTGCATTCTGTTCGCGCTACCTTCTACCTGGAAAGTACAGATTGTCTGGAGACTCCCACTTTCATGGCTCTTCCCGAGGTCACGTTCTCGCCCAGCCCCTCCTGATCGACTGGTGATTACTACTAGGGCCACTGTAGGCGTGCTACCACTCATTATAAGGTCAAGGTCAATCAAATGCCGCTAAATATGCGCAGCAGGGACCACCGCGTGTCTTCGGCAGCCCCCACAAGCCAGTCGGCTGTACGGCACGCCCATGCTATACCCTCTTGCCCACTCATAACTATCGACATAAAGGCATCCGTATCTCAGTCTTGCCTATTGAAAACCCTGGGTTACAACAACTCCCCACACGGAATTGACTCCCGGTGTTACACATGGCCTTGACCTAGTGAGCGTCAAGATCAGAAAGTTTCACTGAACAAAAGCACTATTTCGCTCTGTTTGAGTCCAGTTTCTCAGGCCAAATAAATGGACAAATAAGTAAGCCATAGCAACACGGCTTCCCTGAATTCGTAACTGAGATCTGAGATATCGTCTGGCTTAGTCATCTAGACAACCAGTCAAGTTCAATGGCATTTAAAAGGGCAGACAGCAGTTTCAGCAGGCAAAAACATTACAAAGCCAAGATTGCAGTTAATCCACCCCTTTAAGAAAAAGGGGGTGATTTCTCCACACCCTGACTGGGAGTTTGGAATACTTTTAAGCGTGCCGAATTGCCTACTATCATTATATCAAACACCGGTAGTAGCACACAATTAGTAAGTTGATAATTACCGCTGTTAATCGGTTTGAGAGGTAGCAAGTATAAACCTTACTTAACAAGCAAGAATCACAGACCGATCTGACAGTGAAAATTTTAGTTGTCAAATTTTGTAGAATTCTATCACCCTTAGAACTACTACTACTCCAGAAGCCAAAGCCGCAGGCAGTAAATGGTGTGCGCGACAATCAGGTTGGACCAAGACATCTAACCTCACAAGTCTTAAGTGAGCTGCAAACACAGGAGCACTATGTGTAGCGGTAAACGTCAGCAACCACACCGCGGACCACTCTAAACCAGACACGGTTAAAAAGGTGGTAGACGGTAGCGATTAGATATGGCGCAAAAAAGGCGTAAACACAGCAGACAGTTATTCGCAGAGAAGACTTCAAGCACGATGCGGAGCGGTGATAGGATACTCAGACGCAAAGCTATAAGCCAGGTGAGCAGTGTAGTCGTTTCGAATATAACCATAAATCAGTCCCCCATCTCACCATCACATTCAGCGTATGAAACATGCCTAATCAAAAAATCTGACTATGACGGTCAAAAAAAAAACGATTCAGCGACATTAAAAATTTTGACGGGCCGCTAAGAGAGTAAAGTGTTAAAATCTGGCAAAATTTCTCCTGCTCCAAAATTGGCACCTTTCCCATAAACTGCTCCTCTTGATTCCATTTCATTATTTTATGCTAGTTAGCAAACAAATCAACAATTCCATCAACCATTTAGGCACCTTCAAATACTTAAGAAAATGGAAAAAAATGCTTGATTTTAGTTATGCAAAACGAAACTTTATTCACGGAAATAAAACCGGTGAAGCATATTAACAGTAAAAGAATGCACATGGAATAAGATCAGAAATATGTGAATCAACGGGCGACTTACTAGTTGATTATCATCACTGGGTTGGTAAACATTGAGAGAAGGGAAGTTTTCCGATTCAGGAATCTCATTGAGCCTCAGAGTGGAGTACTCCGAAATAGAAAAGCTAGGGCAGTTCCCCTTCAGATCCAGTTTGTTGATCCGCACACTTAAGTAGTAGTTAGTGTAGACGGAATCAAGAAAGCACTTGGTGCTTCCACGGATGTTACGACCAAAAAGAACAACGCTGTCGAAACGAATGGGATTTCTGGGACTCTGGAAACATTCCAACGCGTCGACTAAATAAAAAAGCAAGAGGGAATAAAGAAGAGGGGAATGCTTACTAAGCTCCGTTCTTGAATCGATGGGTGGAGGTAGGAAAAATAAAAGGGTTGGAAACAACCTAAAACCATAATATATAGAAGTATGGGACACTTACCAAAACATTTAAAGCCGGTTCTGCAAAAGAAAAACAAAAAGTTAAACAAAAATCAAAAACAAAGGCGTTCTAGGTGAAATACAACCTCAACACCACAACGCCGAAAACTCGTACAGGTGAAATCAATTCAAATCTAACCATAGATTAAGAAAAGCTACATATAAGGCAAAATCAATTCACCAAGAATCAGTCCCAGTCCAATTACATAAAATAAAAATACAAAAGAGAAATGAGGAGGCCAAATGAACCAAGCTAACAACGAGCAAAGTCCATATCAAAGTTTGCTGGAACGGAATTCACAGATTTAGACTCAGTTCCGGACTGATGTTATAAGGAAGGCAGCAATTTGAGGGGAAACTGTACCCTAAATTACTTCCGGTTGTCGACAGCAGCGCCAGCTCCAAACTTAAGCCAATTCATAGTTGCGGACCAATAAATGCATAGCCTAGAAAAACCTTGTGTATAGAATTTTTGGGTCGATGTGATAAAACTAATTTTACCCTACTTAAAGGTATGTTTCTCCCAAGGACTTGCACTATGTCAGTAAAGCCAATTTATTTGCGTTAAAAATAGACCAATTAGTTTTTTTGGTTTTGTACCTTTTTTGCTGGGAAGTCAAATGGGATTTGTCAACTCGAAAACTTTGTTTCAAGTTGTTATAGCATAAAATTTTAGTGATGCTAAGTTGTGTACCCTCTTATATTGTCGTATTTAAAAAGTAACATTAATTAGAAAAGGTTTAACTCCTAAATCATCCCTACTAACCAGAAATTGTGAGATTTGCCAAAAAACCTCTCACAAGTCTCTATATGGTTGCATCTAAACAAGTAGGCCATCGAGCGCTCTTGATCACACCTAGTTTTATCAAACAAATCTGAAAATCTTAACAAACTCCTAGTACCCACAATACTTGTGGAACCCACTTCGCATGGGAGTTTGACTGTCACCCTTGCGTACTGTAACCAAACAGCTAATATCCCCAACTAGTATGGCATATTCTTGAGAAGCCACCCTCCTGATACTCCTCAACCTTTTTTATCACCCGCCCATTTCACTTTCAACGCTAGACTATTTAAACACGCGAAAATCGATAGCTGCCACGTGACTTCCACACACGACCACTTGCACCCATCGCACCTACACTGGCCCCACAATGGCACCGTATATGACTCGATCTAGAAGCCGATCTCAGATTATCAATGCAACCCCCATTTGCACTTCCACGCCAAAGAGGTCAAGGCCATCACGTCCATCACGCAGAGAGAACAGAGGGGAAAACACGGCAGCGGTGCGGAGCACTACATCACATGGGAGTTTCTCCCTATGCAAAATAATGATGAGGGTGTACCAACTCCTCACGTACTTGATCTCCGCCGTACTAGTCATTGGAGGCTGGATCCTCGTTCAACAATTCTTCCTTTGTAAATTCCTCCCCTAGTCCGGTTGCTCACTCCCCCTAGGCAAAGTGTACATAGGTGAATAAGATTTTTGAGTTAATGCCTTGCTGGCCTTCTGGTTTGTCCCACCCCCGCACCCTCTCCATTCCATCAAACGGAAAGTGGGAAGAAGTTGGTCTTGTGTCAGGTTTTAAGATTTCCACACTATTTGTGCCTTAAACCGAAGGATAATGTGGTCAGGAAACTAAATCGCGCGCAACTTTGTTCCACCTAATCAATGAAGGTCACTTATTATTTAATTAAAAAGGTTGATTATAATATCGATTTTTATGTGGAAAAAAGACGAAAAATGCGGAAATTTGAAGCGGCTATAGTATTTGCCTTAGTATTGTTTATTTGGGCAAGTGGTCGGGAGATTTTCAACCCCAACGGTCCCGAGTTTGAGGGCACGAGTGGGCGCTTCATCTATGCCATATTCGCCTCCGTCGAAGTGAGCCACTCCAAGGCTGTGGAGATGTGCTCCACCTTCTATCCTCAAGGAAGATTAGCCTGGCTAAGCGATGGAGATGTGGAACCTCTGAGAGCCATAGTTGACCAGGCGATAGCCTTTCACTACATGAATTTGAACAACTTCTTTTGGATTGATGGTCATCTGGAGGATGCTAGTTGTAGGCCTCAGAACACATCCTGCAAGTGGACTGCATCACCTTCCAGCCACGTGGAGAGTGGAGCCGCCAGGAGCTTCACAAATAATGATGTGGTGTTCCACAAACCTCCACCTGTTCTTGCAGCCAACAAGAGCGCGGAGGATGGATCCTTCTGGCCCGTTCTGCTGCTTAATGTCAACATGGAATTCGAGGCGCCGGATGTGTTCATTCTGAGTGCAGCGCCGGGCTACGTGAAGGGTGGATTTATCTGCGCGCATGAGGGAGACCACGATAGGTGTCCCTTTGGTTTCGAGCAGGTGGCAGCAACCCGAGTGCCCGAAGAGCTTGTTCCAAAGGTGGTAACTACTAAAAAGCTGTGTGGCTGGTAAAAAACATTTACGATGTTTGGCGCTTGAATTATTCAAAATTCGAAGTTATTACTGTCATTCTTCCTAGGAGGCTTAATGGCCTTTGCATAGTTGGGGCTCACATGAATTGCATTCTGACATTGCTGGTTTGCCATTATAACCAAACTTGGAAATTTGCTCCAATATTCTTCAAAACTGTCATGTTCATGATTATTTTCCCAACATTTCGGAAGTTGCGCTTCTGCTAACGCCTTTCTGATTGGCCGAGGTCGCGTTCCAATGCATTTTAGGTGAGGCGATAGTCGGTATTAGTTCAAGGCCAATCAGGTAAAAAGAGATACGGTCGAGTAAAACTATTGAGGGACTCAGGAACAGATACTTCTCACTGGTTTGCCTACTCACTCACGTCCGTTGGAGTAACATCTAGTTGGAAGTCCAAAAGGGTTCAAAGCTCACGATTTTGGAATTTGAAGTTGGACGTAGAAATACCTGACTATCACTAGTTGACCAAAAAAGTTCATGAGGTCTTGTTATAGCTCAGCGCATTGATGTGGTTTAAAGAGCTGGTATAATAAAAGCAAGCGTTATTCTATCGGCTCGAGGCACTCTTTATCATACTCGCATCTACTTCACTATTTCTTCCACGGGACATGTCAAAAAGTGTCAACTGAATTAGACAGGTGTAACTCAAGCCTGCGGCTCTATGAAGAAGGTTCAACTGGGTCGGAGAACCTCAGAAGATGCGTAGAGCATTTACAGGTACGATTGAAAAAGGTGTCACTAGGCCATATTCTGAAAGACCCCTCTTAACCTTCCTGGCATCAAAGGATGACACATGACTACTGACTAAGGTGAAAATGAAATAACGCCTCAAGAACGTCAAAGACGCAGCGATTTGAAAAAGTATGCATCAACTAAAATGGAAAAATCGTGGGACCCACTGGAGCAATGACCACCATAGATGACAAACTAGTGACAGATAATGGAATGAGCGCTTAGAGGAACTGTCAAATAGATGATCAGTGATAATAAATGGCTTTTAAATTACAACACAAAGTGCACACTCGCCACCACACCCACAATTCCAAGGCACGCGTCACTCCAACGGTGGGCTGGGGATGTGATACAGGAGTATTTGCTACGACCACCTCTCTGAAGGCCAAATTCAACGCAAAAGGTGTGGTGATATCGGGAGAGACAACCTTGTTTTGCTGGAAATAAATATACAGAAGAACCTGTGGTTCCTAGAATTATTCACCTTGAATCTTGACAATGAATAGGTAAGTTTAACCCAGTTGATTTTAGTGAGCCCTGTAAGTTCAAGTACCAGTACCCAAATGACCTTCCTGTCGAAACCAATTGAAAGCTACGCAATACATTAAAGCACAAATGTACAGAAGAAGTAAGTAAGATGGCAAGGAGAAGGAGAGGGGGAAGGAGATTCATCGGCGACCTCTACCACCTCTTTCACCCCTTCTACTACCTCGCGATCCCCTGCCCCGTGAGGCGCCACCACGACCATTGGAAGTGGTGTTTGAAGCAGTGGCGGTGGGGTTAGCTGCTTTACGAGCAGAAAGCAGTTTGCACATCTCATCGGAGCAGAACACGCAGCCGGTGAATTTGGCGGGTATCGATGAATCACCTGACTTCAACTTACTCTGTGGGGAGTGGAAAGAAAAGGCGTTAATGAAATTGGAGGCTCTTTCAGTGATGTCACCAATGCGACCATCAGGAATAATCGGCCGCTCAATCCTCGCGATGCCAGATTGGTCACTTCTCTGCAATAAGATTGGGCTATGGGTGGTAACTGCAGATTGGTTCCTTAACAGCGAATTAGGTCTCACTCCTTCCCAATTGGTGAAGGCAAGGTTAGACATCTCTACTTAAACAGCACCCTGGATGTTTTGTTGTTGTTTGAAACTACAGACATCAACGAATGAATCCAAAAAAGTTGGAGAAGAAAAAGAATGGCTTACTGTATCAATTTGGAGGGAAAGATGCCGAGCCGTACACTCCTCGCAGGTCGCCTGTCGGACAGAAGCAGATTTGACTGCTTCGGAGAAGAGGATAATGGCATCGCACCTACATGAATGAAGCATCAAAAATGTTGATAAGGTTTAATTAATAACAAAGGAGTGGAAAAGGACCCCAAGGTGAACACAGATATGCTTGAGGCAGTAATGAACACCTACTGGTTGCAACAGAGGCGGAATTTGGGCGCATGCGCGTCGTCTAACACAAGCGTTCCCTGGGAACACTCTGTGCAAGCGTCCACACCATTCACAGCCAGCGAAAAGGTGCAAGTGGGATGGAGACAATTTGCACACCCCGTGTTCCTCCGTTGCCCCGGAAAGGGTGGATTGATGTAGCAGTAGGGACAGAAGACCATGCTCTGTAGGTTAGTCCGAGAGAAAGTATGGCTTCAAGGAGAGTAGCTCTTTGATAGCAGATTCTAACACCGAACCATTACCTTTCCCTTGGCGCCCTGTGTCCACAGCACCAGTTCAAAATCATCCAATGGGCACTTAGTCTCCTTATATGGTCGAATCGATCCATTCTGCGGCACCGCATAGGTGTCGGAACACACCGGACAATGCAGGCGCTGTGGTTTCGAATCCACCAGCTTCAGATAGCGTCGGCACTTTCCACATCGCGTGAGGGGCCGACCACATTCTGCCAGACTGGAGAAAGAGACCTCAAACAGTTGGTCCATTGAAGCGATGTGTTCTACGAAGTAACGGTATTTGGTGGCGAAGATGGCAAGGACGAATTGGAGGACACGGTGAAAGTCAGCTTCACCAGTGGCGATACGATTGAGCTGCTCCTCAACAGCACGACGCATGTGGGGTAGGACGAGTTCCGCATCGATGGAGTGGTAGCCATGGACCAGAACCACACCCAAAGGGGTCGGCTTCAAACGACGACCGGGAAGAATCTGTAAGCAAAGGAGAGGGGATGATTAGGATCCGCACAAACCCCCATAATCGAAGACTGAGACGACGATACCTAAGTACCTTGCAAGCATTCGAAAGCAACAATAGATGGCACACGCATACCTCGACATAGGCCCTCTCCACAATGTTTTCAATATGCACCGGGATGGAGGCATCTGTTCCAATTCCATGTCTCTCCATGGCCGTGATGAGATCTGCTTCTGTGAGGTACCCCGGAGGGCTCGTCTGACCCTCCACAAGACGCGGTTTCTCTCCCAGTGGTAAACTCGAGCCTGGAGTGGTAAGTGCGGCTGCCAAAGTCACATCGGGACCGTCGCCGTCGTCAATGTCACGCCCAATGGCCTGCCACGTAAAGATACGTGTATAACCGGGCTCAAGGACACGAGAGGCGCGAGTGATGAATTTTTCCTCACCAATACTCAACACCACAGTAGTGGTTTCGTACTTGCAGTCAGGCATGAGCTAAAAAGAGAGCGCAAATAATTGGAATACCTTTTAAAAGAAGTGCGTAAGTCCAGTGACGTCTGAGTCAAATCAAGAAGGGGCCTAAAGCTGATGATAACCTAGAATGAGCCTGTAACAACAAGTTCAGAAGTGATTGAGGAAGAACTACAAGTTTACTGCCAGAAAAAACTGATCCCATTCTATCATCACTTTTCACTCGCACCTGCGTCCGCTCGGTTCAAGCCAACGCTTTCCGTACATCTGTGTAACCGCTTGGGTGAAAAACAAAAAACCAAAAAGGCAAGCCGACTTACCGTAGCTATAAAGTGCTGAGCCACGTACTCGTAGAGACGGCCGGCATCGCCAGAGAGCTCTGTGGTGCATCGCATCGGTGCAATAGGCGGGTGGTCGCCGGCGTTGTGACCGGCGCGGGGGTTATGATAGCCCGACTTTAGAAGATCGCTCACCACGTCACCCCATTTTGGGTGGTTCGTCTGGAGATGAAGGAGAGGGGGAGAGAAGGGACGACTCAAGGAGAGGGTATTTTAATGAGACCTAATAAAGAATGTAGCTTGATATTTCTTTGGTTGCCCATGCACCACAGAGGCTCAGGATCTGAGTGGACAGATGATCTATAGGTCCAATAATGCTAAATTCGTTAGCCGTTGAAGTCCTACGACGTAACTTTGGACTTAATAAAATGGACGAGGGCGTCACTGATGCTGTAATTAAATGCCACAAACCACTTCTAGACTTCCGACGTTTTGAGCTTCATCCAATGGGCAGTAATGAAGTCAGCGGTTGAGGAAAGGGAGACGTACGTGCTGTCGCAGCAGCGCCTTCAAATCCATGGAGGGCGGGTAGGCGGTTGACTCGGTACGAGGATAGTTGATGAATCCGGAGGTGTAGAGCCGCTCTGCAATAGCCATGGCGGCGTGAGGACCTATGCCAAGTGAGGCACTGGCCACCCGTAACATCTCCACTGTGTTCAGACCCTGGGGACGCGGTTTCACCTTCACCTTGCGATTCACGTCCACCACTCTGGGCACGAGGGAGGGATTAAAGAAAACAAAAGGAATCCAAAAAAAACTAGTTTTGTTATCTGGTGATGTCGCTGAATATTAAAGAAAATAAAAACCCAGTGATGACTCACAGGGCCTTGTCAGCACCAGAGACAGCATTGAGGAAAACGGTTGCAGCCTCCTTGTCAAACAACCGATCACGATTCCACGTCAAGGGAAGCCGGTCGCCCTGCTCGTTAACCACTACCTGAGAATTAGAAGGTTGAAAATTATTTGCCACGAAAGAATAGCAAGTCAACACACCTATGTTCCGAGATTAATAAAGTGCGGCTGCCCAAGCACCTGACAGAGGGGTGCTAGAGCAAAGGCACTTGTTCCCAAATCTTAACCTATTGTCTTTTGCATCACAGAGGAAAGTGCCTAATCCCCTCTTAGGGAAAAAGGGGAGGTATATGATATGACAACATACTAGAGGAGCAATAGAAACTGCTTGCGCTTAAGGAGCAAGAGAAAATTGTCCAGACGTTTAAATGAGATTCAAATAGACGTTTTTTAAAAAAAAGGAAACAAACAGATTCACACCTTCTACATGGTAACCAGGCGAGGTTGTGATTAGAAGCTTAATAAAACATCAACGATTCATAATCCCTTTCCAATAAGACAAAAGCCAGAGAAATCCACTTTTGCAAAATGTCTCAACATTCCCCTGAAAAAGCCTCATCAGACGTCCAATATATGACGCAAAACTTTGTTGCAGACAAGTAATCATAAACGTCGGCCAAGTATCATATTACACAAACCGACAGACAGAGAGGTAGACCACAATTTGGTTTAACGCAACGGCTTCGGAAGTGAATGCATTCATTCCAAATCATGAAGCAATCGGAAATGTTTGAGGAATTCATTCTAAATTAAAATTAATGCCTTTGGAATAATTCTTCAAATGAGTCCATTGACGAGATCACCCTTGTAGTCAAGGCCCCTATCTCAAGGCGACAAGAGCAAGCTGAATACGCATTCCACTGTCATACAGCGACTTGTCACTAAAGATCTAGAATAAACCTGAGCTCAGCCCACCCCCGGTTCCGATTACATTTCTTCTGTCCAACTTCCAATTCCATTTCGCAGGCATGATCCTTTTAATGTCTAATGCCTGTGCCAAAACAATGTGTCAGCACTTCCAGCATGGAAATTTACTTCAGGAAACCATAGAGGATAAGATGGGCGAGAGCCAATACGTCCTCTCCACACTAACTAAAGTGCACATCTCCCCACGCAAAAGTTTGGCGTTGTCTTGCCTTCTGATTGACGGACTGATCCTATCAATTTCAAAGAATCATCCTTTACTACAAGCTTTCGAGTTGTGCTAGATGGCATACAAAGATTATCTGGCTCTTAGTAGATAACCAATTCGGCCTACAATATACGCCGCAAACGCTTACAAACACCCAACTGTGGAGTGAGCAGTAAGTGAATCGCTTAAAGCGGACCAAAGACATGAACGTTCGCTTCACGTTGCAGAATAAAAGTTACCTCACATCACAGGCAAATGAGTCAGTCGAGAAGCAATTTAAACGGAGACAGAAACAATAGCATAGTATTTTTCAAATGGCCGGTCCCACCTGCGCATATAACACACCAAATGCATTACAACAAATTTGCCGAAAATATTCGACAGCTTTGGGAACAAGATAAACTGGCCTGGTAAAGCGAACACGCTCAAAGCACATAGATCAGATTCAACCGACATTCTACGATAGGGTTATTATAGGAGAAATATTACTTCGCATAGACTCCTTAAGTAGTATAACCCCCAACTAACCGAAGCAGTAAGTCGCCAGAAGGGTTCAGGCTTGAAAGACTGAATGCGGTCGTGGCGTTTGACGCAGAAGCCCAAAGTCGGGGTCTGACAAGGACCGAAGGAGACAAGACGACTATTCAAATCGCCGTATTTGCCCTGAATAAGGAAAAAAGTGGAATAACGAAGTGCGGACCAAAGGAGCGTTTTATCAATCCGAGGCATTGAGTAGGTTAGCAAGTGAGAAACAGGGCAGATGTTAAAGCCGGAGCTTCGTCAAACTAAATAGGGAATACTAGGGATGATTAAATGCAGTAGTCAGAGCGTAGACAGCTGCCTAAAATCACAAAACATGAGGGCAACCAGAATACATGGATGTGTAGGTAGATAGGCCTAGAGATAGGTGAATGGGTTTGTCTAGATAGATCGAGAACACAAAGGTGACTGCACGGTAAATTCAAACAGAACAAAAGGCTGGCCAAGTGATTAGACAGATCATTTGAAGATAATCAGTGATGTGTTCAATCAGTTAGTGTCGCAATGCAAAACTCATCCCTCATCACAGGTCATTCAGTCAGGAAACAATCTAAAGTGCACCATATTTTTCTGTAACGCATATAAAAGTAAGTATTAAAATGATAACTATCTAGTGCTAATGCAAGCAGTAGGTAGGTACGCTCCGCTACCGCATACCGTTCCCTCAACAAACACTCGCAACAGATATGACAATTGGATCATGCAGCTTCGTGAACAAACTCCAAAGAGGAAAAGTAGAAGGCACAAATAAAGAGGACTGTATGGAGAGAATTGTACAAATATGCAACTTACATTGCATGTAAAGAACATCCATTACATACGCCTATACAAGTTACGAGACAGTTCAAAGAGCTATATCAAAACGGCAATAATTTTCTTCCACACCTGGCAATTTATACCCCTTTGTAGGGCAGTCAATTTTTGACCCCGAATTACTCATCACAGCAGTGTAATAAGAGTAAACAAGTGGGATTTAAATTCAATACACGCTTTTTCACCTGAAAGAACTTGGTTTGAAAACGCGTAAAAGCACATCCGATTCGCAGGTCCGTCTCTTGTCTAGCGTCCACAGACAACGCCTCGTTTTTATTTGGTTGACGGAGATTTTTCATAGCTACTTGGACCTCGTGATCCGTGACTGCGGTGAAATGAGCCCGGTAAATCTGTGCCTATTGGTAAAATAAAAAGGCTTGAAGTTACTGGAAAGACCGGAAAAGACCGGTAAGAGAATCAAGGACGGACCTGTGGACCCATAACTGGAGTCACGGCTTCAATCACTTCAAAGCAGATATTCTCACCCTCTTTGTCACAGTCCAGCCAAAGAATGAGAGAAGAAGCTCCCTTTGCTTCTTTTTGAAGAAAATTTACCATCTTCAGTTTTGGATTTGCCTCTTTTTTCTCAATCTTCGCGGAAAATAATTCAACCTACATAAGAAAGATTAGGAGAGAAGATGAGACTAACCGGATCAACAACATCCCAGTTATTAAAACGACCAACAAAGTCTAGAGTCATGACGTGACCGCACACTGAGGTCATTTTGAAACGAACCGGGCCCCCACGAAATGTTCCATTCCACTCGTGGATACTGCAGGCACCACTACTACCTCTGCGAGATGTGTGACTACCATGTGACATAATTTTAGCCAGAGCTTCGGCCAGAGATGGCTTTTCAGCCACCATCAAAACAACGTGCATGCTGAGATCGGTGGAGTCGACCTAAAAGTACTGTTTAGCAAGCAATAATCAAAAAAACACCGAACAAAAAAAATTGCAAGCAGGATTTCTAAAAAGACGTAGTTCTAGCATCGAGAAAGCAAGAAGTTCTACAACATTTACGCACGCGTTCAGTAAAATCAACTAGATTGATTCCCCACTAAACACACACTAGCATGTTAGGGTTAAAATGGATATACCACGGAAATCTGACCAAAAATCCATGCATAAAACACTCCGTAATTTTACGACAGTCGAAAAATCGGAGGAGGCGAATCAGGATTAAGGGAGAGACAGCATACCTTGTGCTGCAGCAGGCCAATTAAGAAAACGGCAATATGATTGGACAACATAACCAGCAAAAGATTCCGCACGGTTATTTACAGATAGAGTACGGAACGTTTTGCGGCAAAGAATATGTTGAAACTAAAAAAGTTTATTGTTCTTCTCGATGTACCGTTCAAAGTTTATAAACCCAAGTCGCAAAATTTAAGAAAAAATAGTCACTGAATAGGTCAGAATATCCATTTGGAGCAACTTTCGGCATAGTTTAACTAGGCGTTAACCTATGCACTATGAAAATACTCAACAAGGAAATTAAATAAACCAATCTGACTTGAAATCTTTTGATTCATTGGTGCGCTCTAGGTTAATCTGCCATTGGACAAATGAGACAATGATTTCGAGCGGTGTTACGGTATTCTACGCGCTTTCTTCGCATGGTTTCAGGTCTCATCTCTGTGACAAAACATCGTTTTTTAACGAATTTGGACGCTAATGCCAGCAGATTTACCTTTGTTCAACTTGCTGACCCTCAGTTGGCTCTACTCGAACGCTATGGAGAAAAACGTGACCCACCCTATAAATGGGATCGTGAACTTGCTCTTGTAGATCGTGCCATCTCAGCTATAAACAGGCTTTCCAGCAAACCTAAATTTGTTATAATTTGTGGTGATCTGGTGGACGCTGAGCCTGGCCGATCTGAAAGACAGGATCAAATTTCAGACTTGAAGTCATCCTTGGCGAAGATTTCTCCAGATATACCCATTTTTGTCCTGCCTGGAAACCACGATATCGGAAATAGTCCTTCACCAGCCGATATTGGCGATTACACATCTTATTGGGGGGATGACTACTTCACATTTTGGTGTGGTAAAGTGAAGAATATTGTCGTTAACTCTCAACTTTACTTCGATCATTCGAGTTGTCAAGCCGAGTTTTCAGCTCAGGATGGCTGGTTAGATAACGAACTTTCCACAAGCGAGAATGAAAATGCAGAGAATATTCTTATTTTTCAGGTGAGCTAGACTGTGCAGCATGATTACTCCCCGTCTTCAGCACATTCCACCATTTAAAAAGTCACCAAGTGAGGAGGATGATTACTTCAATTTGCCAATAAGCGTCCGTGAAGACTTGTTAAATCGATACTACAAGGCTGGAGTGCGCTACCTTTTCTCTGGTCACCTTCACTACAACAGCGGTGGTCTATGGCATCCACAAGGGGGCAATTCCAGTACTCCACTTGAAATCATTTCCTCCTCAGCTGTGGGGTTCCAACTCGGGCACGACAAACCGGGTCTTCGTATTGTTCGTGTCACTCCCACCACCGTCACCCACAAATACTTCGCTTTCGATGAGCTGGAACAAGACCCAAGCATTGTAGAATCCCGATTTTGAAGTTTCTAACTTTCCATCACCCTACTCCCCCACGTCCGCTTTTCATAAACCTTATTTCCCTTTTAATATCATTCGATCCGATTTCCATTTGGTGGTAGGGGATTCATAGCTTTTATTTATGTACCAAATACAGTCCTATTTTATCATTTGTGACAATCTTGAAGGTGATGAGGCGTTCCTAGGTCACAACAACGGTTTTGTTCCCTTATAGGCTACGTCTTGGACACGAGGGCTTCTCCGATTTCTGCTTCTCTCGAATCGGACGATTTTTGTTAGAGCCTCAAGCACTGGGAGTAAATACCCCAGTACTTCTCTTCTGCCTTCTCTTCGGGTAACCCACGAAACTGTTCGTGATTTTGATATCCCCTTGACAACGGGCAAATCGATGAAGCCGAAACCACAAAGGTTTGCACCTCCAGTGAGTTCATGTTTATTGATGAAAGGGTTTTATCAAGCACAGAGGTTTTCTGATTCCTGTATTTTTGTATAGGCTAGCGTTCGGGCAGATTTTGTTGACTGGATTTGTCGTAGATTTATGTCGGTAATGCGTAAAGTTCATTACTTTCTTGCTTGATCAGTGCTTGAAGTCGTCTGCTTTTAAAGCTCTAATCGGTTGAACGCTATTGAATCAAATGTTATGGATGGAAATGTCATGATATCATCTCAGCCTAGGGGGAATGATCATATTGAGTGACCGAAAAGTACGTGAGGTTTTCTGGTAGGCCTCCGTGCAGTGACAGCTAATAACTTGTTGTACGAACTAGCAGTGTGCGTCAAACTATCAGTACGATATTTCGTATCGAGCTCTCAGCTCTTCCCCTCCTACCCAAAAAATGATATTTGGGTGTTGAATCGCTGGAAGGTAGATCAATCATTCCTAGGAGCCCCATCTATTCCTAATAATGGGGAGTGTATGTTTTTTTCCCACTACTTTTACTTACATTACGGAAAAGCTTCGCACCACTTGTCGACTTATGATGAGAAGCAACTTTTTTTCGCTACGCACCACTTCACGCTTGGTTAACTATGTCTTGCCTGTCCCTATGCGGTGGGCCGCAGATGCAAATGTTTATTTAACGTAAGCCAAATAACCTGTCCATTCCATCAAATCAAACACGATGCATTGTGAAAAAGGGCGATTTTTCAGAAACTAGCAGTACCAGTCCGTTGATCAGAAGGCAAGACAGTGTCAAACTTGTGCGTGGGGTGGGGAAGGGGGGTACTGCTCTGAAGTAGTACTTTCCCGGTCTGGAAGTGATAACGACCATATTTCTCCCGGTTCTGGCGTTTGGAGTTGGATGGGAAATTGGCAAAGAAACGGAGATGGGCTGGGCTGATCCGGACTTGGTTTTCCCTAACTTTTTTCACAAGTCGTTGTAAAATGTAATTCTTTTTTATCGTTTCCACCCTTAAGAAAGTATTTTGAGTCTCCGTGATTGTCACTTAATTTTTATCTAGTCGCCATGATTTCTCGACTTGGTGATTAATCCTAGAGTTTCGAACCCGCTAGACCGGGTTTATTCCCTTTTTCCATTTTCACGAACCAGCCTCGGATCTCCTCCATGTTTATGATGTTGTCGGCACTCTACTTCTGTCAGTGCATTCGTAGCCGATCTTATGAGTTATATATTCCATTCTCTCGTCATCTGTATATGTTAAAAGCTGTCAAATTGTGCTTTGATTGCTCTCTGCGAATTTACTAAGTGGTTTTGCTCTAGCATATGTCAGGCCCTGTCTGAGAAACTGTCAAATAAATAACTTAGCCGATTAGGTGATTTTGAAGTTCAGACTTGCTTCCTTGTTGCATCTCCGTCTTCGCAACCCAATTCAAGCATTCTTCCTTCATTGGCTTGACGTCCACAACAGTTGGCCTTCATTGTATTGGTACGGTTACTTTTGATCAGCTTCATTGGATAAAGTTAATCTTAATTCTAACTAAATGCGTCCCTCCAGCACTCAATATTCGGCATGTCACGAGTGGCGCATATGCAGTCCTGCTTGTGACCCAAAATCTGATTGGACGGTTTTAAGGTGGAGAAGTAAATCAATAGACTACGAAATGCACCCAAATTTGTCGCATTTAATACCATTTTTATCCCCTTTTTTTCTCCTCTTTAACTATGCATTAACTTCTTCCAACGGGCATAGAGTAGCTGTTTTTGTGGTATATTTTGTTGTCAGCTGTCAGTGTGATGTTGTTGTCAAATGATTGAGTGGTTTACTCATTTGACTGAATCATTAGTAGACAGTGACATCTTGGTCAGAGTGGGGTCATCGATGGTGACCTGCGAACCGACCTATCTCCTCTCCACTTCCTGTCACAACACACAAGACCCGTTCTAGGCATACATGGGTCCCCTAGTGGATCAAAGAAGAGAACACATTTGAGAGGTTGGTCTTTTCCTACTTTGATTCATTCAAGGCTAAAAAATATCATCCACGCAAGGCTGTTTACTTTTCTGTGCTGCTTTAGCTTTGATGCACATCGATGTGCGAAGCCGTCGTTGTTGAAACTACCCTTCGACTCCGTAGGGTATTCAACTCCTCTCGGTTTGTGTTCGCGTTGACCATTGTCACGGAGGAATTTGTTTCTTATCGGGGGAGAGTGTGTCCATCGGATGTTCAAGTTTAAGGATGAATGGACGCGGAGCTGCTGTAGGGGGAATCGGACACCTTTAAATGTCCTACTCCCCAACAGCTGGGCATTACGTCACAAGAATGAACCGGACGTGAAGTCTCTCGTACGAGTAGCCTTTCTAAAACTTCTTGTCTTATTCCTCGTCACACAGAAAAGTCTTCCATCACACCTCGTTCCATGGTGGGATAAACACCACATGTTTTGCTTGCCAGAACCTGGACTGGACTGGCCCATTGCTTATCCATAACTGTAAAGTTCAACATTCCGAACCGCCTGGATTACTTCTCTTCTTAGCCCCTCTTTTCCACTGCTATCATCTTTTCTAGCATCCAACGTCCACAGAGAAACTCTCCTTTGAGAACAATCTCTTCCGAGTCTCCGCCTATGGCATCGGTCAGTCGATAAACCTGGCACGGGTCTCTTCAGTCTTCGACTACGTGGCCATGGGGTATCGGTGTCTGCGTCTGCCGCCTGAAGTGACCAACGAGATCCTCTTCCTAACTACGCTCTTTGATGTTCATGATCCCACCAAACATCGAGATGTTCTCGTCTTCAAGTAGGCCTCTTTGGTTACATCATTATTAGTAAGATGAGAGCTTTGTCAAACTGGGATGGACGAGCTTATCAAATGAATAACGCGTTTGAAGGGATAAATAATACATCCGCTTCAGCCTAGAAACGTGTTGGTGCAACTGAACCACTTTTATTGTTTATGTGCACTCAGATTGTGTTACGTGTAGCGATACAATCCAGTAAATTCAAGCCCTTCTTGTTGGAATATTCCCTCCACCCAGGGCCCTTTTTAATCAAACGAGAAAGCTACTTTGTTGCCTAAAATGCTCCAATCAAGTGCTCGTGCTCGCCACTGTCGAGGAAGTATTTGTCCCTTGTGGGTGATTTCGCCACTGGAGGAGTTATGCCTCTATCAGTTGTTCCTGTTCTAGCACCCCACGTATTGGCTGAATATTCTTAGGGATGGCCACCGTTCATTGGGCCAAGAATGGAATCGCCCTAAGTGTGTCTATCACCTTTGTTCCACCTATACTAGTTCTCTTCATGTCAAGGACGATGGTAGTGATGAAATTGGCGTTTTTAGGTAAAAGGGGGTATGTTCTCGTTTCCTGTTCATTCCTATATCTAGTTATCGTCTGTGTTTTCTCGCGATTCAATTATTCATGGCAGTATTGTTTCCATCTGGTCGATGATATTCTTTGTACATGAATACCACTTCTTTCGTCATAAGTAGTATCTTCTCGGAGTCCGCTTTTCGTCATCAGTGTTGGGCATGAGGTATCCCACTACGGAATGCGTTGAACACGACGACCTTTTGGTACCGAGACTTGGAGAGAGCATAATTATCTTCCTGTAGAATGCACCCATCAACCTTTAATCATGATTCTCGAAGTTGTCATCGTTGATCACTTTTTGTTGAGGATGAAAAATAGATGCTTTAATGCATGCTAATATGCTCTAGGGGGCTCTTGTTTCTTAACTAGTTCTCTAAGTGGGCCTCTTGGCAGCCAGGTATGGGCTCAGATCCTTAACCGCGCCACAACGCATCAACCATGGGAGCCTGCGACGTAAGTGAGTAAGGAATTTGACCTATAACCTTGTCCCGGGGTTTGAGGAAACTGGCTCTCTTAATCGAGGTCAAGGCTGGATTAGTGATGAAATGGAGGCTGTTCGTTTTGAATGCACCATGTTTGACCTCCATGCCTCAATGGCTAGGTCAGGTGGAAATGTCTGAGTGCCTCATTTGTTTCTTCCGGTAAATAGTTAAAGAAGTTTTCCGGTTCCTTAAGTCGTTGCCTTTGATTATTCGCCTCTCGCATTGATGGTGGCTGCCGCGTTGTGTCCTGGAACTTAACACCTCTGGCGTGAATTTTGTCTCCATGCTGTTGCAGTCAACGCCTTCATACCTGTCGCCTATCCAACTGGTACACATCTTTTACGTTCAGACTGTCGTCGGCAAATTTGCACATAATTTTAGTCTCGGTTGTTTCCTTCTTAAAGACCCTAAGGCCAACTTATTCGCCTAGTGCTTTGAATAGACAACCCAGGCGACGGCTCATGACGCAAATTGGCTTGGTAGACAAAGAAACTGCTTAAACCAGCCAAATGAAGTTAACCGTCGCAGCACAAGCAGACAGAGTGGGATTACCGGAGAAATACCAAATTAAGGAAACATTGAGTGAGGAGGGGCATGTGGTGATGTCTTCCTTTCCTTTTTTCCTTCATCCCCTCTCAACTCCTCCTCTTGCCCCCATCTTCCTCCTTCCCTCCGTTCCTTCTTACCTACCTTCCTACCTTCTTCCCCCAACTTCCTTACTCCCCTCCACCCTCTCTTCCTTCCTTCACTCCTTCCATATCAAATTAAACGCATAGCTCCTCATGCTCGAGTTCGGGGTTGCCTTGCAAGAATAGGCCTCCCGTTCCATTTTCGGACTGGTTTTGACAGTATCAGATTTGTACTATATTCCTTTTTTTCTTGACGCATCACTTTTGAGTAGGCAACACTTTCCCAGCGAATTGTGAAAGCGAGTTACGCATGCACACCCACGGAAACATTTTCTTCCACGGTGATCTCCAAAGTACTGTGTTCAGCTCTTCCCCACAGAGGCTTTTGCTGAGCCTGATACCCGATATTTACTTCTTCGTTGCCTAAACGAACGGAAAGCTTTAATACTGTGGAGTGTTGTTGCTGCATGTGAAGGCTCTTTGGCACTTTCCGACCCGTTTAGCTTCTGCATAGACAAATTATATGTGCTCTTGTAGTTTCCAACGTCAACTAGCGTCGGGAGGGATGCATTGGTTTTCATTTTTTCTTCTCTTCTGCACTTCGTCTGTTTTCCATTGAAATTGATATCCGTCTATTTTGAAGGGTAGCTTTAGTCGGTTATTTGTTGCCGCTCTGGTTAGGAGGTTGGCAGCTTAGGACGAGGCGCGTTCAAACAACTATGAGCCATATGTGGAGTAACTGACATCTAGGTTGCCAATTATATGCTTTTCTGTTAGTGGATTTCTGGGCATCGGTGTAGACCGATCCAGCGCCTATACTAGGCTTTTCCTGCGACCTCTTTAAACCTTTAATTTGAAAGGATTTGTCATCAACATCAACAAACTTCCGAGTTTCAAGTGTACGTCTGAACTGTTTTAATGGAAGCATTCGTCTCTTGTACGTTCCACGCACTCATTGAGTGTTTTCAGGCATGATTGCTATGCCGTGTATCGGGATCTGCCACGACCAGACGAGTCATTGATAGACATAACTGGGCGTCTTTGCAATTTTGACACCAGCCAATCAAATACATCTCCCCTGAACAGCTGAGCGTCTTATTCCTATGCCACTGCTGCGTTGTGCATGAGATCTTCCATTTGATCGGGTATCTGCGGGTTCTGAGTTTACACGTTCAGTAACCGACACCTTTGTCCATCCCTTCTGTCTGCTGTCCTGGCGTCTAGTGGCGTCGCGATTACGTCCTTTTGTAATCTTGTTAATTCGAAGAGCTTGATTTGGCTTGAACATCCCTCTTGCGCTGCCCTATTCTACTTGTCTTGCTTCATCTATCATTCTTTTTCAGAACTGGTGTTGTTGTCTTCTGGAATGTCTCGGAGTCTGAGGTAAGACTTCATTTCCATTTATCGGTGGTATGGGGAGGGGATCATACCCTCCAGTCGGTCAATCAGTCTAAAAGCCATTGTATTTTTTATAGTGTGAGGAGACTATCACCAAGATTCGCAAAGAATGCAACAGACCTATTTCCCCGGAAGCAGTAGAATTTGAGGAGCTGATCTACTCCTTCACCAGGCAAGTCTGCCTTAAAAACTTTTTGTTTAAAATGTAGCAATCTCCTTTGGATCGCAAGAGTGGCTCTTGTGGGGTCCTTTCACGCCCCTATTATCATCTCCTATTATCTCCAGATCTTGACATTACTATAGCCGTCTTCATCCAGACATTGACAATAGTTGTTAGGCCCTTAGGTTAACGGAGTTGCTCAGGGAAAGGCCCTTTGCGCCTTTTGGGACTGCTCCCTCAGTCTAAAGGAGGTAGGAGAGGAGTGGATGACCGTAATTGTCCGCTTACCATGCAAATAACCCCTCTACCTCTCTTGACTTGACATGAAGTTTTGATCACGGTACGATAAACTGGTTGATGTCTTAAATTTAGCCAATCTGTTTATGACACAATTATCCTAACCTGACAAAGAACATTGGAGTACACTCACCCCTCAAAACAAGTTTGAACTACCACTACGAAACGGGTCATCAGTACTGAGGCATACAAACATTCAGAAGGGGTGAAGGGCTCATGGGTATGGAAAAGGATGAAAAAGTTCGCCTGGGTTAATTACGTTTTGTCGTCTGGCGTCCTTCTTCTCCCCGTGATCACCTTTTTGCTTCGGCTGTCACAAGTCTTCGCATGTGCCGCATTCAACGACGAGATGGTCACCTGAGATAATGCAGCCCCGGGTTAGGCGAAATAAATGAGGGGGGAGATTCACATGCGCGGGACAGCGTAAAATTCTAGAGCGTCTGTCTTGAGGCCGAATCTGCTGTAGGTCGGGGCGGTTGTCGCTGCACCACGTGACTTGGATGGCCCTCCCATTATGACTCCCCTAGGCCGAGTCATCTACAGTAGCTACCATCTTCCTATGGCTGTCACTGTGACGTTTTCTTGGTGTCAGCTTACGGAAGGGTCGAGGGACTGGCAGTGTGAGCATGGTAGCCGAATCCCTCGGAGTATTGAGAAGGTGTGAATTCTTAAGTCTCAGCTAACCACAAATCTTTTTGACGAATAAAGGCTACCTCAATCAGGTCTTTCCCTTTTCTGGCAGGTCACATGGGTGAAATCTGTAATTCCAACGAATGGGATACAGGGAAAGCAATTCCATATTCACAAAGTGTAGAACTTTTCCTTTTTTCTTAGTGGGCCGACCCGTCTCGACGTTGAAGACATCCGCCTACACGCACTTCCACCGCGATCAGATGCTAACGAGTCACAGGACGCCTATGAAAAGGCTGTTCAGACTCTGGCCATTGAAAAAATCGCCTTTTCTGACGCTTTAGCTTCATCGGGTAAGGTCTTCTCCCACTTCCTTTCTTTCTTAACTCGACTCAAGTGGCAGAATCCTTCGGGCTTACCAGTGCCGTGTTTTAGGTGGGAGTCGATACAGCCAAACCAGGACCTCTAGTTAGCAAAGGTTGGGGGGGAAACGATAAGGCGCGTGGATACTTCACTAGTTTTTTTTTTTTTTCATTAATGAGTCTCCTACTTTTATGTAACCATTTCGAAGGCTGACCCGTCTTAGGGCAAACTGCTGAAAAGATGGCTTTCAAAGTGCTTAGCAGTTTATGGTGCGATGAGGCGCTTCACTCAGGGGTGATTGCTGTGGTGGTGGGCTGTGGAAACGTAACTGCCATGTCCGAGGTGTTAGCTAACAGTACATAAAACTAACTGTCCTTAAAGCGTTAACACCATTTAATTACCCGTCCTACTGTTGAGTGGTCGAGAGCGATGTGTGTGAAGTCTTTTCAACTAAAAAGATTTTCGCAGGATTGGAGTTGCTTCCTTCGTTCATCACCACGTCAGTCCGCCCTCTTGATTGGCAATTTGACTTGTCTGTCCCTCGTAGTATGGTCGCTAGAGTAGATTAAAGAGCGGCCGGCCTGAGATATCCTGAATAGAAAATTAGGGCGAAGCAGTGAATGTAGGCTTTTGCTTCTGACAGCTTGAAAGTGGTGGTGTGGCCTACGTAGATGTTTATCGAGGCTGTGAAGACGACATGGTTTATATAGGTGCATCTTATTAATGGTCTTAACCTCATATTTCACACATGACCGATTTGGCGCCTTAAAAGCGCGATTTCGAGCGTTTTTTTACTCGTTCAGTAATGTGTCGAGTTGCTCATGTGGTGGCACGTCGTGGTTCCGCATCGGCACCCTGGTCTGGGTACAAGCAGATGCAACTTGAACAGCCTCTTCACGATCTTTCTTCATCCCCTTCTTCCTGGGCACATTCACTAGTTGAAGGCACTCCTGATTTGCTATCCACCTTTTGATCTCACCAAGGCATCAGGCAGTAGAGTAAATAGGTGGGCACCCGTGTTCTTGATTGATATCACCGAAGTCGATATCGAGATGCTTCTCCTCTTCGAGACCTCTTGATGGGAAGCTGTTGCAGGTTTATTAATCACCTTGGCATCGGCAGATTTGTAGACTAGATAGATCCCAGGGGCCACCTTCGGTACTGGTGGGCGTGGATGTGTAGTTGAGAAGGTGAGGCAACAGGATAGAGACCTTAACGCTCCGTCTAGACACAACTATCAGTGGAACAAATTGGAAATAACTCGACTTTTCAACTAACTTTGTGAAAGTTTATTTGAATCCCATGACTTCCTTTTCGTGAAACACCGCAGTATTTCGGTTCTCTTGCCTGGGACCAGGCGTCACGCATACGTGACGTGTGCTGTTTATCAGCTCATGATGGTAAATAGTTGCATAAAATCGCATGTCACAGAGTTATTATTCACATTCGAAACAGGAAAATTCGTTAGTTTTGGTGACGTCTTCCAACCAGCCAATGAAATAACGCTAATTGACATCACTTGTCAGAGTAATAAAACATCTGGAACATTGTGCTTCGTCTTTTAACGGATTTCCAGTGGTGAGCTAGCCAAACACTCGTGCTTAACTGTGGATATTCACATCAGGACAACTCTTCCCTATCCACTCGCTGGGAGCTGTACACTTTGCATAGCCTGATTTCGGCAAGATTAGGCGAGATGATGGCCATTAAATTGGCCAAAAAGTTAGCAGAGGCCATTGTCACCCCCCCGCCCTCTCACTTGTGACGAATTAGTGGGAACAAATCAAATCCTTTATTGTTTATGACCCAACTACCACCGCGTTGACCGGAGTCAGAATTCTGTAAATTTAGCCATCTTTCATCTACACACCGCTATTACCCTTACGCCTTCCATAAACTCGGCCCATCGGCCCGACTGTTCGTTAGCCGCTCCGCGTCATTTACTACCGGTTTCACTTTGGCCAAACAACGTTCCAAGCTCACCCACAATTGTTTTGTCCTCCTCAAAGTCAGAAGTCGACCACCCATGGACAGCCTTCATCTTTTTCCTATTTGCAGTAAAGCTTTCCTTGTTGGAGAACAGTTTTGATGCAGTAGCAGTGCAAATGCAGCCCTGGATTGATGTAAGCAGACCCACAAAACCGCTGACCATGCTATCTTTGCTGTTATCTCAAGGTCCCTTTCCCCTAGAAAATGCAAACAGGCCTAGGAATGTTTTTCCCAATGTCGTCAGTGATTCGTAAAACCGGAGAGCTCTTCACCTTACGGTTAGTGAAACCAATTGACCTACTTCTTCCTACGTAGACACCTACTGAACATCAGCACAACGATTAGCGAAACACCGGACTTCTATTGGGACCGATCCGATGTTGAAAAACTCTTCCAAAATCTCAAAAGTGCACTTAGCGTGCGGAGTCGAACTAGAGTGCGTCTTCACCGCTTCTAAGCTTCATCTCGACGCATGTGTGGATACACTCACTTTTCCTCTTTTATCTGTAGATCCTCAACTCGAAGCTGGACACGTGTTGCGAATTGGCGGAGATTCTAACAAATCATCTGCAAGCACGACATTCTTCACGACTGGAGTGGATGATCATTGTCCTCATTCTGATTGAAGTTATCTTTGAAGTTCAACGCAGCCGATCGGGGAAAGGTTCGCAAGACAGCCAGAAGAAACGGGACACATGAAGCACTCAGTCCAAGTTTCAACGGCGAAAACCTCGTTTTGAACACCTTTGTAATAAATCAGTTTTCGGAGACCTAGTCGTTTGCAACTTATGGGGTAAAACAGAGTTTTATTTCTTGGACGGCAATTAAACATAGTTCTTTATAGTGTATCAAACCTAAACAAAAGCAATTATACAGATGGTGGGTGGGGTGGAGGTGAATAGTTTTCAGGAGAAGCCAGTCCCGTACTGAATGCGGGTGTCTAGGTGTCAGATCCAGACCTTCCAGCGATGAGCTCTTGGGCAAACTGGTATTCCTCATGGTCGCACAGATCCTCGCAATCTGCAACGGCTGTCGTCAAAACATCAACGGCCCTTGCCAATCGACTCGAACAGTCCGAGACCATCATTCGGGATTCATCAATGAGCTCGCACTGAGGAAAATATCAAATAAAACTGTAGGCGGGAAACCCACTGCTTTTTTGATCATGTATTCATCCGCACCGGAGGCTTTCTTTTCTTCAAGGTCCCTTTGAAGGTCAACTAGTTCTTCTTCGTATTTAGCTTTGTCTTTAGATATTCTGGTGAAGTGTTACATTTTCGGCATTTACCTTTTAACGACATTGGTCTTGATCTTAAGCTGACGAAGTCTAGGATCCTGGGCATTTGTTGTCATTGCAACGGAGTAATCACCAATGTAGTGCAAGCGCTAGAAAGCAACCAAGTAAGGGCACGAAGAGCAACACACGAGAAACAACCCGCGAATAGGAAATAGGGGGGACGTTTAACAAATAGTCAGATCGAAATCTAGGTCGGAAAGTAGATTTAAAAATCAGTTTTAGGGTGTACGTGACTTTTTCGGATTAAAAAATCGCAATGAATTTGATATTCACCTCATTCGGGACCGTACTTATTTGTTGCTCAGATCTACATTAATGTTTACAAAAAGCTACTCAAAAGAAACACTTTCATTCCAGTGATAAAAATACCTTATTATGTTTGAAGATATCTTATGGCATTATAGGCCTACACGACTTACCACCATGCATCATCTGTACCCTAAAATCATGCCTACATTTAAGAGTTGCACCAATAATTGTCAATCACAAAAAATTCACTAACCTTTTAAGTAAACCTAAATATGCTGTAGTAGGTTTGGTGCGCATCTCTTTAGTAATATGCCTCATTTTTGGCTCAATTAATTGACAATGGTTTTTCTTGATCAAAGGTGATTAAATAAATTGTAATAGGTTAGTTGCTTGTTCTATAGTCGGTTTGAAAGAGAAAATCTTGTATCTTGGTTATTGTACCTCTCCTTGTGGACTGGCCTCCAGACCATGCCAGTGGCCCCTACACCGTCTGTACGCTGTACGGGTATCATGCACTCCTAAATCTTCAAGGAAATCTCGGGAAGAAGGATACATTGGTGGCACTGGAAAGTAAACTTGATCTTATAGGACATCTATCCTGATTTACACTGATAGGTGATGAACATATTACATATGGAAGTACCGTTGATGACCCCAACTGAAGAGCTGAAATTGACGCTTGAGTTTGGCAAACGCTTTGGTCCCATTTTCTAATGGAACAACTGCCAACAAATGTGGTGACTCCAGTTTAAAACCATCTGGAAAAGCTTCTTTGCACAGTTTTCCTTCCGAACCTGTATAAGGCGGTCGATAAAGAGAACTCGCAATACCTCCTCTAAATGTCTGTTGGCTGGATAGAACCCGGATAGATGGAAATGAGATTAGCGTTGATAGGAAGAACAGACGACAAGCTCTTTTTCTTTAAACACGTGTTGCTTACCGTTCTCCCTCACATAAATCTGCTCTCATGTTAGTGTTCCTACTTCTAGCCATAGGTATGTGAGATGTCCGCCATAATTCCCCGTCCCTTAATACACTTCTTAGACCAAACAAAACTCTAAGTAAAGTACTGCAACCTAGAAAGTGTGCCATACCAGAGATTATAAACTGTCTGCAATGCCTATTATAGCGTCAATGGTGTAACTCATGAAAAACACGTTGCTTGTGAATCCATGGACCTTTATGTCTCGATCTTGGTTAAGGTTTACGTTTACCTTTGCCATTGTACCATTGCCGAGTGAGATGGCACCTTAGCTCTGTTTGTAGCCCTAGACGCTTTTGTGCGCTAAATGTGTGTGTCACACACTAACATTTTTTCCTGTTTCTAAGAAAAATCTTAGGGTTTTATGTAAGTGCGTTCAGATAATCATGATGCTGATCTGTGCTGCAATATTTGGCGGGCCTCCTTCACAAGGATTCTCAAATAAAAGTACACCACTAATTTCTTTTGACGCAGCAGTGCTGTTAAAACTTAAACCCAAATGTGCTACCGGTTCTCTTAAAACAAATATCTTTTCAACTATTTGTCAAAGTTTCAGTAACGAAACTTAACGCAAAATTGTGAAAATGTTTGTTTTTGTTGTTATTATTTCTACATCTACTTTAGAACTTTTAGATGAAATTTGAACGTTTTCTTAACCAGGCTGGGTGGCGGACTTTTTAGGTTTGTGTTGCCGTTGTGAAAATCAAATGAGGGTTCGGGAGTGTGCAGTTGTTTTTTTCAGGGCGTTGTTAGTATTGTTTATTGACACCGTCCTAGCAAAAAGAACCACCTGGATATTTAATATGAAAAATTTGCTCACTTCTTGGCTGGCCTACAAGGATACCCTCTACACTAATGGTCTTTCGGATGAGTTGACTACGTTCACAATCGCTCTCGGTAGGTCACCTCTCTTTTCTTATATCGTTCCCTCTAGCAGTCGCCATGGTTGCTTGTGTATTGCGATTCTTGTTTATATTTTAAGTTATTTTGCCTACGTGGTCTCTCTGACTTGCTTATATATTTCATTACTCCTATTAGTTGGGACTTTTGACATATATTGGGGTGCTTCGTTGTTTTCTTTTCCCTTTGTAAGCTTCTGTGGATGTAGTCTATTGTATTTTTGATTCGAAATGGATATGTTTCTAATCCGTTCTTTTATTCGCATCGCAGATTTCACCATTCGAGTCCTGCATTTTTGCATTATTCACATTGGTTCGGCAGATTTTAAATTAGCGTTCATTAATGGTAGCAGGAACCTTGTCTGTACAAGTCAATGATTGAGTTCGTCACATGATTAATTATGTGGCAACTTATTGTCCGTTGTAAGGTTGATTAGGATAGTTGGAATATTGTCATGTGACTAAAGTAATTATCAGGGCCTTTATCTTTGAAGCTATTATATTATCAACTGCCGTAGCGTTAAATAAGTCGAAGTCCGATGAGAATAATTATGTGTTTAACAAGTCAGTTTTGTCCAATGCGTTTCTCCTCCGTTCCTTTGAGAAAATTATTGTGCATTTAAATGTGGAATGCAGTGAATTTCCACGGATTCTTTCGAGTATCAATCATGCAATTGCTTATTCTTTTTAGTTATTTCTAGCACCAATTTCAGTACGTTGCTATCATTAGTTTGATATACTATCTGGTGCTTGACATAATGCCTAAATTTTTTATTTTCTATAGTTTTCACTCTGTTTCTCGTGGCAGTTCTGCTTCCACCAAAACAGATTCGGACGCTGGGTCTCCTTTGCCTGCCCTTTGTCTTGGCTATCGCCACTACTTTCGTTTTTGTCCGGCGATTTAATGAACTCGCCTTTGACTATCGCCCATGGAGTTGGCGCTTTCTCCTTCTCAAGTTTTTCCCCATTCCTATGCTATCCTTCCTTACCGTATTCGCTTGCTTTCATCTCTTGCCAGCCTTCTTCCACCGCCGTCATTTGGATGATAGACACCGCTTTCGTCAAAGCGTTTTTCGTGGCTTTATTGGCGCTTCTATCATGCTTCTTCCCGTTATTCTATACATCTCTGTCGCTACTACAATTGATCACACCTATAACAAGGAGTTATCCACCGGAATTGCAAAAAACAGCACGCCTGCCGTCTGCAACTACTTCTATGCTCTAGGTGGTCGGAACAACTATCTTATCCACTCCGTTCTTCTGCGCTACTCCGACTGTCTTCATTCTCAGTCTCTCGCAAAACTGCTCACCGAACTTCGCTTCTCCCTCCTGCCCGAGCTTCTGGCCCTTCTTCTCACTCTCTGCATTTTCGCTGCTTTCTTGACCGAAGGCTTTTACTTCCGCTTGCAGGTGGCGCTAGAAGAGCAGTTAATCCAACTCTCTATGGAGCCCTTTACCTTTGTCACTGATAACTGGAACCGTCTTGACGTACCCTCTATCTTCCTCTGCTTCTGGCTCATTAAACTCTTCCTTATTGTCCTTCTCGGTGCATCTTTCTGGCCTATCGATGCTAAGGTCATTGAACTCCTCTCCCGTGCCACGGATGAGTACGGTATGCCCATCAAACACTCCCTCAATTTCACCTTTCTAAGTGCTTATGCAAATGAGGAAAACCTCATCAATTCAACTAGTCTTTCGTACCGTCTGTCCTCACGCTTTCTTACTGGCGCTCTGGCTATCGGTGCAGAAACTTGGACTTCTGTCTACGGTGCTGCGGTGTGTGTGGGGCTTATTTCGGGTTTTGTTGTCAACTTTCTTGCTTTTTGTGTCGATCCTCTCGGTGCGAATATCGCTCAACTCATCCAGACGGCGGAGGTAGCGCCTGTTGCAGCAAATCCCTGGATCCCTATCGAGGAACAGCTCACTAGCAACGATCATATTGAGGTGACTGCTGTGGAGTTGTTGCAAAACACTAGTTGGAGCTGTGTCATCCTCTTCGTTTTCCTCGCCATCCAGTACGACCTGCCTAATCTCACCTCGCATCAGCGTATTTTCTGCTTCACTCACCTCCTTATTGTCATGGGTTTCACATGTGTCTATCCCGTGGAGTCTCTCGTCAAGGCTATCCTGCTTCGTCTGGGTTTACCGGGCTTGGATTCACCCTGGATTGACCACCTCATCCCATTGCTTTTCTGTGCACTAATGATTGGTCTCTCTGGTTGCGTGTTTATCCACTTCCCCGTCTGGCTTTCCTACCTTCCCTACACTGGTCGTGGGTACCAATCATTGGGTGGAAAATCCTCTCTAACTGACGCAGCTGGTGGTGTTGGTGGTGGTGGCACCGTCTCCGCGTACACTGGCTACGCTCAACGTCTCCGCACCTACCTCTGTGGAGGTCAGCTTCTTCTGGACGTAACTTGCACCCTTTTCGAGTACGCGCTTCATCAAGCCCATCATCGTTGGCCTCTGTGGACGAGATTCTACAGTCTCCTCGCCGCTTCTCGGCTCTTCAATATCTTTGTCAACTACCTTATCTCTCTGCTCTCAGTACTTGTGATTCTCTGGCTTATATTCTACGAGTCCTTTGGAGTGTGTCGGGTTTTCATCCTCATAGTTCACGTCTTCTTTGTCCTTTATCCGGCCACATGTCGCGGCTTCTTTTGGCTGCGGACCCAGCTCTTCCTCAAAGACACGATGGCGTCTATTCCAGCCCCGACATCGCAGCAATTGGATGCGTACGCAGATTGGTGTGCGATTTGCTATGAGGCCATGTCGGTGGGGAACGCCAAGCGGACGCTTTGTGGGCACATGTTCCACAGCAAGTGTCTCATGCAGTGGGTCCAGCGACGTCCCATCTGCCCTATGTGCAATGCTGACATTTTTGCCTCGTAGGGAGGAGGCGAGGGGAAAAAAGACGATGACAGGAGATGTGTATTTTTTTCGACTTTGTCCCTACCCTCCCCTCCCCACCACCCATCCCGCCCTCAATATTGCTGCTTCTGTTGCGGCAGAAGGAATATATATATAGACGCGTTGTTATTGCTCTGATTTGGGCTGCCTGATGAAGGCTTTGTCGGTGTGTGGGACTGTGTGCTATTGAATAAATAAAACGGTTGTTTCAACGGTTTTGTGTGTGTGTGAAGGAATGGAAGCTGATAAGGCACTGCCTTTTGTTTGTCAGAGGGCAGTGATTGATAAACCCCTTGGGGCATGCTTCACTGAGTGGGTGGATGTGTGTCAGGTTCTTGTCGTTTGAAGGTGAATTGGGCCTTTGAGAGCCAAGGTCTCGGAAGCGAATCGACTTCCACAGATTGGAGGTTCAACTGTAGGAAATGTAGCACTGAAATAGCGCACTCATTGTCGGAAGCCACCACTTCTCTTTTCCCGCCTCATTTACGACTAATCACTCTGTTACACACTATTTGGTGCAACCACTTGTCCTTATAATCTTGATAAGCTACGCGTGTCACGTATATGTGACGCCAGGTCCCAGGTAAGCAAATCGGTGTATTGCGGCGTTTTGCGAAAACAAATCGTAAAGCTCAAAAAATAGTTCGTAAGTTTAGTTGATATTCCTGGTTATTTTTTTTTCTGTTCGCAGTAGATGAGTGCTCTAAGAAGAGTCGTGCTCCTCCCATCAATGGTCAGGTTTGGAGGTGGCGCTAGGTCCTCTGCTCCCCTCCTTCGGAAATTGAGGCCTCAATTCTGCTCCTTTCCATTCTCAACTTCACGTCCACGACGTCCAGTACTAGAGGTGGCGCCTGGATGCGATCTGGTCTACGAATCCGCGGACGCTAAACCCATTGACCAACCTGCAGCAACTCCTCGACAAGAGGCTTCGAAGGAGGGGGGCATTTCAATTCCAACTTCGGCGATGTCGGACAAGAATATGAGCATCACCTTCACCTGCAATGTAAGTTGGTCCCATCTCTGCTGAACGATGCTTCAACCAGAGAATGGGTCCAAGAAAAGAGGGGTGTAAGGGATGGCGGAAGATCAGGATGAGGCTATGCGAGTTGTACCTCCTTGTACGCAGACGGAGATCATGATGTGGGACTACGGTGTGGTAACCTGTGTTTGGAACCCGAGGTCGACCCGCCTTAGCATCTGGGGTAAAAGATGAATGACATCGTTGACAATTGGTTCCGCTCCTATGCCTGCCTTGGGATCGCCTACCATCCCCAAATCGGGATTTATCCTATGCCTAGATCCCACCATGAGATCGGGTTCCATGACCACGCTTGCCCACTTGCTCGGCTTTTTCTGCTTTCCAGGTGTGCAAAACACGCACCCAAAAGTTCTTCTCTAAGTTGGCCTACACCCGCGGTCTCGTCATTATTCGATGCCCATCCTGCCAGTCGCTTCACCTCATCGCGGATAACTTGGGCTGGATCAAGGAGAAGACTCCCTGGTGAGGTGGTGCCTAGATCGGCCTTGACAACAACCCACCAATCCCTCCTTACTGTTCTAATTCCCTTCGTCGATTTTAGGCGTATCGGTGAGCAGAAGCACCTACTTATGCCGGAATCTGTGCAACCGCAGAAGGAAGAATAAAAAACGCAAGCTCGTGGCTGTGTTAATTTGTAATTTCTGTAAATACATCCTACGATGTCTAACGAATTTCATCGCTTCTTGCCACTAAGGGGGGAATTAAATGGAACAAACCCTTGTCGCACAAATTCACAATGCTGCATTGCGTAGCCGCTGGGGCAAAAAGCTAACTGCATAAAACCTTTCGATCAGTGCAGTGGGCGCCAATCCGCACTGCCTACCAATAAACAAAGTTGCGCACGCTGAGAAAAGGGTCGGAGTCGCACGCCAAATTGCTCACACCCTTAGTATCACGTGCTCGCACTTTAGCATTCACACCAGCACTAGCTAGCGATACAAATAGCAACACCTGGATTATGCAGTTAACACAAGGAATTAGGCAGTTAAATGCATTTCGCCAGTATAACTTAGCAAACACGGTAATGTAAAGGGAACAGATTACATTTCGTCCGCAGACGTGCGAATATCGTCAATCTTCAAGATCATCTTACACAACTGCACTGCGAGCATAATTTGAGCACGCTTGGAGGTAAGAGTCTCAAAGACATTTTGCTCTTTCATATCGCAAGTGCCTGTATGCAGACAATCAATACCAAGGTGTGGGTTCTTTTCCTGCACCTGGCGACCTTTCACGTAGGCCACAGTCTCGATCGATGGAAGACCAGCATTCTCAGACAGAGCGACTGGAATGGATTCTAAAGCGTCAGCGAACGCGCGCATAGCGTATTGCTCAATAGTGGAGATCTTCTCCGCCTCCTCGGCGACGCGAATTGAACAGGCGATTTCGCAGGCGCCACCGCCAGCCACGACACGTGGGTCGCGGATAAGGTTACGCGCCACGCATAGTGCATCATGGAGAGAGCGCTTGGCTTCTTCGACAATCATTTTAGAAGAGCCCCGAATGAAGCAGGTGACGGCTTTAGAGTTCTTGCAGTCTTCGATCACCAGCATGCGATCCTTGGTGGTCCCGAAGGTTAACTCCCGCACAACACCAGCGTGGCCCAATTTCTCTGCGGTTAGCTCCTCGAAGCGTGGAACAATTCGTCCGCCAGTGGCAATCGCAATAAGTTCAATTTCGGCTCCACCAACCCACCGAACTGCTGGCAACTGACGACTCAGAAGCAAATGATTGGCCTCGTCGTCAAAGCCCCATTGACATATCACCAAATTCGCGCCTGTTTTCTTAACCCTGTTGAAAAAAAAAAACAATAAGGTGATGGGAAAAGCAACAAAATTAATGAGAAAAAGGCAAAAAGTAGGAACACACATGTCGACCATCTCAACAAATTTTTCCTGTTCATACTGGCGCAACTTGCGGTAATCCTCGACGCTCTCAACGAAGAGATTGTGCTTAGTTTTCGGTTTGGGAGGTTCAAATGGACAGGTAAGTATTGCAAGCTTGGCGTCGGTCACCTTTTTGGGCATTTGAGGATGTGAGAAGTCCTTGTCAACAATGACTCCCTTGACGAGAATCGAATCCTCTAATCTACCACCAACTTTGCCCTCCACCTTAATCATCTCGAAATCGACGTCTTTGCGTTTAATGTCGGCGACAGAGAGAATGGCATCAACAGCCATCTCGGCGAAGTGACGATGGCAACGGCTGACACTAGTAATCCCATGTTTAATTACAAAAATAACCTACATTTTCGACCCAAGGGCAGTCATTGCAGTTTTAATAAGAGGTTCACGATTATCGAGTGAAAATTTGAAGTCTTCGCTTATCTCGTCCAGGACACCCACGCAGACCTTAGCGGCAAGTTCAAAGCCGTCAGAAATTCTAATCGGGTGAATGCCGCGATCCAAAAGAGTCTCTGCCTGCTCCAAAAGAGCCCCAGCAAGGACAACAACACCGGTAGTACCATCGCCGACTTCGTCATCCTGAGACCGACTCAGCTGCACTAACAGTTTGGCGATCTCGTGTTGCACGTCCATCTTGTCAAGAATCGTCCTGCCGTCATTTGTGACGGTCACATCACCATCTGGACTAACAAGCAGTTTGTCCAGACCCTTGGGTCCGAGAGAAGTTCTCAGAGTACTGGCGACAGATTTAGCTGCTAGAATGTGAGACTAGTAAACACGTGTATAAATAAATCCAGATTAAATCTACTTTATGTGCCTGCAGACCAGTCAAACGCTTTTTCTTTTCCTGGTCTCTAAGGATAATGAAAGGCCTCCCAAACTCATCAAAAGCCAACTGCGATGGACCACTGAACACTTCCATGACACAGACGGACAAACACACACCGACGAAGTTTTGGCTAAATAAAAGGCTAGAGCCAATGATAGAGGACCACGAAACGTAAAGAAGGAAATGAAGTTAAGGATATTATCTCAGAGGTAAGTAACAAGCTAAACAGTCCAACGTTAAAAGACATACTGCTCTAGATGATGAAATTTATCAGGAAAACTGCAAATACTTGACGTCAAACACAAAAATATCCCGTAACTATTACCCCTCCAGTTGGTTAGGTACCTAACCAATAAAAATGACGCATGGGGCCGGATTAGCATACACTAACTGTGTTGCTGAGTTTCCGCGCCTTATAATTGCGCGCTTTATTTTAATTTTCGGGAGACAGTAGGATGACTGTCAAAAATTATGCCTATCCATTAGCCTAAATCTCCGGTCTTAGGCGTGTACTCTTTGAATGCTGTTATTGATCATTGTTTATTAGCCTTGCAGTCAATTTTAAATGTTTCTGAACCAATGGGAAATTTTATTGGCCGGTGGTAATGTCTTGTCGGAACTACTACCTTCGGTTTAAAAGCATATCAAAATAGTGGAACACGGGCAGTGTCAAACAACCTGTTGGGGGTTCCCGTCTGTTGAGTCACCTCTGTGTGAATCAGTGGCTCGTCTAGGTGTGAGCTTGCCTCTGCGAGCACTTGAGTCCACGCACTTTGCGGAAGGGCACCCAAGCAGCACTGACAGACACGCAGTTCTTCTCTGCCTTGGCAACACAAGTTCCGCTACACCCTTTTTGTGTTTTTTTTTCGGGTTCGGGTATGCCACAACGTAGTGGAAAAATGAAAAATTTAGACATAAAGGAAGTGAGTGATGGCGTTAAAGCGAAAGACCATTTGCTTCAAATTACCCGTCGTTTTCTCATGGACCAAGTGCTTTTACAATTACCCACAAAAAAATGGGGGATGTTGTGCCGATTTGGATAGGGCTTTATGCACCAGATACCCTAATACCTAAGTCGTAGTTGTAAAAATAATGCTTCACAATTTAGTTTAAGGGTAACGTATCGGGCTACAACAGGGCAAAGTAAAATCTGACCCGTCAAATAAGAAAATAATTAAATTCTTAGGAAACTTCGTTTACTCGCAACATTGTCGCGTTGTGCGATGCAATACGAACTTCCCCAAATATTTCAATTCATTTGCGGATACAAAACTAGGTGAGATCTAAATACAACAAAACATCGAACAAACTAGCCGCAGCTATTTATTACAAGTGTACTTTTTTAGGTTGCAGCGATGTGCACAGTAGGAAAATGTCCTAGACAGGTGCTCAATTACCTCATGCCTCTTTAATTAATTTGAATGTTCCCCCCTAGTGCTCCCATAGATCAGAGTTTCGCGTTATCATAACGTAGTCAAGGGTATGAAAAATACTTTGTGCATGTTCGTTGGTATATCTCTAACTAATATTAAATGTGCAAAACCAAGTGTTTTCTTTAACTACAGGTCACTATGCGCAGGCTCATGTGTTGGCAAAGATGTTGGCTTCATTCCTCTTTCTAGCCCTTAAATAATACTTGAAAAATACTGCTGCTTTTCTTTCTCAGCCAAATACATTCTTCCATCCTGCCTTATTATTTCGTGGCATAATGAGAGTCGGACTACTGGATGAACCCCAGCAATACCTGACTTTCAAAGCAAAAATAGCATCTATACGAATTCTTTAAAATCATCATTAAAGGCAGCATATAATGTTCTTACTGTGATACGGTAAACATTGCGATTCCTTTCAGTGCCTACATTTCCATGACATTCACAAAACGGTAGCGTTATCACGTATTTTGCAATAGCATATCAGTTGTTTTTTTTATTTTCAGGTCTGAAACAAAATTGTTCAGGTTTAAGTACAAACCTACTAAAATCCCTTAAACTACTAAACTTTATTAAACACCAATTTTTCTATTCGCTTAACTCGGAGCGCCTAAATTGGATTTTGGTTCCATTCCTCCGTAGATTGTAGGACAAAAGTGGTGTGTGCAGTTTCCTAACTTATGTGTTCATTGCTAATTTTTGTTCTGCAGCTTTGCTGTGTACGATATTCCGATTGTTATAACACCGTTAATTTTTCTAGAATCAATGAAAATCGACCGGAAAAAGATTGCCAATAGATGTGGTTATGACCAAAACGAATGCTTTCTCCTAGCCAAACGTTTGGCTGGGTGCTCAGATGAAGATTTCTTAAAGGAACTAAGAAAGATTAAGGTCTGGAACTATGGCAAGTGTGAACTTGGCCTCTGGGCTGATATACTTGATCGTCTTGACGCAATCCTCGAAGATGTGACCACAAAAGTTGGCACGTGGACCCTTAAAGTTGACGCCCCTGGTAACGAACATCTTGTAAAAGATGTTGTCACCGTCCTTGAGTTCACTAGTCACCTCATTGAGCACAGTATCTATCGTTGTCTTTATGGCTCATGGAGTCACATTCTCGCTCTATTTGCCACCTCAAACATGGACATACTATTAGCCGTTCTTGGGCTTGCATACAATTTTAGGTAAACATTTTCCCACTTGGTTCACTCAAAGTTACTTTAGCAAAAGAAGCAACTACTTCTCCAGACTTGATCCGAATAACAGGTCGCTGGTTCTCGAGCGACTTGTATCGATTGCTGAGTCATGGGGAGGTGCAGAGAATGGATTCGACATTGCCTCTTGCTGTCGAATGGATCATGTAAGTCTTTGTTTTTAATTAACCCCTTTAGTATCCTCCAAGTGCTGGGAAAGTCATCTTTGAGTACTACCCCGAATCTGAGTTTGATGGGCAACCGGGTTCCTTGTCAAGACCGCTGGTTATTGAAGAATACTTCAAAGACTGCAATAAGTCTCCTTCAGAGGTTATGGAGGAACTGTTGAAGATCCATCCCGTTCCACCCTCAAAGCAAACGGCTCTTTTTGCCCGAATTCGTTCGGCTGTGTACTTTTCAGACCCTGAAAAACGCCTGAAGTGTATCAAAGCTCGATTGCAGGCCATTTCTACTCTTTGTAACTGTTTCATTTATCGGCCTAAATTCATTTTTTATTAGGCTACACATTTGAGTTTGACGATCGTCTAATTTACTTTGGACTGGTTGAGGAATTGGTGGACGTTCTTCAGCTACCCGATGGCGAAGTCATGTCCATTAAGGCCTGTGCTCTTCGCACCATGACGGCTATTTTCAATCTCCAACGTCTCAATGTGAAGTATGTTCTTTGCAAGACTTTTTTGCTCTAACTATTTGTCATCAATTATATAAACTGCACATTTTGGTGTGTTATAGCCTTGTGACCATTCTTGAATCTACCGGGATGGCCAACTTTCACGGCGCTTTACCTACGCGCATTAGGCGATGGATCCAGGGTCTAGTGGATGGCACCTGTGATGCCTCCGGTGGCAGTGTCAATCAGCAATACACTATTGCTTTACTCTCTTTCCTCTACCATCTGGCAGCTTTTGAACAGAATTTGAGTTCAGGTTAGTCAGTTAAGTACTCTCAAAATTTAATGATTTCTCTTTGATTTCTAGTCGGTTTTTCATCACTATCGTTATTCGTAGTCTGGCCATAGATCGTTGCTCTTTTGGATGTGGGATCATTGTACTGAATTCTGCGAACTTTTACCACTATTCGGAGTTATCGCCCTACCCTAATAATCAAGTTGCGTCTGCCGACCTCCACTCTGTAGAGCTGTAGAGCGTTTAATATGTGATTCTTTCTAAGTAGATTATATATACATGAGATTGGTTATTCTTGCACCCCCTTTTCAGGGAATGGCCATAACATGAGCGTGCGAACGATGAATTCCAGTGGGATATTGGACTCCATGCTACAGCTTATAGCTTGGCACGTGCCACGTAACGACTGTCTGAGTTATGTCACCCGCGCGGTTCGTGTCACTGACCAAATTCTCTCCAGTATCATCTCCAATCGTCAGCTCGTTCTCGACCGTCTTGTCGATAGGCTGGACTACGAGGCCGAGCTTGTCCTCCACCCTCCTCCTGTAAGTCAAATTCTCCACCTCTTCATCACGATAGAACACTTCAAACAGTCGTTTTTATCGAACGATTCTTTTGCCAACCACTTATGTTTCATCCTTACCTTGATTTGAATGACTGTGGGAATGTGATGTTTTGATGTTATTATGGACTTAACCTGGGATGAGTTGTCTTTTTTCCCTACAAAAGAGTACTAAATCCCGCTGTAGCAGTTTTTTGGCTATGCTACGAATTGGCTCGACCAATTTCGGTAAGGGTTTTCTTTCGCCCATATCTCATGTTTGATTCCCTGAGGCTATTTAGGATTCTGAATGACTGTCTCATCAAATTGAGCACCCACCATTTTATCGCAGTCACCGTAATTTCTTTGCCCGCTGATCATCAGTTCCTCGTTATACGTGTGCCGTCGCCACAGCTGTACTAATCGCCGACTTCACTTACCTGGCCATAGCTAGATGGTCGGGGGTAAATTTTTTGGGCCAACCGATGCTCTAGGATCTGGACAACTTGATAAGTCGTGAATTTAATTTATACTCTTATTGCTTGTAGGAGTTTCACTTCTATATTTGATGACGCCAAACAGGTGCATTGATTTAACTGGGAGGCATTCATTTTTGCTAGTGTACTTCCAAATTATGCCAAATCTCGCCATTTAAGACTCAATAGTAATGTCCTCTTTACTGTTTCTGATTGCTCCGATCAGGTTGAATAAAGGGCAAATGTTCGCCGTTCCCATGTGATTTGGACATTTAAGTGAATGCTATTCGCTAAGTTAGCAGCCTTGTAAACGAAGTGCCTATCGGTCAAGCATGTTCGACACGCAGACGGATCACATGTGCTTGTGTGGGTGTTTGTTGTAAGGTCGTCGCTAAATGCCTGCACATGTGCGGGTGCGCACATGCACGCATGTCTTTGTGACCCGTTCTGATTTATGCCGAGGGCTGGAGGGGTCAACGCTCATGAGTAGTGTTGCAGAGCTAAGAGGCCTGGCGTCGTCTGCGCAAGAAAATCACCTCTCTATTGAAGCATGTCAGCCCTGGAGAAGTGATAGAGTGCCCGAGTTTGGAAGTGCAGAATGGCTGGTTGATTGATAATCTAAGTGGTATGAGTAGATCCGAACTAGGCAGGGCTAGAGGACTCAAGTGATCATGCACACAGACAATAAACGTCGCTTTGTAATATCAGGATTCCTAATTAGATTAACCGCTTCATTGCATCACGTCCTCTTTAAGGTCATCTCCATATAAGGCAAAGTGCGTGCGAATCGCATCTCTTTAGATCAAAGCACATAGCCCTTGTAATCAGATCGCTAAATATTGCGAGGGACTTTTGTTACATTTCTTCTGCGATACTGTCTGTGCTCTTTACACAAAGATGTGACACACTATCCTTTGCTTTCTGGACGCTGACTGGCATTGCAATACAATTTTTCCAAGGAATGTAGATAATGTAGCTCTCAAGCCATTCTGCTATTCCTAGCCCCGTACCATGAGATTAACGTCGGTAAGCAGCTCTTTTGGTGTGCCACAGAAAATCTGGGCATTTGGGCAATATGGCCAAACTTCCTTCGAGGCGGAAATTAGAATGACACGAGAAGTTTCCACTTGTTGGATCTTGCCCACCTTCATTGCATCACGTTTCACACATTATTTGTATTCCTGACATTCTCCCTTTCTAGATGCAAAAACTCAATCCATAATCCGTTGACTCCTGCCCATTTGCTGTGGTACTTGTATAGTTGTCAAATTTCTCACTTGTCCCAGGGTTATGCGAAAGTCGAGATGTTAACCCATCACTCCACGTTCACCGGTTCCCTCTAGGAGCTAGCCAAAGCCGGCAGCAGTAGTAGCCAGACTTCCCCCCTCGGTGTGTTAAACACTCAGCGCTCCGGTCTCATGAAGTCTATGCTGAATCTTTTGAAACGCCTCTGCCTCGAGGCAGACTGGTACGAGCACATGCGCACTGCAATGTCCGGCAATCTGCCTCTCGTCTTGCGCAAGATCTACAGCAACCGTGTCTTTCACGCTACTCCCCACTTGGTCCTATTCGCCATGGAGACCATCACCAATTACATCTACACCTACCCCTCGAGTATCTCTCATATGCAGGTGAGTTCTCGCGGCTGTCTCCATTATGTTTGTCCTCGTAATCTGACGTCATGAAGTGGGTGTACAGAAGGAGAGTTCCCGGCTGCACACCCCCACTCCTGTTCCGCGTCTAACAAATCTCTCGTTCATTGCCACACGCTGTTACATGCACGCACTGTCACTAATACCTGCTGTTTTAAATATCAGTCTGTAATGAGCTGGTCCACACCATGAGGGACGTTAGTAACCATTCCACCCTACCTATCTACCATTCACTACTCCGTGGCAAGGTTGTATAGCACTTTTTACAATCACGTGGGATTAAATGCTTTGGTTTGACCTTGGGCCACCCCTTGCCCCCTACGCCAGCATTGTGTTCACACACGGCATGCGTGCATAATCTATGCACTGGCGATATTTAAGTCAGTTTGTTGTTTTTTTTGCGGTCAAAAGTAATGTGTAGACAAAGCTCGTCTATAAAACCTGTTTCAAAGTAAAAGATGAGTTGTGCGCGGTTGGTAGTTTAAGTACGCTTTCGGAATTCGTCGCTTTGCTACGTAGATACTGTTTGTCGCTTCGCAGGTTATTGACTCTATGCACTTCATTCCAGTTGACTACGTAGGTGTAGTGGCACCTGGTTTCCTTTTGGCGCTGTGGTTCGATTTCAGCTGTCGCCATACAAGTATTCTCCACTTACGATCATGTGCTTTGCATATCTGTAGTAGAAATGCTTCTTTTTCCCCAACTGAAACGTGTGTCTTAGGGCAAGGATGTGGCTGTAAGCTGTGTTCCAATTTGCATTCGGTTATCAGTTTTTCTCTACTTTTGAGGAGGCGGTTTTGTCCACTCCTCTTCTCTCCTGAAATGCTTCACGCTGTAGGTGACCTTGTAATGTGACCTCTTCTTCCTTTCCTCCTTTCAATTATGCATCCTTCGATTTCTTTTCATTGAGTAGGCTTTGCCGACGAAGTCTCATGGTCGGCTTACCTCTTACAAATGCACCGATCGGCCCCCTGCCTCATTTGTGCTTGCCATCCGTTTCGTGTAACCTCTGTATCAGCCGGTGCTAACCGTTTGTGTCACACAATTATTTGGCTTAATTCCGACTGACGCTGCACGATCTGTCATCAAATCGTTTCACAACTTGGTTGTACAATTTTTCCACTACTCACTCACCAATGGACTGCAAAAGAGTAGTCTACTGGCGCATTATTGATGGCCTCCTTGGGCAGACGTCACTGAGTTGTTGAAATTGCCGATCAGCCACTCGTGGAGTGGCGTGTGCGAACATGGTCTTTGTTATTGGCGGAGGCACACGCTTGTATACTCACACTTTGTTCCCCATGTTGTTACGCTGTTAAACTTGGTGTGAGTATCGTGAACTGCCCAGCTATTGCGTGAGAATGCGAAATCGTCATTGCTCTCATCCACCGTCACTTGGACTCCATAATTACTGGGTTTGTTTGTTGGAGTCCTCTGGAGAACGTAACCCCCTTATGACTCTCATTGGGTGATTTTGTAGTTCCATTCGGACTCTTATAGGTCTGGTCGTCAGGTGAGCCCGCATGTTTTCCGTATCGAGGTTTAACTACCTGGCATGTGCGTTATTGGACAAGGTCATAAAATGTAACGCTCTTCAGTGGCTTTCTAATCAACGACGTTGATCTCTAGGCGCCCAGTTGTCCGGTTCTGTCAATGCCTATCTCTCCACAGAAGGGTACTGCATTGCCCTTTTGGGTTCCATTTGGACATGCAGTCACTCATTCCCTTTTCAGGTCATCTGTTACGGTGACGTTTTTTTGGTTGGAATCGTTTCAATCAGCATGCGCTGTTAGGCAAGGTGGTACAATGCAGCCCTACGGGAGTCATTGAGTCATTTATGCGGAGTTCCGCTTGCCCATCGACTAGGGGATCCTGTGCGCTGTCGTCTGGCTGCACGGCACCGATTTCAGCGACAAGGTCATGCCATTTTTCATTCTATAAATGTCGGCTTGCCAGTCTGTAATTACTGTTTCACTAGCTTACGCCCCACTGTCCACCCACATTGACCTATCGTATAGGCAATTTGCTTCCGTTTTTTTTGCCCCTCAAAGGCATGCGTTTTCCATGTTGGTGGCACTTTTAAAGACGTTCTCTAATGTATCCCACGGAGTGCATTGTACATTGGGAGCCTGATTTCTGGTCCCTTGTCCTGTTTATTTGACCTTTTTGGCTATAGGGTAGTTTTCTAACTGGCCCTACTTCTTTTGGGTGAAGTCCACAGTCATCCAACAGTTTCCGCAGACTAGACCCCGTCGATATCTCTAATCTTCATTTTTTGCCATTTTGTAAGTCACCAGTTGACATTGACCTTTCATGTTTCCCGACATTAAGATTTGATTCGATCATCAGAATCGTCTATTTATTGGGTCATCTAGTTTCCCTAGGAACGAAAACCAAATTACCTATTTTTGGTGGTTTTGGATGCCTGTCTAGACGCCCCTTCATCTAATGTTACTTGGCTACAAAATAATGGCGGATTCTTGGGTACACTGCACATGTTGTAGCTTTGTGCCTTGATTCTGGCTGCTGTCTTGTGGAAATTGGTTCATTTACCAATTTCCACTGCCTATTATCTCTCAGTGCACCTTCTGATGCGCCATCATAAATTGTTTGGAAAAAGAGTATGACAGATAGCTTGAGCAACCAAATTCAACGCTATCAACATTTGTAGACATAAATACTAATCATTTCTGATGTTGTAGGACAAGGGCGTGACCTCTGACATACTGTCCGCCCTGACGGAGAACCCTCTGCCGCAGAGTCGCGATTTCCTCGTTCACCTGCCCTCCATTCTTCGCACACTGGCGCTGAACCCGCGGGGCCGCACAGCCCTCTGCTCGAGTGGAGTGCTGCAGAAGTACGTGGAGACTTTGGTGAGCCCCGAATACCTGCCGACAATGCGAGCAAAGCGATTACGCGACTTCCTCTCTCAGATCAGCTACAATCTCTCCATCGCTGCCTCCAATGTGGGCCAGAACAATCCTACTAACAACCTCACCGCAAGCCAGATGAGTGTCTCGTTGCATGAGCTCATGCGAACGCATTCCGACATTCGTGGCATTATTTTCAACTCCATTCTCAATGTGAGGTTCATTTATTTGCATTCTTTTGGATGCTTTTCGTTAATTCGATCTTTTAGTATTTGTCCTTTATTCGTTTAATTAACATATCTTGAAAATCATAAGCACCTCCATAGTGGGGGTTTTCATGCGTTTAAGTCCGGCTTGGGAAAACGCGCGATTAAAGTGGTTGCTGTGGGTGGTGGTTAATTCAAGCCTCTTTCCGTTGTAAGCCCTCCTCGACGAGGCTTTGGCTGAGTGATATTCGGCTAACGAAACCAAGGTTGCAGTTCCTTTGGATCGTATTCACCTACTGCTACCCATCTTGAGGGTGCGATAGGGAGTGTCATTATGAAAGTTTTGTCGGCAACTTCAAGAGGACCTGCAGCATATGTCCACGGCGCTAAGATGGTGATAGAACTGGCGGAATTTCAAGAGCCTGCGTGTTTGAATATCCTGGATGGATGTTGTTTTCCCACATGGTTATCCACTTTTAAACTTCGTCCCTAGTGCTTCTCGTGGACACTCCGGTCGCATTTGTAGAGTGCACCTGTGAGTCGTAGCCAACCCTCCGTACTAGGGTCAATGACGATGCGGAGAACTCAGACCTACTTTTTTAGTGACCTGATTGGACTTTTTCTCAGATAATACCCTCCTTTCCTAGGCGAATCCCATTAAGGATTTTTTCGAGCAGTACTGCGCAGATACCGTACTCCAGCGACATTTTTATGGCAGAACCCACTTAATTGCAAAATTAGGACGGGAAAGACGGCGATTATAAATTGATGTGTTTCCGGAATTTTATTTTGCTGAAGCCCGATCCAATCCCCCCCCCCCTCCATAATGTTTTTGGATTGGATTAAAGGTGTAGTTTTTTCGCATCAAGAGCCTCATAAGTTGTTGCACCTCTTCCAAGACAAATTGCGTTTTAACCGTTGATTCGTGATCACTCTACTGTCATCTATCGCGCTTGCCTCCCACATACAGCCGATCGTCTTCGTACCATCTTGCTGTTTGGTGACTGAGTGATTTATCAGTTTGACAGCCCCCATACGAATGGGCATCTTTGATTTTGAATTTAACACTTTCGTTCACAGGACATCGCGCCACTTGGCGCTGTTTCATTCGAGCGCTACCACCTGTGTCTCCCATGTTGATTAACGTTGTCTGGTCTGGTTCATGACATTACAGACCATCTATTGGAAGGGCGCACCTGTCACAGCGCTGCATGTTGTCGTACCAGGATTTTTAAAAATAAACGTCATGTCCTAAATTCAACAGCTCTTGTAAACTACCTTGTGCTGAATTTGGGGCTGATTATATCCGCTATCCCGAGGTATCTGCGAAGTTCGTCATCTACCTGTTTGAAATAACCCTTCGAATTAACTGTAATTATCTCGCAGTGCTTCACGAAAATCGTCGATATGGGCAAGACCCCAGCCTCTCTAATTCCCGCCACCAGCATCGACAACACTCCTCCGGGGATGAGTGGAGGCTCCGGTGCGAACTCCAATATCGCAGGCTCCACTGCAGCGGTGGCAGGGACATCCACCAGGTCCAGCTCAGACATCCATCCTCCCGTTAGAGTCCGTCATCGAGCCGGATCTCCGGATGATGATGAAGACGTTGATGTGGACGTGGACGTAGTGGTCGAAGAAGACGATGAAGTAGAGGAAGAAGGTGCCTATCTAGATGCTGAGGTGGAGGATGTCAACATGCTTCTCTCTGGGAGTGATGGAGCTGGTAGTGATGTGGATAACCCTCATCATGCTATTTCTATCAGCGTACTGGCAACTCCAACCTCTCCGGAGCACCCATCGATTAGCGGAGGCTCTAGCACACTCACCACTACTGCCATTCCCACTGCCGTCGCTACAGTCCCCACGGCTGTAGCTACTCCCATGGACGTTGATGAGGAGGAGGGCTCGCAGAGCATCTCCGATTTCATTCTCAATGTGGTGAGTGGCTTTAAGTGGATTCGATGTTGAAATATTTTTATTTTGTTGAGATGCAATATGATTGGTTCCTATTGTAAATGTACTTCAAAGCGGTCTTGAGTTGATCATGAGTCAGAACATAGCATATGTCGGGCCTTTTTCAGGGTCTTAAACGTTAGAGGTCATATGAAAAAGGAGGACCTTTGATTTTGGTTTCCTCAAAATTGTCTCTAATAGTTTTGTTTTTTGTTGATGAGTGGTACAGCCTTGATAAAATCACTCTGGATCTGGCCTTTATTTGTTCAAAAAACGCTAACTTTTGTTCGGGCAATTTTGATGCCTTGGCATCACGGTACTAGTTCCCATGAGTGACTTCAAGGGGCTCAAGGGTCTGCAGTGATGGGTAGGGGAAATGCTTTAACATATCCTGTCCTTCAGACTTCCAATTCCAACCACAAAGATCCAAACAGACTGAAAAATGTGCCAAACACGATCCCAGTTTTTACAAGTGCGAAATTCAATACAATTTGAGGTAGTGGTTTAAGCATTCTTGCCGGCAAATTGTCTAAGGGCGTAGTCGAAGAAAGGATTGGGTTCCGAAATCGCAGAATAGGTTTTTTCCGATGGACCATTAAGGCGTTGGAGATATTTCGAATGATTGAAGTCGTAATCTCTCGCGACGAACAATCTAGTCCATATCTGTTAAATTATTGTGAAACGCCGGTTCCAAACCTACCAAATTACCTTTGCGTTATTTTGGATTCTAAAATTGACCCTTTATTTTGGTGCCAAGGCAAGGTATCGAAGGTGTTGAGATTGCTTTCTTACCTGCTGATTTATTGATATAATTCACTGCATCATAGAGCTTATCTTGAAATTTTTTTTGCTCTCATAACGTTTGCCTCTCATCCGCTTATGCGGTGCTTAAACGCTTCATGTGGTTCCACTCGATGTCATTTCTGAAGCGTGGCTCTTTTATCCCACTCAACTAGGGCGTGGCTGCAGGTTTTCAGTTCTGTCTTTGACGCCCTTCACATTCATTTCAAGCCTATAATTACCCAGATTAATTTGTTTGACGCTCGCGCACAAACATGGTGACACATGTCTTTGGTGTCTAGTCAGTCTTTTGGGGCGGCAGCTCTCCCCCCTCCCCATGTCTTAAGGGAAGGATTTGACAAACAAAAAAAAATCGGTAATGCTGTAATGGTGATGACACAATATACTGCCGCCCTTTTTAATCTCCAGGACCCCAGGTTCACCACTCTGGGATATTCGTCGTGTGAGAAATCCACAACCCCTGCCCACAATAACTGATGCGTAATGTGATTAATTTTCATTGCTATTCCCGACAAATGCTAGATCCTTTTGCCTCAGAAAAGGTGCACTCTGATCTTAGTAGGATTGTATTAACGCTTGCACTGTCGGGTTTGCAGCTTAACCGACAGTTTGTAAGCAATCAGTGACCACAGAAGGGACTTGGAATCGCTCTTGCTCACTCGAATCCGCAAGTTTCAGCCTCATAGTTAGGCGGATTTTGTGATTTCAGTAGTACTTGCGTAAAATAGACTTTTGTCGCCTCCCCCCTCCTCTCGTCCTCACCTTTTCATTTTCCCCCTTCGTGATCGCCAATTTTGCCTCCAGAACTTCGTTTGTCTCTGCCTGAGTGCAAATGGAGGCAGTCAAGCTCAGTAGTGCTATGTAAAAGGACTTCCCCGCTTTTTTTGGTTCATTTTATCCGGATCACTATAACGCCAACAATCGAACATTAAATTTTGACCTCAAATGACTTGTTGTGTCTTGCGGAGACTTGCCAAGCGTATGCACTGCTTTGTATGCGTCCATTGCAAAAGGGTAAAAGGGTGGTACTCCTTTGTGGTCTGCTCTTAGGAACACCGCTTTATTCCAACTCTTTTAGTGTTATTGAAACGCGCCATTTTTGTATTTCCGTGAACGTGAGTTGTGATGAGAAATGGCTCTTGTATTTCACCGTTCGCTGAGCAAGCAAATGTCATTGGCTGTTGTCAGGCGGACCACTACCCATCTAACACTTTTGAGGAACAGATTTTTCCTGTATGTTTATGTGTATGTGTGTGTGGCAAGTGTTCACTTGCTGAAAGCAAATCCACAGCTGTGACTGCGATTGTTCCATCTATTTGCCTACTCATTGCGGTACAAGAAAAACCTAGTCTTCTTTAGAGCCGGTAGATCATTGCATTGGACGGGGAACTAAGCACCTTGGTTGCGATGGGAGGAAGATACTGCCTTGTATTCTCCTTCTCCATATTACTCTGTTATTTTTCTTCTCATTGATGCTTATCACCTCCTTCCAGAATGACATCCAAAACGGATCGGGCAATTGGGAAATAGAAGTGTGATAGAAACGGAAGTGTCTAAGGCCACGTCGACTTATTGGGGTGGATTTCAGGGTAGGTGTATCCTGCTGAGAAGGGGTTATAATTTTGTGTCGGTGATGGCTCCTATCAGTAAAGCATTTACAAGGCTTTTCTCAGCTTGAGAGAACTGGCTTGCTGCCTTTGAACACCCGTAATACAGGATGGAACGCTCAGTCATATCCACCACTAAATTATTCATTTTAAAGTGTCAAAATTTTTCGATAAAGAAGTCAGTTGTTTTTTTTTTTGGAGCAACCGTGGTCTATTTCAACGGAGACATCGAGCCGTGCCTCTGCCGCAGAACGTTCATTGTTGTTTTCAGTAACTTGGATGAAGCGGATTGCGTGCTTTGGGAACCCAGAGAAGAGGTTCCAGGTACGCACCACAAATGACATAGCTCGTTCTAGAAGGTTCAGAGAACTTTTACGGCATCGTTCATGCAGTTAAATCAGGTCCATCGTTTTTAAACTCTGAAATGAGTTCGTAATTACGATGTCACATCAGTTCAAACCAAGCTGTGTTAGTTGGTTTATGTGTTGAGGCTCTCTCGTGCGTCCCTGTTGAACCATTTTTAGGGGCGTTTAAAGTGTTAACGCCATAAACAAACCAATCATCGCAGGGTGGGAGCGTGAATTTGGCAATTCTAAATTGACATTACTGGGTAGTCTCTGATTCCGGCCATAAAACAAACTTTGGATTGTGTATCCAGTGCAACGTGAGGTGCATAATGTTAGCTACCGTGTCAGACTTTTTGCAAAGACTGTTTTGACCACGTGCTACGATAGTTCTTAACGAATACCATAGCTCACCTCCTTGATGTCTCCCAACTTCGTTGTTGTTGCACTCCGAAGGTACGTTGGATTTGTGGTGCGTCGATTCGCAACACCCATGTTTATTTTCATTGACGATATCTTTTGTCGAAAATAAATCATACTTAAAGTGATGCAAAAAGGCTTTTATCATCTGTGCTACCGTTGTAATGGCGGCGATCCAACTGTAGTTGAAGTAATTTTTTTCCCCTCCCTCACAGAGCAAGTTCATGGAGCGTTTGCACTCCTTCTTCATGCATGTCAACGACCTCACTTCGTACCAGCTGCATTCACGGGCGGGTGTGCAGGTGTTGTGCGATCTCCTCCTCATGCCTGGTCTGCCTTTCGACTTCCCCGTCTCCTTCTCCTGTGCCACCTTCTGCAAGTCTGTTGACCAACTGCTCAGCTACATGTCCGTGGAAGATGTTGTCGAACCCATTCTGGAGGTGCGTTCCCACTGTCATCCTTTTCAGTAACACGAGGCGTTTTTTGTGTGAGGAACAAACTACAAATTGTTTGATTGGTTACACGAAATTTGAGGACGTTTGACGTAGTTGCTACGGTTTATTAACCTTACCATTTGTTTGTTTGGCCAACCGCCCAGCTGCATGCCAGTTGAGGGGCTTGTTGCCTAATTTCTGTGATTCGTTCTTGTCCACAGGTATCTGAAGCCTTCCGACTTTTGATACAGCATTGTTTTGGCGGGGAGTCTTTAGTTTGTGCTTGATTCAAAAATTGCTGCCTACTATAACCTTATTATTTCTTTTTGAAAGCATCACCCTGTGAAGACGATACTGGTACTTTGTGGTTGTTTTCGTTTCCCTGCAATATGGGGGCGGTATCATATCTTTGGGCTGATTGACCAGACTTTCCACTTGGCTCTATCCGTCTTCATTAATGGCATGTGTTTGGCGACATCCTACTGGTAGAGTGCGCATGTCTTGATAACATTCCTTCTTGAAAGCGGGTTTTATTTATTATGTAGGAGTTATTGTTTAAAGATCCTTCAAAAAGGAAGCATTGCCCGTTGTTAATTTCATTCTTTACGTATTGTTATCCTATTTTTTAGAGACGATTCTAAATATCTTTAAGGGTTCCCTTGCATCAGTCGGTGGAATTGACTGGCTCGGTTTCAGCCTCGCAACGTCATTGGATACCAAGTGGAGTTCATTTAACTTTCTCCCGAGCTCGTGGAATAGCTGACCGTTGAAAGCTCTCAGATGTTGCCATTTTTTGTAGGAGGCTAGTGGCGGAGTCCAATTTGACTGTCCTACTGGAGGTTAAAGGAGCCCCTCTACTAGCACACAAGGCAAAGTCCCATTTCTTGGCATAATTTTGTCTTACATGCTCCCAATGGTGCGATTTTTACATTAGGCGCCACAGTATGATCTCCTGTCACCCTGAGAATACAACTGAGTCCGTCAGTAGTGATACGTCTCGTTGGTTTTGATAGGGTTTTTCCGTTGCACCCCAACATTGGTGAACTACATTGAAGGATTTCCTCATGAAGGTGTTGCCTTGCCCCAAATGGTTGATAAAATTGGCTGAGTTCACAACCACATTTGGTTGCTTTCACTTTCATCTAGATTTTTCTCTCCTTTTTGGTCTCATTCATCGTCAGTCATGCCCAGTTGCTAACGGTTTCCTGATTCTCCTGTTTTGAATATCCACACATGCAAACGTCAATAGAAAATACTCATTCATCCATACTGCATATCCAGCTTGTTTGGTTATAAGCCTTCTTTCAGGTCCTGTGGAGTAGTTGACTGCAAACAGAACTTGTGCATTCCTTTGTTCAAGTAAACGCTTAAATGCCCTAAATCGTCTCTCCAATGACTGCTGGAATTCACCGCAAAAGGTGAGGTGGGTGTTTATAACTTGCTACCGTGCATTCCTCGTCTTACCAGTCTGGGTCTACAACTGCCGTTTTTTCTCACGGTTTGGGAAGGTATCAAATCATCTTTCCTTCCGTCTTATGGATGCCTCTAGCCCATTACTTCCTGGCTTCTTGCTCACTTATTCACTGCATGCGATGAGTGCTTACTTTTCCCTTTGTTTGTGACACTCGATTGGACTCATATTTTCCAACAGTAGACATTGATTTGTCACTTTCTTCATCAGGCAATAACCTTGGTAGAAAGTTTGCCGGTAACTATTTTTGATGTATTTGAAGGCAAAAAGTCCGCCATCTGCATTGAAGTTGGTTTAACCAACTTTATTTAGCGTTTAAAAGACCAAAAGGGTTCAATAACTAAGAAATAGAGCTTACACACTTCTGCCTGTGTGCTTGCTTAGTTTGAGAACCAGGTGCAACTTTGACTGCCTTAATCCTCACGATGAATCCGAAACGGTGGTGTGCCTGATTTCACTCTAGGTGCCTAATGAACCTAGGGAAGATTGGGCAAAAGCAGTTTTGTAATTCCCTTCCTGAAGGCAATCATGATAACATGTACCGTGGATAGATATGGGGGAAAGGCGGGGGGTAACGTGCACATCCGATCATGGCGATCAGATTGAGCGTTTGGAATCGACATTGTCCAGGTGGCAGTAGCTATAAGCCCGGGTTTTTATAACTGCCCTTTCCTCATAGACGCTGGAGAAGTCGATACAACGGGCGAAGTACTTGCGCGCTGGCCTCGTTACTGCGATGGGTACCACTAGCATGCACCAAAGTGGTAGTAGTGGGGCGCCTACCTCTGTACTTCTTGCGGAGTTCAATGCAGGCCGCACTCAACTGCTGCACGAGTTGGTCTGCATCTCCTCTATCATCTGCGTGGTGGTACAAATCGTCAACCACCTCAAGCCGGAGATGCGGGGAATCTTTGGCAATCTCTGGACTGGGAAGGAATTCCTCCGCGATTTGGGGTATGTTCTTTCCTTTTATTACCTCTACTTTTGGTATGGTATCCTTTCTTTGTGCTTTTTCCTTTTTCCTTGCTATCATGTAATGCTGGTTGGGGGTGGTGGATGTCATTTGAGCTTCCAGGGTGTCAATTCATCCCCAGAGAGGCAAAATGTATGCTGGTGAGATTCACTGTTGGGTCTCTGGATGGCCGTCGTGGTCATTCTTAGCGCTGATATTTGATGAAAGTCTTTGCTCTTATGAGTCGTTTTATGATTTCTTCATTGCTCAACTCGTTTCGTTTCTTTCAATACGGCTTACACTACTATTTGTGAAACGCCTTTAGGAATGGCTGATAACTGATGGTGTTCAATTCACGAATCTAGTGTGTTATTGTAGCTTCAGCCATTTTTTTGCAATCATGGGGTTCTGGCCAGAAATAACTTTACTTTAGGCATTCAGATAGCCCGTTGCGTTGTCAAAATGATCACAAAATTTGGCCCAATTCTATTATATTTATGGCTGCCAAATTTTCCGTTTTTGTTAATTGTTGGGTTGTGGGAAAGTGACGTTTTGTTGACCAATTAACCAATCATAGGTACTCTATTTCAACTTGTCACTTTGAGGATCTGTTCACTTGTCACCCTCCAACTTTTCTGCTACCCTTACTCTTCTTGGTTCCTTAACTTGTGATTGCTTTTCATTCTGTCTGTTTATTTGTTTGATGTGCCTGTTGACCGGTTTCTTACTCGTTGTTCATTCTCCATTGGAGGCATGACCTACAACTGAACCCACCGACTTACGCCAACTATTTGAATTGCTTGCTTCCACTTTTAAGGCATCGCATTTTTATTGGCGTGTTGGCTGATATTTCACTCGCTGTCAACTTAAATCGAACGAAGAAGGGCTGCCTTTGTAATCCTCCATAACTCCTAACGTTACCACTTTTACTAGCCCTTAAAAGGACTTATCAAAGCGATCTTGCCACGCAGAAAAGACCAGGTTTCTGACGCAGTTACGATAAAGCAGCTCTCTGTCCTTATGTGCGCAGCCGTTACCGTCGTGTACTTTTAATCGCGTTGTTCCCTACAGTTAGGGCTCTATTGTCAAGGCTCTCATCCGCTGATCTTAGAAATTGGGATTTTTCAAGGTAAGAATGGATAAGGAAACCAACGTTTTCACCCACTCCAACCCGAGGGTGCAAGTGGGTCTCATGCATTGCATTTTAAGAGAAAGATTGTCAGGGCTTAAGGAGGACACCTCAATCTGCATATTTCAATCAATCCAGTATTGCAGTAAATTCGTGAACCCACAACAATGAATAATCTGGCAAATTAACCTCATTGTGTAATTTTTCTCAGAGAGCTTTACCACGAAGTCTTGTGGGAGGCAACGATCCTCCTCTCTTCCATCTGTGACGAGCAAGAGCAATCCTCTTCCATCACCACTACCACCTCCGCAACGACTGTCAGTAAAACCACGAATACCGCCACCACTGGTAATACTGGAACTTCCGGCAGCAGTAGTGGCTGCGGAGATGTCTGTGGCGCCCTCCCTGATCCCGTAGAGAAGAGCCTCTTCCCACCTTTTGTCGAGACACTAAGTATCTTCAAGATCATCTCTCCACTCCGTAACAACTCAGGTGAGCCTTCTGCCTCAATTTTATCCATTTGATAGTCGAGTAACCGGCTATCTGTGGAAGTAGCGTATAACTAGCTTTATTTTAAAACGGTTGATGATTAGTGACAACCGTACTCATGTAGGGTAGGCTCTATATGTCTTTTGTCAAGTCGCCGATGGTCGCTATGACTGTCGTCCTGAATGTCTTCTCAGTGCAAACTACCGCAGTTTACGTTGCAAATGTTGTCAAGTGAGGTAGATGTCTAACAAGCTTATTTCTTACCTATTATTGTCTCTTCCCTCACTTCTAGAAACCCCAAGCGACGCACATCACGTCCTCTACGTATCCTCCTTCATTATCAACTCGGTAAACGAGTTGTGTACCACCCTGACCCGCTTCTGCCTCCTGTTTCCCCAGACCCCACGTCGTTTCATTATGCAGTTCTCCAATCCCCCACCCCAGGACGCCCTAACCGCATCTGCACGGTCAGCCATATTGGGGCACGTCGCCCTCTTCATGGCGGACAGGCTGCTCTGGCAACCACCCACACCACCACCGCCACTCAGGATGGTCGATGCGTTACGCTACTCGGCCTTCCAGCTGATCCATCTCTTTCTCTTTGGGACCTCCACTAATCGTATGCCAAGCGTAATAATGCTAAAGACCTTCTCTATGCTCGGTGGCATTGGCTTCCTCTTTGAGTGAGTTGATGCGTGGAATGTGATTTTTGTATGCATTCACCCATTTGTTCATTCCGTATTCATTCTTTCATGTAAGTGTCTTCACGTCTCCCCACCCCCGATTCATTATTCCTTTCATTTTCCCACCTCATAATCTTTTTTATCCGTGTGCTTTTCTGTCACCCTCCCTCTGGTTTGCAGATCTTTCAACGACTTCGTTGCTAATGCAATGGCGCTTCCATCGGATAAGAGTAAGTCGGTTTTTTTATCTAGAAACAATCATAATAACAGAAGCTGATCAGCTTCCTTAAAACATTCACAATCCATCATCGTTGTGTCTTGTAGAAATCGTGGGAAAGGTGATTGAGGGTTGGCTTGCCTGTGCCGACCGTCTTACTGACGTCTCCACACTAAAAACTGAGGTTCAACGTGTCAGCGAAACCGACTTCATTGGATTCGACTTGGATAAGTACTCCAACTACCTGCATCGTCGCATTCTTGAACCCCTCTGTCTTATCTGTCAGCCCGGTTTTATTGTAAGTTGGCATCCTTAACCTTCTGTTTTGTCGCTCTTCATTTTATCTTATTTTATTGTCTCCTATTTTAGGAATATCTAACAAACAAGGGTGTGGAGCACCTTTTGAGCATCCTCAAGAACGTCGTGCCTGCCATTTTTGCTCCTGCCTCGGAGGTTGCATCATCTCTCGTTAGCAGTGATCAAAGCCGTACTCAATTTTCTACTCCAACTACTTCAACTGGAGAGGGACGAGAGGAGCAGACAGGAGTGGATACAACAGAGATGGACACCATTAGTGACATTCTCTCTCCCTCCTCCATCGGGGTCCTTGAGGAGTTGGGCTTTACCATGGCCGATTTTCTGAATGCCTTCGGGATGGTTTGTAAACAAATCCATTTTCTCTTTGCCTATTTTAAAATCGCACTGCCTTTATCTTCTTTCTCTTCAGGAAAGCACGATGAATCAGATTCGTGATTTACTCAACAAGCGACCATCTGCGAAGCTGCATCCACCTCTTTCATTCGAGGCATCACGACAGTGGAGTGTATTTCTCAAGGAAAAACTCTTCAACGCTTGCCTCCAAATTGCCAAACTGCATGACGGAGATGAGGTGGGGTTTTAAAAGCCGTTTTATTCATTCTGTAACAAGTACTCCTGTTTACTTGTAGGTTGTAAGCAGAATGTATACACCTTTCGACCTCGTAATTTAGCCTCCACATCAGTGGCATCGAGCTCTAATGGTGCCGCCTTTGTTAGTACTTTTTATAACATCATGCCAATATTGTGTAATACCGAGTATATTACATACATATATATATTATATTATATATATATAATATATATGTGTATATAATTATATAATATGTATATAATACCAAGAATATATTATTGGGTGTAGGCTCCCGTAGAGGTGCTTAGGGGACCTGGTGAGCTGCTAGCAGACATGGTATCACCAGATATCTATGAAGCTGTGATGGTCATCGGAATTAACCAAGGCTGAAGGGTTCACCTAAATTGCAAAGCTAATAAGGTCATGCTTGGCGGTCTCTATGTCACTCTGCCGTATCATGCCTTTAAAAAAAGACTACTGGCGAACCAGAAACCACTGTCATGTTAATTTTTCTTCTAAGAGAGGGGATATTTAATCTCTTTATAAATAATGCAACCTATCAATTCTATCGGGATTGGCAACTGTTATTGTGGAGATTTTGTGACCTTGGAACTCTGAAAATAAGGCAGCATTGGTGTAATTTCCAAAATTCTGCACAGTTTTGACATTGTTCTTTTTTCGTGAGATGTCGTAGATTTTGTTATCCTTAGCAGTTGACTTCCTTCTGTGACGTTGGAATTTGGTGTCCATCCAACAAAATTAGATTTAATGTTAACTTCCAGGTGCTGCAACAGATCGCCGATGTGTTGCTCTCTAACAAGGACGAGTCGCACTGCGTTTTTGAGTTGGTTCGCATCATTACCGACGATGCAGCCGACCATATTTACGCCGCTGCCCCTCTTATACCTCCTAAATATCCCTCCACAGATGTTGAGGTAGCGATGCACCTTCTTGCTCTCTTTTTCACCCGTTGTCGCTTTGTCTGCGTCCGTGCATTCAATCGCCATCGTCTGCCCAATCTCCTCTGCCACCTCCTCACTGGGAGTCTCTGGCCTTCCGTTTCCTCCCCTTCTCGTCGATCCAAACTCCTCACTCTTGCCGCCCTCCTGCTCGAACAATACATACACATGACCGCGGCTCTACGTCTGCGTCAGCGTCACATCAGGCTCTACGCTGATCGCCACAGCTGGGCCTGGTTTGACCATATTGCAAAACAATGGCATGCTTATTGCCCCGAGGAATTCCGTCTTGCTGACCGAGCCTTTCACGACGGTGTCTATCGCTTCACTTATGAAGACAGGAAGACCAATGTGGTTGAATTCTACCCATTATTGTTGTCTTCCAACGAAAGAACTAGCACACGTCCCATCGCCCTCATGCCCAAACTACCGTCTTTCAACACAGAATCGGAGGTACCGTCAGTTTCGGAGGTTCAACCTAACCTCACGGATTACGAGCGTGATATTCTACGTGACGAAAAGGAAGTACCGTTGGAACCTCTTTCCTCCACCCAGAGATGCGATCTTTGCCTAGCTCTGATTGAACAATTTAAAGATGGTGAACTAGACGCCAGATGTACTGACGCCTTTCTGCGTCTCTTGCTGCGTCTTTCCGCTAGCAGTTTTGACGACGTGGATACCCTTCTGGGTGGTGATGTTCTCTGCATTCTTTTCAATTTCCCCCACGAGGCGAGGATCGCTTTGCAGTATTCCGCTTTTGTGGGACACCTAATCAGACAACTTTTTGACGATAAAGCATCGCTGACCGCGAATATGCGGCAGGTCATTGGACAGTTCTTCCGTGGCGGGTCACCTCTGCTGCAGTGGTGTTATCGTGACCTCTTTTACACCCTCTCCGTTCTCATCCCTCTGATGGCAAAGAACGAAGAGGTCGCTATGAGTCTCTTTAAGGAGCTCTCCGTAATCGATATCACTGAAGAGAGCTTAAAAGGTATTTTTTACTCTAAATGGCAATCCTTTTTTAAAAGAGCTTTGATTTGTTCACCTGTTTTGATATTTCAGACGGCATTCCACCAAAAGCTTTCTTGCTGTCATTGGATCCGGCGGTGGATGATCCCAAGGCCTTTCCTGTGGAACTGACCGACCGACAGAAGTGCATTATCACCATCCTCATTAATCATATTGTTCAGGACTCAGGATGTTTGGACACCTCTGGAGAAGATTCGGTAGGTCGGGACACCTTATCTGCTCTCAGCAAACCCCCAAATTGATAATTGGCGTGTTTTGTGTTCCAATTAAATGTAGGCGTCGACTGCAACAAACGGTGTGAACGTTGATATAAAGAGTGATGTTCCTCCCGTGAAGTCTTCTTCGACACGTACTCGTCTAGCCAAATCGGATTATCTGCGATATCTCAATGATCTAGTAATGGCCTCTCGGGGCGTGGTGGAATTCGTTGCCAAGTTCAACGTCACAGATCACCAAACTTTCCTCAACTATCTTCTCAACCAAGAATTCCGTGATTCTTTAAGCATGGACCTGACGATTCTCTTACTGGAGACTATTCTCTTTTCTTCCAGTTCCGCTACGCAAAACGCGATCATTGTTGAATTTAAGACCTCGCTGAAATACCTCCTTGCCTCAGGCTCCTCTGTCCACACAAATCTCTCCATCTCTACCTCAAGTAGTGACGGTTTTGGCAAAAATCAGCGGATCATTTCCCACATGCGTTTCCTCGAATACATTCTCGCTCTTCCCTATCCCCTTCAAGGCACTATCATTCGCCATCTTTACAAACGTCAGATTCCCGCTGATGTGGCCAAGTTGATCGCCATGGTGCACTGTAATGTAAGCAACAGTGCTGCCGCGCTGAATGTGGTGGTGAAGGTCCTGGACGACCTCTCTAATCTTGATCGACAGATCCTGCGTCGCATTACCCAGCTGGAACAACAGTCGAAGCGCGTCTCTGCCCCGGTGGCGGAAAACCATGTATCCGTAGTAACCACAGTTTCGGACTCTATGATGCACACTGCAGCCGAGACCACTCAACCTGTGGCTTCGGCTCTCGCCCCATCCATCGTCGGGATCGGTGACTCTGTTCATTCTGCCCCAGCTGCTGCAATGGCAACAGCAACGCCAGCTGGAAGTAGGCAACAGCAGCGGCAACCAGCTACACCGAATCGGCAACATGTTACGGAGGAGGGTGATACGTGGGCATTGGCAGAAGACGCCAGTGAAATGGAGGATACCACCGTGGAGGACAGTAACGCCATTCTCATTCTTGATGAAGTAGTCGTCGATCCTAGAACTGGAGGCGGTAGTGGCGGAGCTGGTAGCAGAAGTAATGGTGAAGATGAAGACAACACCGACGATGCTCGACGAATTGACGACTCTTATGTTGAAGAAGGTGAAGACGGAGATAGCTATCATGATCTTGAAGACGGTGAGGGTGATGAAGATGATGAGGATGATGGGGAGGATGGAGAAGAAGAGGACGATGACGAAGATGACGGAGGAGATGATGCTGATACGACAGATGAAATTGACGAAGAGGATGAGAGAGGTCCTTTTGGTGATCACTCCATGGATCAAGAGGTGGACGTTGACGATCTGGTTGAAGCGCAATCCACTGACAACGGCTCCTCTAATCAGCACAACAATATGATGATCACTTTGGTAAATGAGGTGTTCAATGCCGTCGACAGTACAATTGATAGTATTGGCGGTGGTGTCGGTGTTGGTGGAGGTATCAGAGGCTCACAGAACCACCGACGCTTGGGTGGTGATATCGAACGCGGTCTGATACTCCATTTCACTTCATTTGGTGGAAATGATGGTGTTACTAACTGGGGTTCGAGTACCCACCATCCCATTGTCAGTGGTGACAGGTTGTATGACCTCTCCACTGGCTCTCGCACTAACATTGACTTCCCTCCTCCACAGCATGGATCAATTTTTCTGAATGATTCCCATGTTGTTGGTGGAAGCAGCGGCGGTGGTAGCGTCAGTGGTCTTAACCACGCCATTCGACATCCTATTATATCCCTTCCTTCGCAAAATCCTTTCATTCAAGTCTCTGAAGGTTCGGCTTCTGCGGGGTTGCGTTCTGTTAGTGGTGGAGTGAACGATAACACCACGACCATTAGCCTTCGTTCTCTTCGAGCCCACCCATCTTCCCGACGTGATTCCAATGCTATCTCCTCAGCTGTTCTCACCTTCTATCCGCAAAGCCATCGCAGTGGCGGCGGTGGCGGTTACGCCCGCATCACTGGTAATCAGACCACAACACCCATCCTCGTTCGCACCAATCTTGGATCGTCAGTTCAACCATCGACCTACCTTCAAGCAGCACAGTCTTCTCTCTTAGGTGGACAAGGATCGATGCAATACAACGCGTTCGTCTATGACAACCCCAACAGCATGCGTTCAAACAGACGTCGTACCACACCACAGGCCACCGCCTCCGGTCTCTCCCAGCGACGTCCTGCTGAGCTGTCGGAATTGGAGGGAGATAAATTGATTTGGGAAATGCTAACGGACTTCTGGGAATTCCAGTGCTGCACTGTGACTGAGAGTCTAAGGCTGGCTGGCTGCAGCTTCGGTGTTACTACTGGTGTCACTGCCCCGCCCAGCTTATTCTTCAATACGCTTAATACCTACCGTCATTTTGTTGAGCTGGCGCTCATTCTGTGTGGTCAGGAGATCATGGACATGATAATGATCGCGAGGCATGAGGTTGGTGTGGTGGCAGTACGACGGAGAAATGAAGAATACGCTCATCGTCTAGCAGAATACAGACAGGAGATGGCGCAACGGCACCAACAGGAACAGACGCGGACGGAAGCTTCGGGTAGCGATCACGGCGCTGCTGTAGTCGACGAGTTCGTCGAAAGCGCGTCTTCGCCGTTGGATCGGCCTGGTACCACTCCCAGACCTGATGTCATCGACTCTGATATCGGTGAGTTGTTTTGTTAAAATGATTTAAATCATCTGTGTTTTGATCTTTTTCTATGGATTTCATTTCGAAAGGTTCTATCGTAGAACTAAGCGCCGAACCAGTTACTAGGCGAATGTGTACTAATTTGATAGCTGTAGTTAGGGCATGAATATAGGTATCCATTTTTTAAATGTTCTTGAGTTAGCTTCATTGTTCCACCACTCTTTACTCTTCTTATATCCCCTTTAGACTCGATTCACGATGAGGGTGAATCTGCACCGCTCTTCCCTGCTCTTCTGAACTCTCCAAACTCCCCGTCCAACCGACGAGCTACTGACGAAGGCGAGGCAACAACAGCTGTGGTAACGGAATCATTCACTTCTACAAGCGCAACAACTTCGGCTGTTGAAATTGTTGAACCGCCGGCTTCGTCGACGTCTGTTGTATCAGCTCCTGAAGCTCAAGCACAAGAATCAACGCCACAGCTCCCTCAGATCCGAGTTCCAGTCACGGACGAGGAGATTATTGCCTCCATGGTGTCTGAGGGCATGGATCCTTCCTTCCTGGATGCTCTACCTGAGGAAATGCGACGTGAGCTGATGACGGAACATCAGCGCACCGTTAGACTTCGCTCTCAACTCTCCTCTATGCAAAACACCGTGCCGGATCACGTAGACGAGGCCTTTTTGACCAGTCTTCCACCCAACATTCAAGAGGAAGTACTGGCTCAAGTTCGACAGACTGCCGTAGCTTCGGGTGCAGAAGCAGGCACACCAGTAGTAGCAGCTAATGGCTCAACTGCTCAGGCGGATGGAAGCAACAACAACAACTCCTCCTTCCTCGCCTCCCTGCCACCTGCTTTGAGGCGCGAAATCCTTACTGACATGGAGGACTTCCAGATAGATCTTCTACCCACGGAAATGCAACATGAGGCACGCCGACTACGTCGTCATATGGTGGAACAAACCGCCAGACAGGAAAGTCGTTCACAAAACCATCGCAGCCAGAACCAAATTCGTTCTCTCCCTAGTCGTATTTTCCCAGCATTCTTCGGTCCCGTTACCACTCCTGACTGTGGGTGATGTCTTTACTTACTTTCTTTTTAAATATCTTGTGTAGGTACCTTAATTTTGTCTTTTCCGTTTTACAGCTAGCGAAGCGCAGTGGCGAGTGAATCGAAACATTCAGGCGCGTGGCGGAAGCAATTTGAGTCCCGCCTCAACATTATTCGGTCTTCAAAGTCTTTTCACTTCTACTCACACGCCACGTGGTCAAGGTGGGTCAAGGTCCCTCCTGGATCACGAAGGACTAACCTGTATCATCGCACTCATCATCACCTGCTCCACATCGCCTTCGCTGCGACGTAACACCTTCCCGACGATCAAGCGCTTGTTACAAAACCTCTGCTTCCATCAACCCACTCGTATTTGGCTCATTTCCACTCTAGTGCAGATTTTGAAACAACTCTCGGAGGCACCACTTTCCCTCTCTGCTTCCGCTATGGCACCTTCCAGCGCTAACTCCATCTTTGGAGCGGGTTTTGAGGCTGCGTTGGGTTGTTGGGTGAGGAATCTGCAGCCCTTGGCCAACGGGCTCTTTGTGGTGCATCCACAGGCTGCCAACTACGTCTGTTTCATTGTGTTGGATGTTCTCGCGGATTTGGCGCAGTCCTCTGCCACTCAGTTCTTCCCTCTCACCCTGGACTCCTCTGTCATCTCGGCGGGTGACTACGAGCCTGCTGACATAAGGACAGATTTCTGGGAGGTCCTTACTCGCCTCTGTCGTGGCATTGGGCCCAGTAGTAGCAGTAGCCCACGCAAATCCCTCTCCATCAGTCCTGCACGACTTCGTTCCACGGCAACGGCCGCACCGAATCGCAGTCGTGGAAGTGATTCAATGGATATTACCACACCTCCAGTTGACTACTTTTCACATCTGGTTGGTCTGCTACGACATCCAGTTGTCACCTCGAGGCCGGTATTGCAGGAAAAGCTTCTTTTCCTCCTTGTTCGAGTTGTGGACGAATTTTTCAGGGCAAACGAACCCCCGAAGCATGGAAACTTACCCAGACGGCGAAATGGGGTAGGATATTTTCTCCCTTATACCTTTGTGCAACTTATGTTACCCCAAAAGACGATATAAGGCATGGAATTCTATGCATGGCTTAATTACCCGTGACCATCCCCGTGGTGACGCTTTCCACTATAGCCGTTAAAAGTTCTTTTGTGAATTGTAATCAATGTTCAGGTCAAGAATGAACATCAAGCGACGAATGACCAACGAATTGGAGTTCGAGGTGATGGGTGGTTTATAAGGAGCCGTACAAAAGGATAGGCAAAAGTTGTCTAAGCTAATCACTGCCCCAAAGCAATACAGACGATCATCATTGTCCTCAGATCTTACAAACAAAGGAACTACTTATCCTTGAGGTTAAGGTCAATGTATAAATTAGATACGGTTTCTGGCACGAATTCTTTGAATTCATTTATCAACTAAAAGTCGTCATTCGGCGACTATTGGCTTTGATTGTTGCTATCCGAGTTATCAATCGAAGCTATTGGAAGGTGCGTAAGGTCGGCAATTTGCTTAATTATAAGCCCATGGATGACCTAGGGAACTGGCGAAGTAAAAAGCGAATCGTGGAAACCCATGAAAGTTTGCGTATTAGAAATCTTGATAATTCAATTAAAGTTATGTTTATCTTACATCAGGTTGTCGTGGGTTCCCGAGACCTGGGTGCCTTTTCTCCAGACGAAACAGCGGTCGGGACGCAGCCTTCGACTGCCGCCTCCGCCAGTGCCGCTGCAGAGCCAGGCAGCTCATCAACAACTGCCACGAGCCTCATCGCTCCGCTCAGCCCCTCAGTGATTCAGAGTCTTTGTGACTTCGTCATGGCGCGCAATTCTACCGAGCAATCTCGAACCCTAGCAACCTGGCTCATTATCCTCATGTCACGTGCCAACAGCAGCACGAGAGAACGCTTCTTCCAAGTCCTTGCTATCGGAGCCGGTGAACTGGCACAAGTTATTGAAGGACAACTCTCCGCTGTTATCGATGAAATCAATCAGCTCTCTCCAGACTCTAGGCGTCGTCGTCATCAACGTGGAATAGGCGGCAACAGCGCTGGAGGTGGTGGGAGTGGCGACGGACCCTCTACCAGTTCTGGATCTGGTCTCCAGCATTCCGCGTCCATGACTCGCCTTCCTGACAGGTTCGGTACGCCCGGTACCTCCGTGTTTGTTGGTGGGCCTTCCACGTCTCTTGCACCACCGCCGCCTGCTCCCACGGGTGGGGAATTAGAACTGGCTTCTCTCCAGCCCCTCCTTACT